TTTAGGGTAGGGTAGGATAGGGTACATTTTCCTTGAAGACCTGCATGGCTAGTAGACCCAAGACTATTTTTTGATTACTATTATTACTTACTGTGTAATAATATTAATATTACTCACTGCTATACCTCATTACTGCTATATTTCTCCCAAAACCATGCAATTCTGAAGCCATTTTTGCTTTTTTCGTTACCTATATTTAGCTCCGTTTCCAAACAAATTACGTTACTCCATTATGACGCAGTGCGACGCGTCATCTAGGATTACTATTCAAACTTTTAAGTGGTTTGACTTAACTTTTTGACCGTTAATCTTAAGAGTTTGGTTTTAAGCCTTATAAACTTTATTTTTTAATTGAACCGCGCTTTGGCTAGCTAGTATAATATTAGTATAAAAAGTTTTTTAAACAAAGAAAATTTCTAAAATTAAGCCTAAAAATCTTTTTTAAAATCCTAAAACCGCAAAACAAGCCTAAAAAATGTTTCAAACCCTAAGGCAAATCTCTGGCAATTTATGGAGCGAAATTGAAACCCAAATTTTATGCAAATTAATCCCCGAAAAAGGCGACTCATGAGAGAATGCAGAGGGCCGCAGGGGCTAAACAGAGAAAGGGGACGGAGGGACGAGATTCATCTGTCTCTATCTTTTCGAATTTCACAAAATTCTGACCAAATTGGAGGGAAAACAAACCTTAATTTGGAGGGGATTTGGTGGAGGGCGAGGCTAATGTACGAGCCCGTACAAGGGGCGGTGGAAAGTGTTTTAGATTGCTGTATATGGGGAGAGGGTAGGGTGTTTTAATAGTGTTTTTTTGGGATTTTAGAGGTATTTTTTAGTAGAAAATTTTATGTTTACTTTAGGGTTTCAAAAGTTTAGTCATTTTAACACTCGCCTTACTCTGCCCTGCCTTGCCCTTTCTTGCACTACCTTGCCTTGCTTTGCCTTGCCTTGTCTTGCCTTGCCTTGCCTTGCCTTACCTTGGCTTCCCCTATCCTACACTTCCCTATCATATGCTACTGTACCCTACCGTACAGGTCCCTACTCCACCATATTCTAATACCATAACAAGCTCTTCCTTAAACTACAGTTCCCTACCCCACCTTTACCTTACCCCTTCACCCCTTCCCCACCTCAAACTTATGCCATTTTTCATAAAACAAAGTGGGCATAATGAGATTTCTCAGAAATTTTGGTTGTTAGTTACACTCCACTTCCTCACGTACACCCAACATCTCGGAATTATGTCATTTCAAATTAGAAACCACTTTTGCGACCGCATAAACTCGCCATTAATTGTAGGGGGGGGATCTTCTTATTCAGATCCCGAGGTTCAAGGTCTTTTTTCCCCGAAATTTTGTCAAATTTTCGAGGCGAGTTCGCTGCGAAATTTACTGTGTTTTTAGATGTTTTACTGAGATTTACATATTGTCTTTAATTTTTTTAATTTTGAAAAGTTTCGGGCCATTTTTCTGACATCATAATCATTGTAATGCATTTTATACGCTTTACTGGGCCATAACTTTTCAAGACTAAAATTACATTTGCTGGTAGTTAGGACTCCTATATAACAAACTCGTTTATAACGAACATCCTGTATAACGAGCAAATTGAACATTTCTGAGCAACTCGTTACATAGAGCCCTGAAAGGGTTTTACTGCAATGGCAAAAACCTATACATAAAGCTTAAGGGCTTGCATGCTTTAGTATAGTTTATAGTATGCTATATATAAGTGAGAAAACGAGTAATTGTTTGGTGAAGGCTTGTAGCAGTTATTGTGGGATTTTTAATCAAAACCACTACAAATTGCCTCGAAGTTCGGTTTTTATTAATGTAAAAAAGCTGTTTTCAGACGTATAACAAGTATACTTTGAAAAATGACTTCTAAGCATCTCTTGGCTTTGTTTTATTTCTTACTATTACGTTGTTCAAATAATTCTGAGCCCCTAACCCCGAAAATATGCTTTGAGAAAGAGCCCAGAATTATTTGAACTACCTAATGTTACTTTTTTAACTATTCAAAAAGTGCCATTTTATCCATTCTAAACCCATTTCCAAACGCCCCACCTAATTTTCATAATCGCCAGACCCCCCGTCCGATGATTACTTTCCTCACACATTACCAAAATCCATTTTAAGCCAGCCGGCTGGCTGTAACACGTTTTTACAAGCATAAAAAAGTTTTTGAAATTTCAGAGATTACTCTCCAAAAAAGGGCTTTTTTCTCGAATCTCAGCCAGGTGCATAAAAACACTCGATAGAAGTTGGGTGAGTATATATGTTTACTCAAATGTCCGTTCCTTCCCTTCGTAGTAGTTTTTATTGACGTGGAATGAGCTGGTTGGTGGTTGTCTAAAGAAAATATCCAGGGCTATTTTTGAAATTATGTTGGCTAGGTTGTGACATTTTTTAATTTTAATTTTTGTTTTGGGGTTGATTTTCTATTGTTTTGGAGTATGTTAGGGTAAATTTGGGGTGTATTTTTGAAATTTGGGGGTTTTACCACGTATTTTGTTTTATAAATCACGCAAAACTGCAAACCATGCAAAATCTTTTTAACCTTATAATAACCATGCTATGCGCTACATGCTTGCCAAGTTTCATAAAATTTTATACTCAAACGGCCGAGATATGACACCTTGAATATTACGCATACTAAGCTTGAAAATTTTTTTCCCAATGACTATTTTTGTAACAAGCAGATATCTGTTTACAGCTGCAGTCAATTTTACGACCGGTCACACAGTCATTTTACATACAAAAATAACTTTTTTGACAAACCTCAGCTTTTCAATATTATTCATGATATTTGGGTGGTCGTATCTTAAACATACGATGGTTTGACGCTTAAAATTTTTAGACAATAACTGGTCATAGTGTCACGATATTTTTGAAATGATTTAAAATTTTTAAAGTTTGGTATTTTTTTTTTTAAATTTGGCTTTATTTGAAGATACTACAATACTGGCGAATCACAGCTATGACCTTCTTTATTGTAACATATACCACTTTTAACGCAGTAAACATGGCTTAAAATTGCCTTTACAATACTTTAATTTCCCTTCCTCATCTTCACTATCAATCTGTTTTACCACACCACCTTTAAATGTCATCAAATACAGTCTTTGTTCTGCCATAGAGAAGTATAATATGTTAGACCACAGATTTTGGTATTCGCGGCAAATGATATATTTTCTAAATAATCGTTGCTAGGCAAATAATATTCGATATTTACATGTTGGACTCTTTTTTTTACATTGGTATGTTTGTTCTACACCACCCAACTTCTTTCTTATTATGCGTAATGGTGCTGTATAAAGAAACTCGATGTATATTGAACGTATTTTACAATATTTCAAATTCATTTCTAGTTATTTTTAATACGTTATTTCCATTTTTAAGTTTAAAAAAGTTGTTTACATTAAAAAAATGAAGATTTTTCTATATAAAGCAAAGTAATTTCCATTTCCTAAATTAGGCTTAAAAATAGCACTTGTCATTAAAAATACATCGTATATATACGTACGAAATACAGCTATTCGTATTTTACCCAAAAGTCCAAAAATTCCAATTATAATTTGTACGTAACCCACCCACCAACCTATGTTAATATACTAGCAAAACCTGTTATTGCAATTTTTAGCTCAATTTATGTCCTCCTATTATATAAGCTCTTAACACAATACCCAAGTAGACCATTATTATTAATTTAGGTTAGTATTTACTCGGCAAAAAATTTTTTTTTCAAAAAATTTTGAACGTGGTCCCCCCCCCTGTTAAGTTTCAGAAAATAAAAAAAAAATGTTAGCAATTTCTTTCTGCTTTATGTAAGTACCATGCCAAATCCTTTCGTAAGCTTACTATACTTTTTTTTGTTTAATAGCTCTTTTATTAGGTTGTTCAAATAATTCTGTGCCCCTCTAAAAAAAGATAGCGAAGTTAGGGAGCACAGAATTATTTGAACAACCTAACCATCTCATAATCCAGCCTATTATTCCCCCAAGTTTACTTTATATTGCACTAATAAGAAAACCGAAAGAATGTTTTCCTGAACAATTACCGCCAGAGTCAAATAAAAAAGGGCTGCGAGAGTCTCGGATACGAACATGTTGAGGGCTGGCACCAAATCTACTTTTCTTTAAAGACCAAAATTAAAATCGAAAATGTTCATTTTCGGGTATTTCGCGAGGGAAACGGGACCGCGCTCAACGTTCCCAACTCATAAGGGTTTTGTTGCCTTCAGTTTGGTTTGGATAGGTTTTGTTTTAAGGTTGTTTTTGAGTATAAAAGTAGGCTTATTAATTTAATTTTTAGAAGGAATGGCAAGTGGAACCATACCCAAAAATTTTTTTTAAAGGCTAGATGCTATGTCTACTCTTTTCATTGTATGCTATATACAAATAACGCTACAATACTTCCCTACCAAACATCCTCTATAATAACACCTTGTTCCAAAACAAAAAATCGTAAAGAAACCCAACATCAATCTCAATGATTATGGTATTAATTTTAATATTTACAAAAAGATTAGACGGCTAAAGAACGCTCGGGTATTTTTAGGCAGTAATTAAGACGAGTAAACACAAATTTTAGCCTCTATTCAATTCGAATGCGCGACAACCGTGAAAATGTCAAAACAACTTAGTATTTTTGGCGAGGCAGAATTGTCTTTACTTCTACTGTGGCATTTTTGAAATTTTAATTTTTTAAAATTTTTTTTAATTTTGAAATTTTTCATACTGTTATTCAAAAAATTCTGTGCCTCTAACCCTGAAAATTTGCTTTGAGGGCCCTGAATTATTTGAAAAACCATATCGCGTTTGAAATTTCGCGTTTTTTCAAAATTTGAATATTCACCATGCCAATACGTTACCCAAATTTCCTTACTCTACCACAATGTAATACTAATTTTGATGCTGCTTTCAGAACCCGGGTACTCATTGTAATCAAAAAAACAAAAACCGGTATAAATTTCGAAAAAAAGTTTGACATATACGGGCAGAAATGGGTGACAACAATCTACTCGAGTCGTACAATCCACTGTACGATGTGCATTTACGCCAATACTTTGCATCTCCGCACATGCAAAAGCATTTACGCAACTTGGGATTGGTAAGTCAGATTGTTTTTAGGGGTTTCTACGGACTTTTTGACCTTTTTAAATTTAAAAAAGTTGAAAAATAAGGCTTAAATTGATGTAAAAAACGTTTCAGGCCATTAGACATCGCTTTATACCTAAAAATTAATCAAAACCTTTGCAGCTCGACAGCAACGGAGTCCCAGTTCAAGGCGCCAACAACGTTGAAGGCCAACTCTACGCCCGGCATCAAGTCATGATGGACATGATGCTGCGGAACAAAGAACGAGTACTAATGCAACTGGCCGATCTTCAGAAGAAACTAGATGCGGCCGAAAAGGTTGAGATCTATCGCCGAATCCGTAGTGGAATCACAAACGCCGACGAATTCCGAAGACAACACTTGACCACGAGAAGCTTCTCACGACCAGCACGTGCTCGTTCACGTCCACCAGAGACCGAACGGCCCAGCAGACAACGAAGACATAGTGGAAGCTTTGACGACAGTGATTTGTTGAAGAGAATCGAGAATAACTATGAAGAGGCGCAGAAGGAGTACGAGCATGACAGTGGCAAGGGATTGTACGGTCGATTGGCGGCAAATGCTTACAAGTATCAGTACTTGCATAAGGTGAGGTTTGAGGTTTGAAAGAGTTGAAAATTTAGCGTTTAGGCGTCGAATCCTTCAAAAATTGTGCAAAAACCTTACAAAACGGCCCATTTTTGGTGCCTAAGGTACCTTAAGCACCAAAAATTAGAAACTCATGTTCCATATCAAACCAGAATGATAAGAATAAACCCTTCCAAAATTTCTAACCCGTCCTTCCCACCTCAATATCACAAACTACCCTAACATTCAAATTTCCAGCTAGACGACCGAACCCTCATCAACTACAAAGACATGCTGCAACGTCAACTCCAGAAGCTGGAACGTTTCCGCGAAGTGTCGTTTGGACCCCACTCCGTCGCCAAGCATCAACCCCAACTTCAGACGTCGTGGTTCTTCCGTCGCAGGTCTCTGCCGTCTTTAAGTCAATCCCAAGGCCAGAGTGCGCCACCCACCAATCAAACCAGAAAACGGCTGAGGTTAGAAGCGTCGCGCACTAGTTTCTATAGGCTTTTTCATTTCTACTCTACTGTTCTTTGGTTCAATGTGAAGTGTTGGCCTAAATTTTGGGGGCTACTTTATGTTTTGGCATTAGGTAGTGTGTTAGTCAAAAATTTTGGTTGATATGGGGTTTTTGTAGCCAAAATGAGAATTTTGATTTAGAAAAATATTTTTTTTTCAAATTTTTTAAATTTTAAAGTTTTTTTAAATTTCAAAAACTCAAGCAGAATCTTATACCTTTCGCTTCAGCTTTTTACCTTTTATGCTATAGTAAAAAGTCATTGTTACCTAAAGACTATATTTTAGAAAGCAACACTTTATCAAAAATGCATGCTGAGCTCCACTTTTCATCGATATTGTACTCAATTTTTTTGTAATATCTGTGAAGATCTCTTTTCTAACTACTTTTGTTACCTAAACAGTTACACTGTAAAGTCATTGCCACAAAATGTGAATGTAAAAACTACAGTTTACCGCACATTTACTAACACAGCAAAATTTTTAAAAAACTATTAGGTTGTTCAAATAATTTTGTCCCCCCTCCCCTTTCAAAACAAATTTTTGATCTCAAAAGAAATTTTAGGGGCACAGAATTATTTGAGCAACCTAACAACTTTTAGACATAGCCTCAACTATTTTTTTTTGCATCAAGTACTATATGATAACCAACCAATAGCCGCAAAACCGTATTTTACAAATTTTTAGCAACCGTGGCGCACAGTGGTACATTGTTTTTGCTGTTATATGATTTTAACAAGTAGACTAGCTTCATGTCGTTTTCTTATTGTTTTTTTGGTGTCGTGGTGGACAGGTTTTTTTATGGTTTTGGTATTTTTATTCGAAAAATATGTTTGCATACGTTTACAGATTTTAGTATGACGTATTTCCATTACATATGTTCATGTATATGTATTTTAGTTAAAACTTTATTTTCGTAGTTATATTATTAGGTTGTTCAAATAATTCTGTGCTCTCTAACCTCAAAAATGTGCTTTGAAAAGTCGGGAGCACAAAATTATTTGAACAATCTAATAAAATACTTTTTTTAATATTTTGTAACATTTTTTTGGTATTTCAATCTATATTGTTACAGTAACAAAAATCTTGTTAACCTACTTCAACTGTTAACTTTCAGAAACTCCAAGTCTGGTACAAGAGCAAGAACAGGTAAATCTTTGTCGCCTGGTCGAGCATCAAGATTGCCAGCGACAAGTGCTTCAGCACAGCCGGTTACTAAACGACCACCTGCACCAAAACAACCACCAAAGAAGCTACCACCTTTGCCAAAGAAGAAAGCGTCGCAGCCAAAAGCTAATGGAACCGCTCAAAACGGTCATAAGTTGCCACCAACCGCTGTTATACGGTAGGTCTTACTATCAAAACATAACTCTTAAAGTTTGATTTTTAAAAAAATTAAAGCTTCAACCAAATTTTAAGCAAAAAAAAAATAAATTTTATCACTTGAAGCACATTACCGTTAACAAAATCATTTTCACTTTAACATTTTCCTCTTACAGACCATCAAAGAAAGAACCAGAACGTTCAGCATCAGGAGCTTCAGTAGAAAAGCCCGACAAACTACCCTCAATCTCACCAACACCAGTTGCTATTGGCGCTGGAGCGGCAGCCGTTGGAGTAGCAGCTTTAAGCGCTCTTCAGCCTAGACCAGAAGAAAGCGATGGTGAATATTCTAGACCCGAGACCGAAGCTTCTGGCCATTTGCCAGTAAGCCAAGAAAGTGACGGGCCTTCACCTCAACCTCAAAGCGACGTTGAACCAGAAGAACAGGATAATGGTCATGAAGCTCAAGATGACAGTAACGAAGCTCAAGGTTACGGTCATGAAGCTAACGTCGAGCCGTCTACACCACAAGCTGAACGTAAATTCGACATGGACAACCACGTTGACAACCACGATTTGACTCAAGAACAGGTTGAACAATATGAAAATCACACTGAAGTAGCCCCTGAAGCTCACGAAGATCATGACCTAACTCAAGAACATGTCGAACAATTAGCTGATGAGCCTTCACACCAAGAATATGAAGAACCACATCAATATGAAGAAGCCTATAACCAAGAGCCAAAACACGATGATCTACAGGAAGAAGAATCAGTTCATTCAGAAAAAACACACGAAGCCCCCTCTGAACCACAAAGTCACCGTGAAGAAGTTGTTTCTGTAACGTCCTCACGATTGGAATCAGCACGCGAGCTTCTGGAAAGAGTTCGAGGCTCAGACAGTCCAGCTCAATCACCGAAGCCAGATGAGGCTCGTGGTGAATCTCAAATGTCCAAGGATTCCATCGATGGACATATTGATAGAGTTGAGTCAACGCATCTTGAAGCTGAACCTGAAGCTCATCATGAATACGAAGAAAGTCATTATGAAGCTGAACAACCTCATGAAGAATCAGAAGCCCACCACGATGAAGCCAGTGAAACTGCCGAAACTAACCGATCGTACGATGAAGTTCAAGTTCAACAAGCTCCAGAAGTAGAATCTCATGACTATAACGAGGCCGCTCACGATGAGCCGTCAGAATCACACAACGATAGTGTTAACGCCCATGATCATATTTCTGAATCTCAGATTGAGCCAGACCTCGTTTCGGCCTCTGAAAGCTTCAGACAAGCTGAAGAACAAGTTCAACATGATGTAGAAGAAGAAGAACATGCCAGAGATAAACGATCTGTTGAAGAGCCTTCTGAAGACATGCAAAGTTCAGTATATCAACAAGAAGAAGCTAGTGAACCTCAATTCCAAGATGAATATCAGCCAACAGAACACCATGAAGAACAACGGCACGAAGAGGTTCATCATGAAGAAGAACATCAACAACATGAAGATGAGCCTTCTCAAGAAGAGCAACATCAAACACGTCATCGTGACAGCTTCACGGAATCAGAATCTGAGCCAAACCTTCATTATCAAACTGAATCTTTCCATACTGAAGCTGACAATACGAGTCAAGTTGCTACATCTGAAGTCGAGCAAGCTCCACCTCAATCTGCTGACAGTTTCCACGAATCTTCAGTGCCAACGATCGAAGGTGAATCATTGAGAGACTCAGATGACGACACTCGACCAAGTAGCCAAACTCGTGAACAAAGTCACGATGTCTACAGCGTGCAAACTGAAGAAGGTCACCATGAATTGCCACGTGACCATGAAGTTCAGAATCTTCATGAGGAAGCACAAGGTTATGAGGACAGTCAAATTAGTCACGAAGACGTTCACGATGAGCATGAAAACATAGTTGATCATGAAGACGTAGAACGTAAGCCAAGCTACGAAAGCATGACAATTCAGCGTGACTCGGAGCCACAAGCTCAAGTTGAAGACTTTTCATCGTACCAACCTGAAAACTACGATGAAGAGGTTCATGACAACGTGCATGATATCGAAGAGCCAATTCAAAAAGTTGAGCACCACGATCTTGAATCTTCACAGTCAGAAGCTACTCATGAAGCTGACAATGGTCATTATGACGATGAAGCTGCTCATCAACAACATGACACAGATTACAAACACCATGAAGCCCCAGAGAATCATAAAAGCCACGATGACGTATCACCAAGATCAGAAGACCGTCATGACCAAGGTCCTTCAACCCCAGACTCTCCAACAGCTCACGATGTTGTTCCAGACACCCCAGCTCATGAAGATGAACACGTTGTTGACAACGCTGATGAAGAGAGCTTTGAACGTCGCTACTCTCAGCCTTTGACTGACATTACTAACGAAAGTCACGGTCAAGTTCACAACCATTCTTTGCTTTCTCAACCTTCAATTGAGATTACTCCGGCTTCTGAATACGGTGGATTCAGTGAACATCTCGACCGTTCCGCTAGGACCCCAGTCAGTCCAGTTGGACAAGCTGAATCCATTACCGAAGAGACTGAGGAAGTTCACGAGCCTGAGGAATCACACGAGTCTGCTTATGAGCAACATGAATCTCATAAACAACATGAAGTAGCTGATGCTCCAGAAGCTGCTCATGAACATGAAGAATACCATCTCCCAGACTCTCCAGATCCAAATGCTCATAATGATGTTATTCCTGAACAACATCAAGAACATGGTGAGATTACGGTACCTGAGGATGATGAAGTCAGCCCAAGAGATCACGTTCCTGAATATCATCCAGAAACACACGAGTATGATGCTGGACATGAACATGAGTACGAGAATCCTCACGAAGCTGAACTCGACAATGTTGAACAAGGTCATGACTCAACTCAAGAAGTTTCTCATGAACCAGCTACTGAAGACTCCTCTCATGAAGCTACACATGATTCTGGATTCACTCAAGAACGTCCGAAAAGCCGTGATGAATACCGTGACAATGACCATCAAGTTGAACATTTTCAATCAACCGAACAAGATTTTCATGATGCTTTGTCGCACGAATATGACCAAGCTCCAATTCAAAGCTCAACTCCAGAAGTTCACGATCAAGAGTACGATGATTCTGAAGGTCACCATGTTATTCATGAAGAACATCATGTTCAAGATTCTCCAGTTCATATTGAAACCGAATCTCTTGATATCACTCATGAACAACATATTGATGCTTCACCACGTTCCGAATTCTCGGGAAGTCAAGCGGATTCTGAAGCTCTCACTGGACGTACGGAGAACGTTTCTCCCAGTGACTTGGCTGTTGAACATGAAGATGTTTTGGCTAGTCCGAGACAAGAAGAACAAAATGATGAAGTTCAACATGATTCTGAATATCAACCTGAAGCTCAGCATGACGCCGAAGGTCATGATGATTATGATAATAAACAAGACCTTCACACCTACGACAACTCAGAAGCCCAACAAAATGAACCTGAAGTATACCACGATGAATTCACAGACGAACAAGGTCACCATGTAGTTCATGAAGAACATCATGTTGAGGAAGTGTCACCTGGGGTTCAAGTTAAATCATATCATTATGAACAAACCACTGAACACACTGGCGACGACGGTGGTGTCACTAAACGTTCAGAATATTCAGAACGTTCCGTGACTGATGAGCACCCAAATCTGATGGAACAGTCGGTGTACGAAGGTCATGAACAAGACAACAATGGCAATAACTATGACCAAGACGATTCTTACGGTCATGACAATCATGGTCAAGGTTATGAAAACCATGAAGATCACTCTTCAGTTCACGAACAAGCTCACGAACACGATATCTATGCCGGTCAAAGCCAAGGCAGTCAAGAGAAACTTCATCCAGTACAACTACATCATGAACCAGAACATCAAATCGTCTCCGAAGACTATGTTGTAGACCAACAACATCATGATCAGCTTCCAGAAAACCTAGCTGACAATATCGATCTTACCCATGAACAAAAGATCCATGAATATTCGTATGTTGATGACTCTCAACCAGGTCATCACGTTGAAGAACATCACTACACAATCACTTCAGATGCCGAGCCTAACAAGAACATTGAAGTAGAAGATTATCAGGAAGAGATCAATGATGCTAACGGTACACATGTGGTGAAGCACTTCCAATCAACTACCACTATTGTCAACGAGAACGGTAACGGAAAGCCGTACTCTAATGGCCACGACGATGATGGTATTAACGAGAAAACATCATTGTTAGGCCGTGACGATAGCGATGATGGAGATACTGATAGCGTCATTATTAGATCTAGTCCAGAAACTACAGATCGCACTGATCGTACTGATCAAACCGAACAGGAAACTGGCCGAGCTGAGATTTGAAGAGCTAACCTAATATAATATCATGGAGAAGATGCTGCAATGCTTTACAACTCATTTTTGTAGCATCATAACTTTGTAATATAACTACGTTATACAATTTCAAATCGCTTCAACACAAAAACCTATGGTAATATGGCCAAATTATCTTGAAAAACATCATTACCATGTTGTCACCTATACCTACTGATGTCAAAAACCACAAAATCTAATACGTTGTCTAAATCCCCGTCCATCAGCATGCTCTACGCTTCTTCAAATACTAGGTACCACAATATCCTATTCATTTTTACATTTATTTTTTGAATTTTCGTTTTCCCGCCAAGCAAATCTTATTGTTAACCCTTAGGCACTGTGGCCCTAATCTAGTCTTTATTTCGTCGAAAACAATATGGATAGAACAAGGTTCCTATTATTGCAATAGTCAATCCAAAAAATATTGTTTCAGATGAATATCGACTAGTCGATTAAGTGATGATCACTTTTTTGATCTCAATCCCTATATTATTCTAGTTTTGGGCTTACACTTCAAAGTTTACTGCTTTTCACTTGTTTTCTTTCAATTTATCCCAAAATACAGCTTTACCATGGTATATTGTTGTCGTATCTTCATAGTACCTTTCTATTTTTATTGTTTTAGCGTTTCTTTCTTGCACTATTCAGTCAATCCATTAATTTTCTCGCATTTTCTTTACATTTCAACTAAGCATCTATGTTGCCTTGTAAAATACAAAAGAATTAATGGATCCACCTAACAGTACTATATCTTGCTCGCATATTATAGTGTCAGATCTTATTTCTCGATTTTAATGTCTAATATCCTTTTAGCACCCTAAAATCCTATTTTAAAATCTTGTTTTCATATTGTAGTAGCCCCATTTGCATTAAATTACATTGCATTACAGTATTCTACCGTATTCTCATTCAGTATTACCGTTTATGCTTGACTTTTGTTGTTCAGCACACTATTTGATTTCATTTTACTAGGTTGGTCGGTTAAAATGACCTTTCTTATAACTAAAATCAACATTCGAGAAGGGCATTGTTAACTGATTGACTTAAAATTACATTTTACTGGTTTTACAACTGTTATTTCTTTACTGCAACTAGTTGATTCACAAAATAAAGCTCATATATCAATTCTTTGGCTGTTTGTTACCCAAATATAGAGAAAGAATCGTGTATGGACAACAGATCAAACATTTTTTAAATTTTTAGGTAATAAATTTACATCACGAAATTAAAATGTCCGTATTTTACTCTCACTTCTTTCCTGAGCACTTAATCAAAATAAGATACATATCCATCTATTTATTTTACCTAAAAACAGAAACAAAAAACAAGAAAGACATACCTTCATCCACAATATTGCATATCACCGTGAAGTTTGGGAAGCAACGCTTGAAATCTGAAACATAATGTAAAAAATTCCATTTCAGATTTTTAGTATACTCAATTGTCCCACACACCAAGACTTTATGGCCAAAAGCGGTCAAGACCCGAGAAGAAAATAACTTCAAAGATGAAGTATTTTATGGAAATTCAACGAAATGTCTATAAAATATCTCATGATAACATGCTTTAAATTATATATACTGTTAATTATTAGTTATGTATATGTTTTTAAATGATTTTTTGATTATTCAAAAAATATAGTTTTTGTAAATAAAGTTTTTGAAAGTTCTTATTGTTCAGTAGTGTCTTTGACTTCCGAAACTTAATGATTGGTCACTTACGACCTAAAACAACTTGTTTAGACAATTTTTAAACTATTTTTCGAAGTGTGTTTAAAACAACGTTATCTTTTTTGTCTTTTCCTGATTTTAATCCAGACGTGATTGCGTAAAAATGATCGAATTAAAGGATGTGCGAAACCGGCTTTCGAGTCTTCATAGTTTGTGCTTCATCGCTAATGCAGCTTTTTGATTAACATATAAAACTTTATACTGTTTTTATTGGTTATTCCGAGGTGTCTCAAGGATAAAATATGACTGCACATTTTGATGACAAATATTATGTTACAGTACACGTCTGTCTGAAATGGGAAATGACCAATAGTGGCTTTTCGTTCGTTGCGAATTGTTTTTAAATTTTATTTTAATTTTCGCGTTGAAATGTAACGAAAAGCCAGAAAATTCCATTTCCAATTTTTGTTTTATTTCAGACAGACGTGCAGTACTCTTATTATCATAAAACTTTCATGTAAATGCACAGGGCAAAGTTCCCAACCTGCCCCGCTCAAAATTAGCTCAAAATTTTTATATGAGTTCCTTGTAGTACCAATGGTACACATAAAAGATTATAGCTCGAGTTTTTGAGTTTTGAAATTTAAAATATTTGGGTTTCCGGTTAATTTGGCATTCCGTTTCAAGCACTTTTTGTGATGTTTTAGTTAAACCACGCATACAACTTTAAAAATGTAGGTCCACTTAAAGGCTTTCTACTAGTATGTGAAAGAAAAATGATTAAAAGTCAAAAATTGACAAAGTTATAAGCTTTAAACACAATGCCAATTTAGCGAAAAATCTAAAACATAATTTTTTGATTTCGGCTTTTTCCAGATTTCATGGAAATCGCGTTTTAGTACTTTTCTGTAGGTCTTATATTTACACTATCTTTCTCCATAAAAAAGTTTGAATTCAATCAGAGCTAGGCAGGTGAGGCACTTTCCTCGTTAGAAAATCTCAAAAAAAAAAAAAAATTAAAACGATGTTGTGAGACGTTTTTTGCAACTGTGTATCGCTCATTAATAACTTCATTATTCTACCGTGATATACTACCGTTCACATAAATCTTTCCAAATTTCATTTTCTTTTTATTTATTATCTTTTGTCATCGCATTTGGAACGTGACAGAGTTTAGTTTAGTTACACTATGACAATCACGAAATAGTTAGGAATTCGAGAATCAGAAACAATACAAAATGATCAGATCAATGAATTTTTATTTTTGTTTTACATTTTTTGTTGATTCTGATTAATTTAAAAAATTTTTTTTGTCCAAAATTTTTGAAAAATTTAAAAACTTTGAAGCTTTCTAACTTCTGAATCCTACGGTAAGTTTTTACAAAATTTAGTGAGAAGACAACTTGTAGGGGATTAAAAGTTTGCTAATTTAATCTTTTTGCCTGAGGCAGTTTTTGTAAAAAATTTATTTTCACGACCCCCTCTTGGAAGTTGCAGGCACTTTGACAGCGTACTTTTAACGTATATTAAAGCTCTGAAATTCGATATAAAAAACATTAGACATACTAACTATAAAAACGCTGGCTATTACTGTAGCCTAAACCATAAAAAGCTATTTTGCAATCTTTTGCGACATTACTTTTGCTACAACACATACGTTTCTTACACGCTCGCTAACCACAAAACACATTTTCTTCCACGACATTACGACATAACTCTATATCGACAGCTATGTCTAAACCAACATCCAGAAGCTTCGTTATCTTTCCTACATCTCAGACAACTTGAAACAACGTTCTATCTCCAAAGTTGTTTTTGCGAAGACCACCGTTGTTCTTTATGAGGTTGTGAACATTCTTCGTAACGTACCTTCACATCCGGCGATTGAAACATTCCCAATTGCAAAACTTGTTTTCGCGCATTTTTATTTCGAACCTACGAAAAAGTTGGAAGGAAATGTCACATAGGCGGAGAAACAGGCGGATCCTCATATTCAGTGACAAGGTGTATATAAACATTGGAGTGACATTTGGATCTTCAAGACGCTTCTGTGTTCTTAAAGTAAGTTTACAAGGTTTACTTTGGGGTTACTTTAAACTATTTTATATTTGACTATTTTTGAAATTTCAAAATGTTTGATTTTTTTAAAAATTTTACTAAACTTTATTCCATTTTTGGCATTTTTTCAATTTTCAAGCCTATTTTAGTTATCAAATCAAATTTTTAATTCCAAAAGCAAACTTTCATTAGGTCCCCCAGTATATTTAGCACCAAAAACCATCAATTTCAACAAGCTTTTACCCCTGCCATTTTCAGAATGAGAGTTTTCTTCGTCCTCGCCTTGTTCATCGGCGCCGCTTCGGCCTTCTTGTTCCCAACCCCACCAGCTGCCGGCGGTTGCTGCCCACCACCACCAGCCCCAAGCTGTGGATGTGCCCCACCTCCACCACCACCACCCCCACCACCACCACCAAGCTGTGGCTGTGCCCCGCCACCATCCCCATGCGGATGCGGAGGCAAATAAGCTGTGAACTGATAGAATGTCTGTATTATACATGGTGAAGAAATAAATCTTATTTCTATATTGTTTTGATTGGAATTTTATTTGGACTTTTCAAAAACTTCTTCAAAATTTTTAAATTTTATGTAATTTTACAAGACTAACTTGTCAGTTATACATCTTGCATAATTTTAAAGTAATCCACAACTTATCTAAAAATACAAATAAACTGCAATTTGCGCCCATTATTTCGGCCACAAAAATTTTTTTTTTCAAATTTTTTTCAAAAAAATGTAAACTTTCCAATTTTATCAACTACCACTTCAAAATCTTCACTTTCCGATGTTTAATTTCTTTTTCAATACGAAAAAACCTAAGCTATCACCAACAATGTGTCCTGGGCCTCAAGAACATCAAGTTCAAGAGCTGGTTTTGTACCACCTGCCCTGCTTTGTTGAAAAAAGACTGATCATCACTGACAACTTCAACATTCTTTATAAAAAATTAAAAAGACTTTTAACTTCACTTTTTAAAATTTAAAAACGCCTCGATTAACATTAACAAGGAAAGTACCTAAGCTGCAACTCTTAGAGTTAGCTCAAAATTTTTATACGGATCTTTGTAGTACCAGTAGCACATATAAAAAATCTTAGCTTGCGGCTTTAACTTTTAAAAATTAGTATATTTAAATTTTCCGCTAATTTGGCATCGTGTTGCAAGCACTTTTTTTTTGATGTTCCTGGTAAGATAAGCTTACAATTTTGGAATTGCAAGTTCATTTGACGCTTTTCTATCATTACATTAAAGAAAAATAGTTAAAAGTCAAAAAATGACAAAGTTAAAAGCTTGAAACACTATGCCAATTTGGCGCTAAATTCAAAAACGCGATATTTTGATTTCGATTTTCTCAAGACTGGCCGCAAACCGCAACTTAGAATTTTGCATAAGATCTTACATTTACATAACCTTTCAGTTAAAAAAATTTAAACGCAATCTGAGCGTTGCAGGTTGGGTGACTTCCTTGTAAGCTTGAATTTAATTCAACTTTTAAACATATTATATGATAAGTTTCAAACTAATGCCTACAAATTCCCAAAGAAAATAATATCCTCATTACAGGCGTTTGCTTTTTGCAATCATCTACTCACGAGTTACAGACCCGAACAGACAGTGCATTCCACCTCCATCTCATGTTACGATCTCCGAGCTGATTGCGGCGTGCGAATTCGCAACAACAAGCAATAACTTGTTGTTTAAAGTGCAGCAAAGGTTCGGATATCCTTGTCTCGCACGCGGCGGCATTCCATTAAACGCTTAGAAAAACAAGGAAGATGGTCACAGTGGGGATGGCAACACCCCTTACAGTGCAATAGAAAGACTGGCCTTCTAATAACTGTAGAGTAACAGGAGTAGCGACATTGGTCATGGTGGTAGGATAAAAAAGGAGAGTGATGTAGATGGTGAGAAGAAAATCATAAAGATGGTGAGGCTATGAGAGAGCAAGGTTTCTTACAGTACAGTAAGATTAAGATCAGCCATGGTAAAGACAAGTGTAGTAAAGAAAGAGCGGCATGTCTAATGACATTGCGGTAAAGTGAAGACAATGCAGTAACTAGAGACCGCTGCAGTAAAGCGAGTTCAGTAACGAGAGATCGACACCACTTACAGTGAAGTAAGAAAGACATTGACTTTCACAGAGACAGTTAAAGAAAAAGAGAACAAAAACTATCTTAACAGAACCATAAAACTTCAGCAACACCCCCTAAAGCGAAATAATAGGAAAGCTACACTCCCTAAAGAAGAATAATAAGAAGGCTACACCCCTCCTCATAATTACAATATCAAAACAGGTTCGACAGCTCAGCTTACAAGAGTTACAGAGTATAAATAGTGGTGTTCGGTGACATTACACCAACATCTTCGCTTGTGTTCAATCGAGTAAGTTCTAGGGCTGGTATTAGGGATTCTGTAGGGTTTTTAGCTTCAAATTCTTCTAAATTTTTGTGATTTTTAAATTTTGAAAAAAAAATATTTTTGGTCGTATGCCTTTTCTAAACATAACTATGTCATCGTTTTTCAAAAATTCTTTAAGAATTATGGAAAAAGTTTTCAAAACACCCTTGCCAATAAAGAGCCTATTACTTTACCTTAACTTATCCTAATATCACCCCCAATCGGTATATTATCTTATATTACCACACCCCAGTTGATATATTATCTTATAACACCACCCCAATTCCAGGATGAGAGTACTCTTCATAACAACCCTGTTCTTGGCTTCGGCCACCGCCTTCTTGTTCCCATCGTCAGGTGGCGGAGGCTGTGGATGTGCACCACCACCACAACCATGCTGTCCACCCCCACCACCACCATGTTGTCCACCTCCACTCCCACCACCACCTCCACCCCCACCACCATCGCCATGCGGCGGAGGCTTCGGCGGCGGCGGTGGCGGCGGTTGCGGCGGAGGCTGCGGCGGAGGTGGCGGTGGATGCGGCGGTGGCTGCGGAGGAGGTTGCGGAAAGAAGTAAGATGGTACTAGCGGCAAGAATGGTGCTACAGGTTAAAATTATGCAAATTGATCAAATGGTGCCACTGGTACATGTTTTTGCTAATGGCTCCAGTTGCTTTAATTTGGTTCCATATAACAATGCCATACTTGTAACACTGGTTGAACTAGTACAAATGGTTATACTTAATCTACTTCTACTGGTCCCACTGGTACACTACTCCATTATTCAATATAAAACCTCTTTTTTTCAGCCTCAGTTTTTAAAATTCGTCTAATTTTAGGGTATTTTAACAAGCATATCACACTAAAAGTCATTTTAGTGTCGCATTAACAAAATTTAACAACTTTGGTACTGTTGTTAGTCTCTTTTCAACCTAATATTACATTCTCTTGATGGTTTAACAAATCGGTGATGGGAAAGCATATGAAAAGCTGCAATATTGTTAGCTATTGTAATGTTGAAAATAAACTTTTGTTCAAAGAATTGGCATTTTTAATATTATGGGGTTCAATCGCTCAGTATTTTTTATACAAGTTAATATTTAACCTTAACCTAGCTCTTGAGGGCATGCAAGCCAGGAACCTAACTTTTTTAGGGTGAAAGAGGTAAAGACTTTGTAAATTTTATTTTTTTTAAATAAGGGTGTCGTGTTGAATTTTTAATTTTTTGACCTTACCCACCTTTTGCCACGCTCTGATTATAAAAATATTATTTTGACCAAAATAACGTTCAAAAAATAAAAAAACATTTTTTTGAGTTACAAGCCTAGTAGATCGTAAAAATCGTTTACAATCCTTTCCCAAAGCCAATTAAGAAGAATATCCTGTAACTACTAAAAAATCTAAGAATTTCATGTAATTACCAAAAGATCCCCTTCCAAATTGCTTTATGATCTCCTCCAAAAACACGGCAATAAATTTGTTATCCGCGCGACGTGAGAAAGTAAGTTAGTGATCAATTACGCCCAAATTCACTGTTTTTCCAAAGTAATGGAGCTAAATATTGAGGTGATTAAAAACAGCTGATATTTTATATTTCTTTATCATTTCTTTTTTACTTATTTTGATATATAGATGGCCATTTAAAAGCTATGTATGGCTTATACCCATCGTAAGTGTTATTACTCCCAAAGCGCATAAAAAAAAAAAAAAATTTTTAAATTAATTTTTTTCTAATGAAGTTTTTAACTACATGCTATAAAATATATTATAATATACACAAAATTTTACATGTTATTATAAAGTAGACAGCTCCAGTATCACAGTACTAATCTACATCAGAAGCCCTGCAGAGGGGCTCGGGGCGCGATGAGTCTTCGTAACTTCGTAAGGCTTGGAGTAATCGATCATTTTCATTTCGCACACGCTAAAAATAATTTTGACCAATTTTAGCATCTTTTAAAAACCAACTGCCCATACTTAAACTAATGATTAAACATTCCTAACCTAAAACAATATAAAAATGCCACCTACGGATCTAATGTTTTGCCAAAATCAACCAAAAGTTTCGCCGAAGGTCTGTAGTCAACATTTTCCGGCAAGTTTATGCTTATTTCGACCAGCAAGCTCTTGTCACTCACGACCCAAAGACCTCCATCTTCTGGGGTTAGTAAAAGTTCAGACGTGCGTATCTAAAATGGAAAAATTAAAATTCATGTTAATATTATAACTTAAACATTATTATATGCTTTAAAGCTTGCCTGTGCTTTTTACATTATTATACTGTCTTCCCGAATATCAAAAATGGCAGTAACTGTTCAAAAAAGACAAAATATAAAATGATTTTATTGAAGAAGTTAGTGGTATGGTAGATTTACTGTAACTTCCAAAATAAACTCAATTTTAAAAAGCCATTGAATATATAGGTAGTGAAAAGAATAAGCTACAATCCTCCCAAATTTCTAACCCATAGCTATAATATGACAAAAGTTATGACAAGAAATAATTGATATACTACTAGCTTTTAACACCCGCTTCAACAAAACTTTTAAAAAATGTCTAAAAAGTCAATTTTGCTCAAAATCAAACTATACCGACTAGTAAAAACCAGAATAAACTATCTTCATCAACAATCAATGCCAAATAATCAAAAAAGAACCTACTTTAATATTGTTGTAGGTATACACTTTTCCATGGACCGGATATTCGTATTCCTTTTGTAAGCCCAAACATGTGAGGAATTCATCAATATTACGTGATGATATAAATGTGTTGATGCATTTTCGATAAACAACACTTTCTTCCGGCTCAATATGTCCATAATACTTTAGGTGATAGTGTCCCTTGGTTTTCGAATCGCTTCTTTCACGCAACTTCAAGTCAATGTTAGGTATTCGTTCACGTGTGCAACCGTAAATAGGGTATTCTAAAATCATTCTTCAATATTATTAACGTATATAAGCTTTAAAACATCAAGGTTTGTGAGGAAACCAAAGACTTGGACAAAAGTCCCGAATGAATAGGTAATAAAACCTATAACAAGGTCAAAAATCAAAAGGTTTACCCAAAAAATAAGACTCACTGTTAGTATATGTCGTTTCATGTTCTGTGTATGTCACTTTTGTAACACAATGATTATCAAGATACTGAAAAAGATAGGCGGCCCATTCTTTCTTCACAGATCCATACATAACCAGCTCTTGAACATGGTATTGGCCCCTTTCAGGGATTATAAACGGAGTTGGTGATGGTAGATTAGTTCTATCCACATCGGAAGATGAATCTGACATTAGAAAGTGTAGAGTTTGAAGTGTTAGTTATGAAAAAGTTAGGAAATTTTACATTTTTTCAGAGAAAAAATCCGATAAAAAAAAACATTTTTTTTGGCCAAAATAATGGGCGCAAACTGCAGTTGATGTGTAATTTTGGGTAACTTGATGGCTTATTTTTAAAATTATGAGATGCATAACTGATAAGTTAGTTTTATAAAATTAAGAGTAAACTTTAAAATTTTTGAAGTTATTTTCGAAAAGATTTGGAAGTTTAAACTTTGACCTTTATATCAAGTAAAGCTTTTTGTTACCTAATCTATTTTTTTAAATTTAAAACCTGATTCCAAATAAAATTCCAATCAAAAACCGTTAACAATATAGAAATATGTTTTATTTCTTCACCATGTATAATACAGACATTCTATCAGTTCACAGCTTATTTGCAAGCTTATCTTACCAGGAACATCAAAAAAAGTGCTTGCAACACAATGCCAAATTGGCGGAAAATTTAAATATATTATGTTTTAAAAGTTAAAGCCGCAAGCTAAGATTTTTTATGTACTACTGGTACTACAAAGATCCGTATAAAAATTTTGAGCTAACTCTGAGCGGGGCAGGTAGGGTACTTTCTTTTTGAAAATTTATGTAAATGTAAGATATTATGCAAAATTCTAAGTTGCGGTTTGCGGCCAGTCTTGAGAAAATCGAAATCAATTTTCCCGCCAAATTGGCATAGTGTTTCAAGCTTTTAACTTTGTCATTTTTTGACTTTTAACTATTTTTCTTTAATGTAATGATAGAAAAGCGTCAAATGAACTTGCAATTCCAAAATTGTAAGCTTATCTTACCAGGAACATCAAAAAAAAGTGCTTGCAACACGATGCCAAATTAGCGGAAAATTTAAATATACTAATTTTTAAAAGTTAAAGCCGCAAGCTAAGATTTTTTATATGTGCTACTGGTACTACAAAGATCCGTATAAAAATTTTGAGCTAACTCTAAGAGTTGCAGCTTAGGTACTTTCCTTGTTAATGTTAATCGAGGCGTTTTTAAATTTTAAAAAGTGAAGTTAAAAGTCTTTTTAATTTTTTATAAAGAATGTTGAAGTTGTCAGTGATGATCAGTCTTTTTTCAACAAAGCAGGGCAGGTGGTACAAAACCAGCTCTTGAACTTGATGTTCTTGAGGCCCAGGACACATTGTTGGTGATAGCTTAGGTTTTTTCGTATTGAAAAAGAAATTAAACATCGGAAAGTGAAGATTTTGAAGTGGTAGTTGATAAAATTGGAAAGTTTACATTTTTTTGAAAAAAATTTGAAAAAAAAATTTTTGTGGCCGAAATAATGGGCGCAAATTGCAGTTTATTTGTATTTTTAGATAAGTTGTGGATTACTTTAAAATTATGCAAGATGTATAACTGACAAGTTAGTCTTGTAAAATTACATAAAATTTAAAAATTTTGAAGAAGTTTTTGAAAAGTCCAAATAAAATTCCAATCAAAACAATATAGAAATAAGATTTATTTCTTCACCATGTATAATACAGACATTCTATCAGTTCACAGCTTATTTGCCTCCGCATCCGCATGGGGATGGTGGCGGGGCACAGCCACAGCTTGGTGGTGGTGGTGGGGGTGGTGGTGGTGGAGGTGGGGCACATCCACAGCTTGGGGCTGGTGGTGGTGGGCAGCAACCGCCGGCAGCTGGTGGGGTTGGGAACAAGAAGGCCGAAGCGGCGCCGATGAACAAGGCGAGGACGAAGAAAACTCTCATTCTGAAAATGGCAGGGGTAAAAGCTTGTTGAAATTGATGGTTTTTGGTGCTAAATATACTGGGGGACCTAATGAAAGTTTGCTTTTGGAATTAAAAATTTGATTTGTTACCTGAAAAATGAAAAAAAAGCGAAACATTTTGTGATTTGGCCTACTACAATATCTTTTTTTTTGAATAAATAACGTCTATGTAATAAAATATTTACTTTTAGGTAACAAAACGCATCACAGAGCTTTAAAAATTCTATAAATATCCAAAACAAGGCCGTTAATCTAAACAACCTATCAAAATAAGTCTAAAAGTGAACTTACTTTAGAAACAAATGAATTGTCTGAAGAATCAGAAGCAAGTTTCTATATTTATACCATGTTTCAATACCGCCTAGTTAACGTTCTCACGTTAGCAAAGCGTCCAGTTCAAGTTGACGCGTCGCGTCGCTGAAAAAAAGTTTTGTCAGACGAAACGATTGTTTTAGAATGTCTGCATTCTTCTCGTTACGTTATCCGTAGCTGATTAAGAAACTGGTAGAGATGTTAATTTAGGTGATGAATTAAGTGGGTTGTTTTAGGTAATAGACTAATTAGCAATTATTTTGTAGTAGGTAATAAACTGATTAGCAATTGTGTTGATATAGGTAATGAATTAACTACTTTTATGTTGTTATAGGTAGTAGATTAGCTACATTTTATGTTAATATAAGTAAGCTGGTTCTTGGAGTGTAAATATTTTTTAAATTTTGATTATTTTTTGGAATTGCCGTTTATGATAAATCAAAAAGCTGCCAAATTGAGTTAAACCTTGTTTAATTTTATTCAAAAACAATAATTTGAACAACATATTGCTTTGTGAACCAGTATATATATGTCTAACCTTCACCAAACCCAAATGTAAAACTATAAGATGAGAAAACGTTGGATCCTAATTGTAATGAGAAGTTGTAGTTGTGACAGTAGTAGTAGAAATGTATTAGTAGAACCATTTAGTAGTACCAGCAGAAAACGTAGCACTAATCAATAGTACCAGTAAAATGAGTAGTACTAACCGGTAGTACCAAACTCTATAGTACTACTAATTTAATCAGTAGTACACATTGAACTAGTAGTGCTAACAACATTAGTAGTACCAAGTGTCCCATTATCACCAGTTTACTTCTTTCCGCATCCACCGCCGCAGCCACCGCCGCCGCCGCAACCACCGCCGCCTCCGCCGCAGCCTCCGCCGCCGCCTCCACATCCACCGCCGCAGCCTCCGCCGCCGCCCCCGCAGCCTCCGCCGCAGCCTCCACCGCCGCCCCCGCAGCCTCCGCCGCATCCTCCGCCGCCACCGCCGCATCCGCCGCCGCAGCCACCGCCGCCTCCGCCGCAACCGCCACCGCCGAAGCCTCCGCCGCCGAAGCCGCCGCCACCGCATGGAGCTGGTGGTGGTGGTGGTGGGGGTGGAGGTGGTGGTGGAAGTGGGGGTGGACAGCATGGCTGTGGTGGGGGTGGACAGCATGGTTGTGGGGGCGGTGCACATCCACAGCCTCCTCCGCCGCCCGACATTGGAAAGAGGAAGGCTTGGGCCGCGACGGCTATCGCAGCCGCAATGATCAGGGTTCTCATGGTTGACTGAAAGAAAGAGAGGGTACTGTAAGGTAGTTCTGGGATTTTTTTGGTACTACGTTGGTTACGGTTACAGTACTTATAGTTCTATTATTGAAAAATTATCTATCAAAAAGTAACAAGAAGACCCAAAAATTGAAAAAATCTTCACTAAAAAGCCTCTAATAGCTACAATAATATCAAGAAAATCAAAAATAACTATAGTAGTACCTATAGTACTAAGCTCAGAACCCCAAATCCTTACCTGTAGAGACAGTAGAAGAAGAATCCGAAGATGCTTGTCGAATGTGCCGCTCGACCGTCCTTAAATACCAGCAAAGATGTCTTACATAACACGTTACAAGACTAATATCGTCAATCTTACAGTCGGAGATAGCCGTTCAACGCGTAAACAAATCACTTGAACAGGATTGCAGAGCTTGTCGCTGACATACGAACAGATACCACGCTTCACACCAAGTCAGCTACAGAAGAAACCCGAAGCTGAATTAACACTTGTTCATCTGTTGATAGAGGATAAATCAATTTGAAGAGTTACAGTTACGTTGTTGTTTGAGAGTAAAGAGTTACAGTTCTGTTGGTTTTTGAAAGTAAAGGTGAGATATTCTTCAAATTAGTTGCAGTCTCAGTAATAGAGTTAAAAGTAGTGCAATATTGTAAGTTTTTTTCCAAAAAATTAGTATCATTAAAAATCAAAAAAAGTTCTCATACTGCCTTTTGATAGAAGCCTAATCTATTCTAATAGTTTGTACAAAGTTCTCTGCATCTTTTTGATGGCATAACTTTAAAAAATTTCTCTAGGGAATTTAAAATTTGATCGTTATGAGGTTTTGTTATACGAGAGTTTTAAACGCCCTGTGTAGTGTTGCCAGGAAATTAAAATTTAAATAAATAAATAAATAAAAATAAACTTTTGCACTTTTTTACTATGTCGTTCGCTTAATTCTGCGCCCCATAACTCCAAAAATTGCTTACAAAGAAGCGCAAAATTAAGTAAACGGCCTAAGATTAGTTTATAAGCCCGTAGAGGTTTATGAAAATTTTGAAAAAAATTGGTTTTTATTAAATTAGTGTGTGGCAATCGCAAATACAACATAAGCATATGTAGTTTAAAACGACTCTTGTTTTTACAGCCTGTGAACTCTTCTGTAATAAAATTCGTAGAGCAAAGATGTATTTGTTTATGAAAAATTAATTTCATTCTTATAATATTACACGCACATTTTTTTATAATTATGTGGGAGTGTTTGTTAAACAGTAAATTTTTTGGCCGTTAGATATTGTTTTTTAGACTACACATGAGCGACATTCAAATTTTTTTACAAAAATTTTTTGGAAAAGGGAATCTCTCTACCTTGTCCCCTCCCTCCTGACTGCCCCTGGTGACAATGAGTTTGGGTAAATAATTTTTGCTATCAATTCGGGCAAGTGTTTTTGATTCAAAAAATGTTTTTAAAAAAGCTATGTTACAATAAATGTGTTTTGAAGTCTTTGGGTTTCATATTTTTCAAACCAATACGTACATTTTGATGTCTTCTTATGCTGTTGGTTAAACCTCACGTAGCTCATAAATTTTTTGCAGCTTTATGAAAAATTGCAATCTTGGTTAATAGTTTTCAAACTTAAAAAAAAGTTGAGGACTTCTCTTTTTTTCGTATGTCATGAAGTTCAAAATCTCTCACTACTACAGGAGATACAAGCTTCAAAGGCTTTCTTTGAAGTTTGTCCTAAGGCTCCTAAACTCCAGAATTGTTCTTTGTTGAGTTCTAAAGCTTTAATTTTTTTCGTGCTATTTAACTCATATGCTTTAGAATCTCTCTGTTTTACGTAGCTCAAAATTCATAGTCCTCTCTATCACAGAGGGCCCAAACTTGAAAAACTCCCTGTGTTTCAAGCTTCAGAATCGTTCTTTGCTGCGTAGCTCTGATGTTTTAAGTTTTATCTTTCAAGCTTCAGAACCTTTCGATCTTACGAAGCTCTCAAACTTCAAAGCTTTCCTTTGTTCCGAAACTCATAAAGTCCAGAACCTTTAGCAATCACTTAGCTCACAATCTTGAGAATCTCTATCCATCACGTAGCTCATAATCTTCAGAACCTTATTGATCAAAATTTTGAAAAAAAACGCTGCAAGAAAGCGGTCGTAAAAACAAGAAGCTTCTCGTCGTATCTTGACGAACACGTCGAAGATCTTAAAGATCGACTTTGGCGACAAATTCCTCACTCGAACCTCGTTTAAACAAAAAACGGTAACCTTGACTTCGAAATGACGTCACGAGGTTGAGTCGAAGCGAAATGACAGATGATAATGCACTCGGATGGAACCTGTTTAGTGTTTCCAAAGGTATTGTTTTAGTTGGTTAAGGTGTGGCTAGCCATCATTTGGGTTACAGTGTTTATATTGTAGTTAACAAAGCATAACATTATATTTTACCTTCTTTAGCTAAAACACATTTTCAAAAGATAACATCAATTTCACATTATACCACTTGACACGCAAAAACATTACAAGGTTATTCTTCACCTGACCCGCTCAGAACCAGGTCCAAATTTTTATATGACTTCTTTTTTTCAATAAAATACCTTACTATTATATACATACAGTTTATTGTGTACATCAGAGTGCTGAGATCTATGGGTAAAATCAAATAAAAAAAGATTTTAAAAAATTTAAAAAAATGAAAAATATCACATAATATTAAGTTACAGCTAGATATGATAACATTGTAAAGAACGTAACAGTAAACATCATTATTGTACAAACAATACAGTAATAAGTTAAGTATCAGTTTAATGCGAAAAGAATGACGCATTTTATAAAGACCACCAAATAAAAAAACTTTTTTAAATACCAGGTTTTTTCAAATAATTCTGTGCTCCATGACCCAAAAAAAATTAGCTTTAAGAAGGGGCACATAACTATTTGAACAACCTAATATTAAAGTGCGCTTCAAAAAAGTCTTGTCCCATTTGAACGTGCAAAACAATATAAATCAACGACAAGACTTTTTGAAGCTCAAGAAATAGGAAATAAGATTAAAGTGCCATTCTTTTTGCATCAGCTATAATTGGATTGTTCAAAAAATTTTAAGAAATTGACTGATAGTTTTTAAAAAAATTAAAATTTTTAAAAAAGTAAAAAACCTACTGTAAATCAACTTGGCTTTTATGCACCATACTACACCTTTCTCATACCATAAAACGACTTTTAATTACAATACTACACCTTTCTAGTACCATACAACGACATTTAAGTACCATACTGAAACTACCAAGTACCAAACCAAACATTTTACAGTACTAAACCGCAAATTTCTAAGCACAGTACTCTAGCACATACTGACTAAGCGTCATCACATTGAATGCCATCAAAGTGAACAGCACCTCGGTCGAAGCCAAGTACGTCTGTTCTCCTAAAGTCAATAATGGAGTCTCGGAACAGCTCACAATACTTGATTGGACCTTCCATTTGAATCAAATTGGCCGAGCGACAACGTTCGTAATGGCAGGCCGCGAAGCATTGGGCTGGGCTGAAATTTCATTTGTAAATTTTAAAAAAATTTCGTTTTAAACTCTTCTCCCTCCCCTTCCAAAATCAACCCCCCCCCCACCTGTAAATATAGTCCTTCAAAGCCAAGCTCCTTACCTAGTAACCATGACTTTCTTAATAGTACGTTCTCCATTGAACACGGTCTGATATAAAGCACTGTAGCGACATTGTCCGACCGGTGGATATACTTTTTGTGTTGTAGTGGCTATCGTCGTGGTTGATGAAGTCGTAGGCTTCGGTGTTGTTGTAGTAGTCTTTGTAGTTGTTGGAGCTGCTGTGGTTGTTGTTGTAGTCGTTGTTGTGGGTCTAAAACAACATTTTTATGGAAAAGAAGGCAATGAATGTTTGATCCATTAATTTTTTTCGTTTTTTTGAAAATTTTTATTTTTCAAAAATGCGAAAGAATTAATGAATCTATCTAGAAAACCTTCAATTTCAAACAAAAAATACTTTAAGGCTATTACAATATACAGCTCACTACCACAATACTTTATACCTACTACAATATCCCACTCCAAACCTACTGAGTAGTGGTAGTAGTCGTAGTAGTTGTCGTACTAGCATCAGCTCTTCGCACATGGTCATCCATCAAAACCTTTTGCGTTACCAAGTCCTCACTTTCTTCTTCTTCATCCTCCATCTCAGGTATCATATTCACCACCTTTTTGGTTGTCTTAACCTTGCTTGAAGCCGTTGAAGTTGTTGGATTGACAACTTCGGGTACGCTTTTGTTGCTACTGGTCTTGGCCACATTCTCCGTACTTTTTACGGCTTCAGCCTTCACGGTAACCTCTGATTTCTGGCCATTTTCTGTCTTTGACTTCTTCTCAGTGTCCTCAAACTTGATCTCTTTGTACTTTTTGATGTCTTCATTGTCGCCATCCTCAATATCTACATCTTTGACCTTGAGTCCAGTAGCTTCCGCGTTGAATTGTGAATCTGATTCTTGATCTGGAGCATCGAAATGTTCTTGTTTTTCCTCTGAATTCTCGAATTTAAGGACCTTCACCTTGTTTTTCTTAGTTTTATTCGAATTTCTGGTCAATTCTTGTTGTTCCGTCGATGAATTTCGGTCGGATTCTCGATGCTTGTCTTCTGAATCCTCTTCTGATTCGTTTGAATCTTGATTATCCACAGTTTCTTTCCTAGATTTCTTAGATTTTCTGGAAGAAGTAGTTGTTTCCTCGCTATTTTCTTCATTTTTCTTTGATTTTTTAGTCTTTTTGACCTTATTATGACTTTGAACATGCTCAACATGACCGTCATGAACATGTTTGTGTCTCTCTATAGACTCATGTTCATCCTCATGATCTTCATTTCTATTTGCATCCTCTTCATCTTGATCTGTATGACCTGAATTACTGTGTTCATTACCTTCAACGTGCCCAGAATTGCTATGTTCATGTCCAGAACTACCGTGCTCATGCCCAGATGTGCCATGTTCATGCCTGTCAATGGTCGTATCTTTAATATGCTTGACTTCTTCCACATCGATTGACGAGCTTGTGGGTTGCAAACTCATTTCCACGTCAATGATACGACGACAAACCTTGTTAACATATGATTCTTGCTCCTCTGGTTCCGCGTGACATCTGTATTCGAAATAACTGTGAACCAGCTTCAATTGAGGATCGAAATTAAAGTGTTGTGGATCTGATACTCTACAATATTATGAATATAAGTAAGATAAATGTGTTTAGAGCAAAATAAAAGAAGACTAAGGTCTTTGAAGGCTTGAAGAATAGAGAAAAACCCCTGTAAATAAAGTTCTTACCGATTTTCCTTGCTCAACAGGCAAGTCTTTGAATCAAAGTAGTAAGCAAAGCTTTGGCACGTCATTCCATAACGTTTCTCCGAGTCCACACAGAAGCATTTGCACTCATCTACTGTAATATCGGCTTCTACAGCCAGCGACGTGCCTTCTAGAACATGATTCGGCATTTCTAGGTAACAATCATCGCTATGTTTAGGTATCAACGGGTTTGGTGTAGTCATATGTCGTCTAGATTCATGTGTATGTTTATCGGTTCCACCTATATCATTACGGCTAGTTTTGTCGCCATTCCGGTTAGCTTTGTCATGATCATTTTTGTCATCATGATGGCCATTCTTGTTGCTTAAACTGTCATCGTGACCGTTTTCTTGAGATTGTACAAAAGCTACAGTTGAAGACTCAATATCACAAGATCCTTGATCAGTATGACGACGTAGAGCCGTCTTCTGAGGACATACCAAACCCAAATAAGTGACGTCGTCTCCGTATTTTACCAAAGAATCTGGTCGAAGTTGTCGGTTGTCCAAGTTTAAGACACAATCACGTTCTTTCGCGTAATAGGTAGCTGATATGCACTGGAATGGGTAGCGTTTTGAGGCTCTGAAAGTAAGAAAATGTAATAAAATCTTGAAATGTAATAAATTTTTCATGTACTTTTAAGAAAAAGGTAAATCAAAAATATTGTAACGCATACAAATCAAGATATACCTACAAAATTTCATAGCACTACCATGCGTTACAACCAAGTTGTGTTAACTTAAAAAAGTCAAAAATCAAAAACAGTTCGATTCCGCTTGGAAAACCGCAATTTCCCTTTAATTTTAGACCCCTTAAACCCAGAAAACCATACTTTTTTAAAACCAATATTCTTCAGCAAACAAAATACAATAACCTACAAGCTATTAGCACAATGACATTCACATTGTTCGAGCGACACATCCCTTTCCAGACCTCCAGCCGTTGAGTTCATACCGTAGCCCTTTATGAGCTCAAAACATCCATCAGTTTCGGCTTTTTCCAACAAAGAAGTCGTGAAACTGGTCGTAGTTGGCAAAGCATGAGTTTCTTTTTCAACAGGTATCAAGATGGTAGTTTCTTCAATCTTTTCTGTTGTAGTTACAGTACTAGTTACTGCATGCTGAGTAGTACTTGTAGATTTAGTTGTTGTTGGCTTTTTAGTGGTTGATGTTGTTGACAACGTTGTGGTAGTCTTAGCAGATAAAGTAGTACTTGTTTTACTTGATGAAGTAGTGCTTTCTAGGTCATTCTTCAAAGTGGTACCATCTTGTACTTCAATATCAATTTTAGACTCTGTAGCACTTTGAGTTGCTGAAATGACATGTTCATGCAACTTCAGCGACGTATTTTCTTCTGACGACGACTTTTTCTTAGACTTAGTATCATTTGTACCATCGCTTTCAGTAGTACCTTCAAGATCACCTTTACCTTGAGTAGTGGCGTCACCATCCTTTAGAATAATCTTTTCAGTTGCACTTTCGACCGGTCGAATTAACTCAATTTCGACTTCTCTTGTCGTGGCAACTTCAGCAGCAGTAGTTGCTTCAGTTGGAGGTAATGTTGCGACTTCTGAGGCAGTTATTAGCTTTGGATGGAGTTTAGTAGTACTGGTTTCTGGTTCATCGTGTACTGGTACTGATGGCGTTGTAAATACTATGTTTTTGAAGTTTTTACACAATTTATTGGCCGTTTTCTTCAGATCTAGAATTATTTTACATTATTTTTGAGTTTGAAAGTTTTCGTGGTGGGACCCAATTCTGAACTGGGCGATTTCAATAAATTGTCAAAACTTTGTTTACAAACTTAAAAAACTAATTTTAAAAATTCTACCAATTTAAAAAAACAGCAAAAACTTTCTTTCCAAACCTTAAAGTTTTCACAAACCACCAATTTCTGTCCATTTATTACCTAAAAACCAAAAATAACTGCCAAAACCTCAACAACTTACACTTGATCTCACACGAAACATAATGATAATCCACAAACTTGTTGTAGATCAAATCATACTTCCCATTATGATCTCCACTGTTCAACGTGCACTCTCCTTTCACTTCATTGTACTGTAAACTCTTACATCTTTGTGCATCTTCATCCGAATCCTTCCAAGTATCAGCACACAAGCAGCGACAATGGTTCAAAGATACACCATCGTACGATGCGAATGAAGCATACATCAATACTTGTTGGGGAATCGACCGGTAACATACGATCGGGGCTCTGGTGGTTGTTATAGGTAACGGAGGCAATGTTGTTGTAGTTAGTGGAAGGTGTTTCAGATGTTTTTGAGAGATTTGATCAGATTGAGCTAGTCTGGCTGAAAGTTTTGTTGTTTTAATAGCTGATAATCAAATTTAAATTAATTTTTTCAATTTAATTTTTTAAAATTTTTTAATATTTTATTTCAATTTTAGATAACAAATTATCGTTTTCAACTTGATTCGTAAAGAATGGCGCGTTTAAAAACCAAAATTAATTACATTTTGAACGTCTGGGCCAAAATAAGTAATATTTTTGAAAAATAAATAAAAAGCGGTCAAAAAGTCTATAGAATAGCTTGCTAAGAACAAGCTTGGTCACCCTTATTCATTTTTCTATCTAATTTTTGGCCACACCCAAAAAATTTTAAAATCTTGAAATCTGATCATTTTTAAAGCCTTTCTAACCCTTCAGCTTCAATTTCAAAACCTTACGTTGTAGATCCTGTAGCCGTTGTTCCTCCTCTCCCCTAATGATGTTGTTCAAACCTCTGATAAAGAAAGTATTCAGAAACCCTCGTTCCGGGTCTTTATGATGTAGTTCATCGACCAACGCCTTGGCCGCCACTTCTTCCACCACCTTCTTTTCCGAATCCTCTTCGTCCGTCGCTCCGAACAAATGGGAAGCCGGCTTCCAGGGTGACGGTGTTGTTGTAGTCGTCGTAGTGGTTCTCTCATTCTCCAGAAGTTGTTGTGCTTCATCTGGAGTCAGTAGTCTGCCATTGACAATAATTTGGTCAATGTTTTCTTCAAAAAGCTCACGGATTTCGTCCCGAGGTGGATTCTGAGCGAACGGCGAGTGAATCTTAGCGTGAGTTGACTTCTGTATTGTTTTTGTGATTCCGTTAGGTCCTACAGAAGTAAAAGTTTGTGTTGAGCCTTCACTACTATGTGGAGAATCTATTCTGCTACTAAATTTGTCAAAGGTACCATGTTTGGCACCAAGTGTACCAACAGAACCAGTTTTCAAAATCGGCTCTAAAGTAGCTCCAGAATCCAGCTGAGCCTTCTGATCAGTTTTACCATCCTTAAAAAAGTCTCTTTCGCTATCTGAACCATCATTACTTCCTTCAGAACCACCGTGCCGGCCTTCAGAAGTCTCTGTAGCTCCCGGTCTTTCTTCAAACAATTCAGGAGCAATAGTAGCCAACTCAATCGGCACATTAACACCATCAGGGAATTTTAACTTCTCTCCAGGCTTCAACCAAGTAAAGAATCCACCATCTTTTCTCGTCTTCTGTGTCAGATTCCTCATCGTTCCAACGGCCGACTCGATTTCACTGCTTTTGGCTTCAGCTTCTGTAGCACTTCGACTACCGTTCACAGTCTCTTCAATTTGAATTGGAAAAGCATGGAATTTAACTTTTTGGCCGGGAATCGGCTCGGTTATAATCTCCTTGAAGTCCTGTAAGAATAAATGTTACCTAAACAACAAAACCTTTGTTCTTTGTAAGTAAAATATCAAACACCGTTTAGAAAAAATTTACAATTTTCTTTGTCTTAAAATATCATAAACAGTCCATATTTATCAATAGACCTAAAGTTATTACCCAAATTCTTCAAATTCAAGCCTCTCTTACCTAAAACAACAAAAAATGTTTCATAAACAAATAAAACTTACAGTAATATTCTTTTTCTCCATCCCCAACATTTCGCCATGTGTTGCAACACCTTCTTTTGTCAACATCGTATGATTCTTCTCCACCTCCAACATCAAACTTTGGAGAGCTTTCATGATAACATTCGATGGATCTTTCTCGTCCAACTCTCGAATTCTGGCCTCATTTCCAAACAAAGCATTAGCCAGACTATCAGCTTCTTTTCCACTTGCTTTAGACCCATTTCCTCCTGTTTTGACTTCTGTTTTTATGTTATCTATGATATCACCAAGATTCTTTTGATCCTTCGAGTTTCTTATGCTGATCCTGGCCGACTTCGCCAAAGTTGCCGGTTTTTTCCCACTCTTCTGAATCACCTCAACATTCTCCACCTCTTCATTTGTCGAAAACAAAGCTTTTGGTGCTTCAACTCGTCCAAATCGGCCAGTATCTCGCTCACAAAGATCTACACAAGAGATCATAGACGTCGCGCCTTCGCTTGTGTCCGAAGTCAAATGGAATGTATTGTATCGTTGCTTCTTGGTGGAACATTCGATCAGCTTTTCGTATGTCAAAGCACATGTTCTCAGGTCGTGGTTGTAGATGGCAGTGCGGCAAAATTGACGTCGCGCGCAAAATATGGCACAGTCTGTTGCTGTCGGGATTTCTCCGCTGAAACAAGTTAAAATTTAGAAAAAATAGTCGGTAATGGTAGATAAGACATTATAAAAGATTTTTTTAATTAAAGTTCGGCGAAGTTAGGCTTTATTTAAAACTTTTCAACGTTTTGACCATAACAAGGACTTAAAAACGTTAAAATGCATATAATTTAACGTTTTTCCATAAATTAACAGAAAGCGTAAAGTGCATAAAAATTCACTTTTTTCCTGCAGTTTTGCAATAAAGTGGTGCTAAATAACTCTTTGAATATCAAAAAAGTAATAATTTATGTAATAAAATGTCATCAAAACTTGTCTAAACTTAAGTTTATGTGCCAAACTTGACTGACCGTGAAACATAATAGTCCAACTCGGCCACTCTGTTACTATTTACAGCTTGTGCATAAAATCTGGTTGGGCATACGGACAAGGCTCCACCAATATGTATTAGGGTTACCAGTACCCAGTACGGTAACTTTAACCGCATCCTGAAGGTTTTTAGGTAACAATGGGCTATTTCTTCTCGTAAAATCGCGAAATATTCAATAAACTTTAAAAATTTCAATTAGTGACTCTTGAAAATATCAATTTTACTACAAAAGTAGCCAAAATGTCATCAAAAAGCCCCAAAATTTAAAAAAAAGCCCTAAGGCAAAAATGAAAAAAAAGCTTTTTTACACAAAATTAACCAGCTCTTTAAGCTCGGTAATTGTAAGGTAATAGACGCGTAAGCAAATTACTTGATAGCTGAATTCAGTTCAGTAGGAACTGGTTGTAATCGAGATTAGAGACGCACGCCGTTGGCGCCAAACACCAGCCGGCTGGCTCGAAATTTGCAAAAAATTGTTTTGCGTGAATTTTAATTTAGGTCTTTTTAAATTTCACATCAAAAATTGAAAAAAAGATTTTTGAAAATTTGGCAAAAATAAGGCACCGTATGCTACAGTATTGAGAGCTACAGTATAGAGCAGGGCCATTTTACATGTCAGTATAGCTAGAGATGGGGGCAGTAAAAAGCATTTTTTGCAATAAAACTAAATGTAATTTTTATTTCAAACATAAATTTAAAATTTAATTTTTTGTGTGAACTGCATGTTACGTACTATATAGTACGAAGACTCAAAACGCAAAAACTAAGAAAAATTTTAATAATGAAAAAGCAAAATTCCAATATGGTATATCCAAAATCCAAAACTCATCATCCTACAACAAAATTGGAAAACAAAAGTGAACGGCAATTGAGCGATGGAAAGAAGTTTATTAACTTCCACTTGTAGCACTGTTACAAAAGCTGGTTTTCGGCAGATAAACGTTGTTTCTCGGCTTTCAAACGCTAATCAGCTACTTTTTTAATTCTTTTTTGTATTTTCAAAATGAGTTTTTAGTGCAAAAACTTTGTTTACAGACTAAAATTTTTAAAATTCATAAAAATTTCGAAAAACTTAAAAAAAAATTTAAAAATTTTTTTTTCGAAATTTTAAAAATCATTTTAAATATTTTCAAAAGCTTTAAAAAGTTATTAAAAAGTAAAAAGGTTAAGCGGATGTGATGATATGATGTGAGCTCAAAAAACGGAAATTTTCCGTAAGAAATATCGAAAATTGTTAAAAATGACTTTTCAAAACGGCATAAAACAGAAACATAAATCACAACAATTAACTTTGATTCAAAAATCGCTGAGAAATAGTTTGCAGTTTAATATCGTAAAGGTATTTTAATTCAAAACTTTAAAAAACTTAATTTCAAAACAAAAAAAGTTAAAATTAATCAAAAAATCAAATTTTATAAATTAAAAAATAGCTTACTAAGCGGTTGAATCAAGTATCCCTCAGGCTTTAAAACAAGGCCAATATAAAATGGAAGAAAATAAAAAGTTACCCAAAAACCCATTTTTAAAAACTGCTAAATGGTCTTGGCTAGAAAGTTACAGTACGCTCAACATTCTTATTTTTTCAAAGTTTGGCTTTAAAATCCAAAAAAAAATTTTTTTTCGTTATTATCAAATTATTAATAGCCACACTCACCACACTGTCACTCTATATCCCTTATCTCATAACATTATCACTCTTTATCACCTAACTCATCACATTATCACAGATCACCACCTAACCCATCTCATCACCCTGCCCATCCTCATCATCATTTTCACGCCTCCGACAACAAAACGGTATGGAATATGAGGTGAGATCTAATTAGCCGCTCTTAACCATCCAAGAAAACAAGAGTCGAGAGATTAAGCGAAGGGAAGGGCACTCCACTAAAAGAACCGGTCCGTTTCACACTCTCCTGATAAACTGAAAGGCTTATTTAAAGCGGCGAATTTACTTAGTAAACGCGCAAAATCAAAACAAAAAAGGATGTGTGAGTAAACATATACATGTAGGGTGATTGATAATGATTCGGTATTGTATTAACGGATTAGGAGGGGGTGAAGGGATAATACAGTAATATCTAAAGGAAGATGGGTACTGAACGACGAAGTAAGGATATAAAAGAAAGAATAACGGGGGTACCCTACCCTTCCCTACCCTACCCTTCATTTACAATATAAGCAACAACATGGTAGAAACTAGAACAAACGAATCATATTGTTTGAACGTTGAAGGTTCGTCGCCTTGAGTAATGAGTAAAGCTTATGTCATGCCAATCCAAGAATTGAAAACGTCGAATTAAAATATCGTAAAAGCAAACTTGAAGAGTTTAAAACCAAAAAACAAAAAAATATATTTTTCCTCCCTCCCTTGTTCGAACAAAAAAATATCCCCCTCTCCCCCCCCCCTATCCTCGTCAGATCAAACCGCTTAACATGATTACAATTACAATTTAAATTCGTAGATCCTAAGCTTAAAAATCATTTACCACCCACCCCTTCCCTACTAGCCTCCACGTGCTTTAGTTACCGTTATGTACCATAAAATAGACCATTACCGTTTTTACAATGACATTTGCGAGCTCGGTAAGTGAAGTGAGAATAACCTAGTTTCGAACTTTTCACAAAAATTTCGACATCCAGCTGTGCCAAAACAGAATGGTAGAGTTAAAATACAAACAATAAAACAAGAAAAAAATTTTGGTAAACAATTTTTGGTATTAATCAATTTTTAACCAAACATTAATTTATAAAAATTTTTAAAAATTCAAAATATTTTGGTTTTTAAAAATTCCAAAGTGCCAAAAATTTCTTTTTTATATTTAAAATTAGAAAAAAAATTAAAATCAATAAGAATATTACCCAAAAAAAACTAATTTAAAAAAATTGTTGAAGATGCGCAAGAATTCGGCGCTTCAATTGCTCATCGTGCAAGAATCTGACGAAAAATTGGGGAGATTGCGCCACGGTAATTATACAATAAGTAGACAGTTAGTCAAGGCTTTTTCAAACAGAGAACAGTATTAGAGACATTGTGAAGGTAATTTATAGGAAACACACGCTGGATTACAAAAAACAGCCTTGTCTTGCCCTGCCTTTATTCTGCCTTTGTCCTGCCTTTGCCTTGCCTTTGCCCAACTTTTGTCTTGCCTTTGCCCTGTTCTGTTTTACCCAACCCTACTCTATCTTTCACTCCTTGCTCTACCCTACCCTGCCCAATGAAAGTAACAACCCCTATCGCCAAAAAAACCAAAAAAAAGTAATATACATGCGGATCGACAAGACAATATTACTCGTTGTAGCGGTTGAAGGGCGCAATTATTACGAGTAGAGTTGTTCATTCTTGACCGTTTTCTTTACAATCCCGTCCGTTTATCCTGAGGCGATCAAGAAAGAGGAGTTACCTAAATCCCATTTTGTAGGCATTCACTCCCCATCTCAACTTCCCCCACTGCCCTTCTCTCACTCGCGGTCGAAAGTAATGTTGTTGACAACAGTACTCTACTATAGTAATACAATTCGCTCTATGGTAATAATATAATAAGACTTATAGCGGTAATACAATACTTGTTATAGTGGTAGTATAAAATATATTACTGAGTAAGTTGGTTGAGTTGAAAAATTGAAAGTTGTTGTTGTTGAAGATGCAATACAAGATGATGACTAAATTAGGTATATATAAAGTAGCAGTGAAAGGAGGTATAACTATATAACAAACTTTTTAAAATTCCAACCACCACCCTAGCTGTGAAGCGCCCGACGTTCCCGTGGGCTAGAAACGTAGTATTTATTTATTTATCCCCCCTAACCAACAAATAAAGCGAACGCCCGAATATAGTACAAAAGTTTTATTCGAGACCTCCGATCATCCAAGGCCACACCAATTTGGAGAGCGGCAGAATGAGGGTCGCGATTCAAAGGTAACCCCCAAGAGGTTTATGCAAATTTCGAGCAATAATGCATGGTAAATTACTTTAGCTAATAAATATTTAAAGTTTTTCGTAATAAAACAAAAAAAAATAAAGTTTCAATTTAAATATTAAAAAAACCAAAAAAATGAAAAAATAAAAAAAAATTTTTAGAAATTTGCTAATGAGTTCAAATTTCATGGTGAATGACTTTTCTTATTATTGTGAATTCACGCAATACAAAAGCCGTTACGTACGATAAATCTTAAATAGATATGCCACTTCCCAACTTTAAAAAGCATTTTTGAAATTAAAGATATACCTGTAAGGTAAAAATTCCCATAAATCGACTATCAAGCAACGACAGATCATATCGAAGTTTGTGTAATATGCTCTACCATATTACGCCTGCCTTAAGTAGCTATTACAAAAGTAGGCCTGCAAAGAGGTCATGCCGGACCCAATTTTTCGTACCGGGACGAGCATTGCTTTGTGCCAACCCGTCTTTTTATCAAACCGGGACGGCACTCTATAACAACTAAAAAAGCAATCTTTCACCAAGGCACCTAATTTGGGCTACTGGTGCATTGATTTGGGCCCGACCATGGGGTTCACATGGGCCGATGTTGACCCCTTTCAAGTTAGGTTCTCCTAATACCGGGGCTAATAAGCCCGTCTTGTAAGGTTAGCTACCAGCCAAATAATACCAGAGAAAACTTCGCGTCTTTTCCCTTAGTGACCATTAAAAAACTTATATTAATCAAAAATTTTGAAAAGTCATCAAAGTTCGAAGTCATAAAAAGCGCAGCAAAGGTTCGTCTTGACAACATTCGATCGCTCGGACATGATGATCGCGACAAGCCTTTAAGCAAATTTTTCATTTCCTTACCAAGAAAGGTGCTTAAGTTTTGAAGGGGGGTTCAAATATACGTCGATTTTTATTTGTTTGTCTGTTCTCGTGTTTTGAGTGCAAGCTGTAGGTTTGTTGCAAGTTCCGCTTCTCGAGAAACTTGTCGCAACTTCAAAAGGTGGACAAAAACATACGATAAACAATAAAATATTCAAGGATTGATTAAATATTATTTTTATTGTTAAAAATACTGTAAATAATCTTCTGTAAATACACTTTTAAATTACAATTTGGCAGGGTAAAACATAGGAAACTCCGAAAAAGAACGTCGTTGGCAGTTCAGACATTTTACTGTAAATGTTTTTTTCTGTTCTTCTTCTAGCCATTCTTCTAAGCATTTTCGACAACCAATGACTTTACAACATTGTAGACAATACATGGGATCAACACTCTCTTCTTCCAAACATACATGACATGTCGAATTTTTGAATACGATTGTATGGTAGGTTAGTACAATCATATCTGCCGCGTTCCTAAAATTGTAATAGATGAATTTTTCAAGAAAAGAAAAATGCGCTTTTAGTAAAATATTTCTTTTAAATGTAAAAACAACACTATTCTGAGTTTTATTGTAGTAAACACTCTAACACTTACCTGTTTGCAAAGCAAACTATTTCTGAAAGCCTGTACATGTCCCATTTTTTTTCTGAAATTGTATTGCTGTATTAACGTTAAAATTTTTATAACATTATAATAAAAAACAGTGCAGGCTCGTAAAGGGGGAACGGCGGGTCCAATTGTTCTGCCCTGCTTCTTCTAATAATTTTAAAATTTTTATTTTTAAACAAATGTTTTACAATTTGTTAACAAAAAATGGTCTATTTACTTATTAATAAAACAATTTTTGTAAATATTATTAGAAAAAACTAAGGAATTTTTAACTACAATAAACTTACGCAATGTTAGCGATTGTCCGTTTTCAATTATTTTTTCTGTGTAGTCAACAAGTTTCTTATACAATACATCGTAACCATCTTTGAGTCTACTGAAATCATATTCTCTGTTTTCAAATGGCCAATGGAAAGGTTTGGGATTTCTCTCATTATTAGTGGCTGGAGCAGAAATCGAAGGTGTCGGGTTGTTTGTTGACGACATTTTTTATACTTTTGGTTTGACTAAAGACATTGAATTATTTTTATTGAATATTTTTTGGATATTTTAAGTTTTATATGAAAAATAGTATTAGGTTTACACTTTTTATACAAAAAAAGACCAAGAGGGGGGGGAGGGAAAAAATCAACAGAAAAAAAATGTAGAGAAGTGCTTATAATATCTTTTATTATTCGGCCCTGATTACAATAACCAATGTTTTGCCGGACCGGTCCGGTCCGCGGACGGGTCCGGTCCTAAAAACCTGCAGACCCGGACCGAAGAAAAAGCTCCAGACCGGTCCAAAAAAAATTTTTTTTTATTTTAATAAAACTTTTAAAAATTGCAAATAAAATATATTTTTAAGAGGTTTTAAGCGTAAAGAAATCAGTTTTAGCGCTTCTTGCTTTTTTTTAAAAATAAAAAAAATTTTTTTTGCCCGGACCCAAAAAATTTTGGGTTTGGACCGGACCAAAAAATTTAAAGTTTGGACCGGATCAGACCCGAAAATCGCTGGACCGGACCGGTGAAAACCGTTCGGGCAAAACACTGACAATAACCATTTAAAAAATTATACCATTCATATTAATAAACTTACCAAAGGAGACGAATAAATACGGCTGATCGCAATAAGTGTAGTTGGCTTTAATGCAACATAAACGTTATATTGGTATGTCTTTCTGCCAAAACAAGCTGGCGTCGACAACGCGTATCGATTTGTCTGTCGATTGGTTCTACTCAATTTATGTATTACATATATTATGAAAAATAGCTTCGGGTAATATGTCAAACTTAAGATGGCTTTTGTGTTAAATATGTAAATTATAAAATTTTTATATTTTTTTAAAAATACGATATAATAAAAACATTTATTATTCAAAATGCAAAAACCCAAAATATTTTTAAAAAATATAAAAAAAGTTAAATTATTTCAAAGCAGGCAAGACCTTTCCGCGACATTCTCCAAATCCAACTCTAACGCCATCTTTCTCACAGTAGCCTGTCATGACGACTTGATCCTCATCCTGCAAGAACTTTCTTTGTTCCTCGCCAACTGGGATCCATTTCGATCCTCTCCAGCTCAACTCCAACATCGATCCATACTCAGTGTCTTCTGGGCCAGAAATCGTGCCAGAAGCTAGTAAATCACCTGGATTCACGTTACAACCATTCACGGTGTGATGAGCAAGTTGTTGTTTCAGAGTCCAGTAATGATGACGAAGTGAGGTTTTGGAGACTGGACTAGGTCCTGAGGAATTTTTGGGTTGAATAGCTACTTGAAGGTTGATGTCGAAGCTGTATTTGTCATTATGACGTAGGTATTCCAATGGTTGAGGGTCTTGTTTTGGGTTTTCCACCAAAAATGGCTTCAAAGCTTCCATTGTGACGATCCATGGTGAGATGGTAGTACCAAACGACTTGCCCAAAAATGGTCCTAATGGGATATATTCCCACTTCTGGATGTCGCGAGCGCTCCAGTCGTTCATGATCACCATTCCAAAGATGTGGTCTTCGGTTTTGTCGATTGGAATTTGTTCGCCTAGCTTGGTTGGTGGTCCACCGACGAAGAAAGCCATTTCTAGCTCGTAGTCTAAGAGTTTTGATGGGCCATAGGTGGGGGTGGATTCTAAAAACAATTTTTTTTAAATTAAAGAAAGTGAAGGGGGAAGGTGGGTAGATAATAAAATAGGGGTAGATAAAGAGTTTAATTGACCTAAAGAAACATTTTCCAAAAATTTTTTAAAAACCCGCCCTTTTTTTTAAAAATTGTTCTTTACCCCACCCATGCCTAAAACAAAATTGCCTGCCTAATCTCAAACACAATTTGAAAAATGTAAGTATATACTTACCAGTATCAGCCTTGGTCTGTCCTTTAGGTCTAATGATGTCAGTACCAGATACAACAACACTTGACGCTCTACCATGGTAGGCAATTGGGATATGTCTCCTAAAAACAAAAAAATTTTTAGAAATTAGCACAAACATTTCAGAAGGTATAGCTAAAAAAATTCATATTAACATACCAATTTTCACACAAAGCATTGTCCTTTCCTCTGAACAGAGTACCAACATTGAAGGCGTGATAATACGAAGAGTAGAAATCGGTATAATCTCCAATTTTGGCTGGCAAATGCATCTGAGCTTCAGATTGTTTTACAAAAGCTTGCGAGCGTAGATTACTGTCATTTTGCAATGTAGTCGTTTCTGTAGATAACAAGTTTTGTAGGATTTGACGAGCTTCGACCCAAGCAGCTCTTGGGAGGGCCATGAATGAGTTTAAGGTTTCCTGAATAAAACGAGGTACTAGATCTTTTCGTATTTTACAGAAAATTAAATTTGATGCAAAAAGAATGGCGCGCCTCAAAATTTATTTATTTTGGACAAATAGTAATGTGAATATTGTTAAAAAGTTTTTAAAAAATAATTAAATAGAACTCTAACATAACGAATTGCTCAGTAACCCTAAATTTGATCGTTATATACCGAGTTTTCCTTATACAGACGCTACCCATTACTTCAATTTTAAGAAAATTTGAAAAATGAGGTTTACATTACATAGTACTTACCTCAGTAAAAACATCTTGATGACTCTTTAATTCTGGACCAGTAAACAAATGTTTGGTTACAGATAAGTCTAAGATTTGCTCTCCGATGGCCACTCCAATTCGCTTTTTTGGCTAAAATACAAAAAAATATTATATGTCAGGCTAATTTAGAATGTTGTATAAAGTAAAATGGTCGAGCAATGGGAAAGAAAGTTTAATTTAACTAAACCTTAAAGCGACTCTCTAAGCCCAGCCGACCCTGGTTTAAGCTGGATCGTGCCGGCACATATGAGCCTGAAAGCTGGAGCTCAAACCAAGGCTTAGTTTGGAAAAATTGAGCCGGTGTGGCCCCTTTACATGACTAGAATAGAGAAAATTGTACCCCAACGTCAGGTTATGACAATAACAGTAAATACATAAACACTTACGTTGTTTTTGGTTGAGAAAACTCCATAAGGCAAGTTGTGGATTGAAAAATCAGAGCCGGCGGGCACTTCAATAAACGATGACATTTTCTAAAAATACTAGTTTTTAAAAGCAAATTAAAAAAAATATTAATATTTTTTGTTAAAACGAAAAAATTAAAAACAAAAAAAATTTTCAAAACTTTGGTTATTTATGAACTGAAAAAAATTTTAAAATACACCCTTCTTTCTATTAATTCAAATATGATAAAATGATAAAAACATATACTAGTTGGCGAGATTTATTTTAGTTAAAAATTTGTAAAAACTAGAATCCACGGCTTTAGTCTAACACATATTGATAGAAAAATAACAGTTCTTATCAAAAACACAAAAAAACTGTAGGGTTTAAGATAACACTTGTTTTATAAACTATGGTTTTAGTTCATATAAGCTTCTTTAACTATTTACAGTTTAAAGATGTTCAAAAAACTTTTTTTTCTCTGGCTTTAATACCTTACCCTACCTTATTTCATTCCATACTACCCTGCCCTTCCTTATTCCATCCATCCACTACCTTACCCTACCTTACTCTCCTCTACCCTAATTTAGATAGAAACCTATCTAAAACAATTATAAAAATACTTCCAAAAAGCAACAACAACATCAGAGCTTATAACCCTTGAAACTGCAAGAACTAACTTGTCATTTTGTTTACAACACTTTTATCAACGAAATACCAAACAAAAAAGGCCTGATATTATACATGAGAGAGTTTATTCTAAACTGACCTTCAATCTTTTTGTTTCTCTTTTACAGCCTTTTTAAGGCAATCAAAAGAGAGCGTATTTGAAAGAGAGGGTGCAGACGGCGAACGGAGTTAAAGAAAAAAGAAAAAAGTGATGAAAGAGGGCGTAGATCAGAGAGATCGGTTAGAGAAAAGTGTTTAAATCAGAGAAAGAGGCTAGGAAATAGTAGGTACCAGAGAAAGTAGTCAGAGGCAAAAGGAAAACTGTAATGTAAACTGATGTTGCAATAGAAAAATATGGTTTTATAGTGATGTTTGGACTATTACATTGATGATATCAAGGTAGATCAAAGAAGCTGATAAAAATGCATATTTTTTGAGCTGATAATACAGTGTTTCTCATGATGAGTAACATTAGAGTAAGGTATTGTACAGTAGGGAATTAATATTGTTGAAGTAGTAAAAAATGCCTCTAAAGAGCTACATAAACAATTTATTTTTATTAACATTAGATATTCATACTTTAGACTCAATTTATAGGCAACATGACTTGGCAGCAAAATAATATATTAACAATCTTTTACTCTTAAATTTCCACGTTATAAGCAACCAAAATAAAAACAATATTACAACATTGAACAATCAAAAATAGTTTTAGAAATACAAAGGTTAACAAATGACCCGTGTTAAGTATAGACCTGTAATGGCTCGCGTCGAGTTTAGTTTGTTGGCCCAGCCTGTGAGTCAAGCCTTGATTTGGTATATTGGTCTTCTGGATCCATTAACTTTTGTTGCGGAGCCAAAGCCAAACCCTTGGGTCTTCATGTAGGCTCGGATGATGGGATCACACGATCTGACCCGGTCCCGCCCTTTTCAAAATTTTGTTTGGCTTGGTTGTGCAACTCCTCTTTTAGGCCCAGTTAAGTACGTAAACATAATATATAAAGTTAGAGTTACAACTGCAAAGTAGAGTGTAATTGTCTGAAATGCTCTTCGGCTTGATTTGTTTTCCTATCCAGCCATTCATCAGTCACATCTTTGGCAAAACATATGTAAAAACATGTCAAAACGATAGGTGATAGTAGAAAATACAAGTTTTTTACCTGAAAATTTAATATTTAAACTACTTTTTTGTTTCGTATTAAAATTATTGTATCTAACTATATCACAGTCACAAAACAACTCCTGTGAGTGTCATACTAGAGCTTTGAATATCGTTTTAAAAAAATCAAACTTACCATGCTAACGGTCTCCACATACAACAATATTGAAGTTGAATCCACCCAAACAAACAAAGAGCCAAGGGGAAAAGAAGCTATCATTGGCATGGTAAATGCAAGATGTACTATTGACAAAGGTAGAACGACTTTTATAGACAGCCGGTTTTCTCGAATGTCCACTGATTTGTTCAATGTGTAGAAATTGTAGTAGTCTACCTTACTAAAACATGCTTTATAAGATTTTTAAAACATATTCTGGTAGGTAATACCGTAATTATTTTTTTTGTGTATAGACAGACGCAAAAAGTGTGGGAGCAGAATAAAGAAGAAAAGAGGAAAACACAGTGAGGTAAAATTGTAAAGAAAGATAGGGTTAAAGAATGAGAAAGAGGAGAGGGGGTATAAGAGTAAAGACAAGGAGAGGCAAAAGTACAGAATACTGGAAGAGAAGTATAGAGAAAGAAGGAAGTAAAAGTATAGACAAAGAGAAGGGCAAAAGCTAAAGCAGAGCAAGATGAAAATGTAAGGAAAGATACGCTTAAAAAGTGAAGGAAACAGTAGACATGAGCAACGGGTCGTGCCCAATTTTCAAGCCCGGCCCTGCCCGGCTTGATCAGAAAATTTCTAGGCCCGACCAGGCCCGTTTTAAAAAATTTTAAAATTTTAAAACTTAAAAACTAAACGGAAATTTGACTTTAAATTGTTTTTTTAGATCATTTATGGATCATAGAACCCAATAAAATCGAAAAACATAAACCGGGATTAAAATAAAAAATTGTAAAAAAAATTAAAAAAATTTTTTAAATTTTTTTTCGGGCCCGAGCCCAATTTTCAAGCCAGGCCTGCGGGCCGGGCCTAACTTTCAGGCCCGGCCTGTTTTTAATTTTGCTCAGGCCCGGCCTGTTTTTAATTTTGCTCAGGCCCGGCGCTTGCTCATGTCTAGGAAACAGAAGGGGAAGGGGTAAAAGTGTAGAGAAAGAAAAGGGTAAAAGAAAAAAAAATAAAAAAAAAGTGTAAGCTTAACACTACTTACTTAACAAACCTCTTTTTGCAAACAGCAAAAACTAAGCCATCGCCAATAGCAGTTATTATACCAATGACAAAGTAAGTTGTCATAACTTGTACCAAATGTTCTCTAGCAAGCGCTGAGCTTGTTATACAAGCAAATATAATTTTACTGTACTCTTCTTGACCATACACGTACACCGATGATATGATTGACAAAGAAAACTGAAAATATTTTTTACTTAAAAATTTTTTTAAAAACTTTGCTTTTTTGTTCAAGTAATTTTGAGCCCTAACCTCAAACTCTTGATTTGAGAAGAGCACATAATTACTTGAAAAATCTACTAAAAATTTTTTATTTTTTAACTTTTACCACTAAACTCACAATAATCGCAGCATATAACATCGCAGTACCTTTCCCACCATCGTAATACTTCCGACAGAACGTTACTAGCATACGATCTATCATTAAAGCAGCATGAGTCAATGAAACGACGAAGAAACAATAATACGACGGCAATCTAACAGCAATACATTCACCTACACTCCACGCTGTTCTACAGTCACCACTGTATATGTTGTAGCGTATCATGGTGTAAAAGTACAGTACAAAGGTCGTAAAACCACCAAAAAAGTAAGCTAGCTTGGTTATGTTTAGAAGAACCTAAAAGTAAAATAGGTTATTAAAAAGCACTCTACCCTACCCTGCTCTGAGTTAAACATTACATTAACATACCCTCAAAGCTGGCGATGCAATATTAAAAACCTGTCGAAATCGTGTACTATTAGTCACTTGATATGTAGCATAGACAGCGAAGATACCAATCGGTAGTTGGAAGTTCTGTACACACATGACATACGGATTCTTGTGGGCAATGTCAGAAACATTACAGAGCTCTGCCATTGAAGATGTCATTACTATGCTTTGCTGCATCTAAAATCATAAAAAGAATAAAAAGTTTTCAATTTCTTTTAAAAAAATTCGTTAAAATTTTATACAAAAATGAAATAAACACTTCTCCCCTCTCTTTCGCGCAAATTCAATAAAAATTTTAATTTTAAAAGTTCAATGCTTAAAAACCTAACACCACTAATGTTTACAATTAGAAGCACAAGTTAAACATAAAGCCTAAAGTTTATTCTAAGCTCACTACCCTACTTATTGCATTCTCAGGGCCGGGCGACTTTTGGTCTAGGGCGGGAGTCGAAAAAATTTTTTACCAAAAATACATGGAACGCGTTCAACATTTTTCAAAATTTTGTTTCTGGGGGTTATCCCTCCCGTCCCCTCCAACTCGCGCCCGGCCCTGGCTATTATACACTTTCAAAGTACATAACCCATAAATAAAAAAGCAAGAGTACCAATAAAAGATAACAATAAATTTTAAACTTTCAACTAAAATTAGATTGCGGTTACCAATTCCCTTCCAAAAAGAAATAAACTAACAAGAGATGAGAGTACCTTTTCTCAGTAAACAATCTTGATCCTTACAAATATTTAGCAAGAAGGCAATTATAATAAGCAAAAAACTAACCCTACTTTACCTTGATACCATCGTTTTTTCCTGGTGTAAGAGTTCAAACTAGTTGTTATACCCCCGTTTTAATTTTTTAAAAATTTTTCGAAAATTCTGAAACGCAAGAAAAAGAAAAAAAACTTAAAGCTTCTCTTCCTTCTTTCCTACTATGTAACAACACCTCTTTCATCAGACGTTTTGAACAAAAGCCAGAAGTTTAATGATAAGGTGCCAAAAATGAAAATATTATGGTATGACTAGGTTCCATCTGAGACGTTGGCAATTACCACTTCCTGTTTTGAAGTCGATGGATTCAAAAATAATTCAAAGTCTTACAGCAAGTTTTATGCCGTTCCACCTTCCTCACACCTACGACTAGACCTGATAGGATCCCAACAAGCCCATATAAAAAAGCCGGGCCGACGCTTGTAAGCCGTTGAGTCGTGACTTACGTTCCAAGAACTCAACATAAGTCTTGCAACAAAAGATTGACCTACAAAAAGTGCATATGTCCAAGACATGCGACCCAAAGTCCTAAGTAAAAAAGCTTATAAAGCTAATAGACTTTTTTTTCAAATTAAATAAACATTAACTATATAAAGTGCCGGTTTTCGTGGTATGTAAATAAACATTTTAATTAAACTTAGACATTGTTTTGACTAAAACTCTGTAAAATAAAAATCAATAGTCAAAAGAAACTGAAATATAAATTTTTATATGTCATTTTGATTAAACGTCTTGTCAAAAAAATAGTATTTACAACCAAAAATGTTTCAATTTCCAAATAATCGACTTATAATCCCTTTATATTATACTACTCATATAAAATTAAAGATATATCAGTATTTTGAGGTACTAAATGAACAGTTACACATACAGTCTTAAACAATAGTATTCCAATTTTATTTGTAGTTTTATTCTTAATTTTTTTCAAGAAGGATGCATTTCGGAAATCATGTGTTATATGCCACCATGGTGTTCCGTTTGTATCCTAAGGTGTTTTACAGTATACAAAATACAAAATTAAGGCGTGTTTAAGCTAAAATATATAAAAACAAGAAGAAGATTTAAAAACGCAGATTAAAATTATTCTACTATCTACTTATTTTTTTTGGGTCTGGGCCCAATTTTCAAGCCCGGCCCGTTGCTCATGTCTAATTGTAAATAGGTAAAAAATTATTTTTTGTACTTTTATAATACCTTTATATACATATACTTTCACAACTGAGTCTTATATTAATAAATAACAGCTGAAAAATAGAATAAAATCTTATTAATATAACAATATTATTTTACAGACTCATATTGTTAGCAACACATAATGAAAGTTGGTCTTACAAGTTAGATTTCTTTGGAAATTCATTCACCATATTAATCTAATATAAAATATTAAAAAATATAAAAAGTTTAAATATTAGGTTGTTCAAATAATCCTGCGCCCTTCCTAAAGCAAATCTTTAGAGTCGGAGTCCCAGAATTATTTGAACAACCTAATAGTTGTCTCAAAAGTTTATAACTACAAGTTGCGCATTAGTTCACTATACGTAGCTACAGTATTCACTGCGCAATAAAACGACCTTATTTTACCAGCTCTTAAGATGAGTAGCAAATCTTACAATTAACATTGCAAAGGTAATACTCGTAGCTTATTAGAGGCGGAGAATGAAAGGTTGCTGGTTGCATAATATGACCTTAAGTATAAAAAACAACCCAAAATCTTATTGTGCATAAGATACATTATCATGACAAAACACAAAGCGTGTTTGTACTATACTATACTACATATATTATCAGTAACAGGAGAATAACTATAGTAAAAAACAAAAAGAATTTTCTGAGGGTAGCTGTGAGTAAGAGACAGTGGTGGGTACGCGGTAGAAGAGGGTAAAAAGTTAAGGGTAAGTAAGAAGGAGAGTGGATACGAGAGAGAAGTAGATAGGCGGTTGGGGTAAGTAACAAATAATAAAAAAATCATAATACTCTTACATCAGAGTGAGCATTAAAATATTGTATTACTACTAGTACGGTTATGTGTACTATCCATTGTAAACAAGTCAATAAAAAAAATATTTTATGTTTACAAATATGTTAATCACCTTGTAAGTAAACCAAAAACCCTTCCAAAACTCGCAAAACCTGTGTATGATTAAACCCTTTCCAGGTATATTATTAATGATGTCAGCGTTTCCTCAGAAGTAATTACCCTGCTCTTGGTGGCTAAATACTATGTTCGATTCACTTTTGAACATTTTCCTGTAATCATTTACTTTGAAGTAAATTCGAAGCTTAAAATTTAATCATGAGTTAAAAAAGTATGTTTAAATTTCGAAATGGCTGTAATTAAAACGAGGTAAAAACTTTTAACTGTTAAGTAAGTGAAGTTAATTGTAAGCAAAGATACGAAAGTAAATATAATTAAACTTTAAAAAAAGTTTTAACTGTAGACTTAAATCTTGTGACTAGAAGTGTCATTTTGGTGACATACAAACGATAGTACAAAAAAATTACGGTAATGCTGACGCCGATGTACTGCCTCTTTAAAACATATAGTTAAGACATACCATATGACAGAGACATTTAAAAATACTATATAATTTTAAAACCTTTGGTCTTTGCAAGACATGTTATTGGTTACGACAACAATGTGATTCAGTACTTATTTCAGTAAAGCAATGGTAGCTCAGTTCGCATTACTGTCATTTCTAAATTCGCCACAGTGTTCGTTCTAGTAATTTTAAAAAGCATTACAATACGCATTACAGTAATCTCAAAAGTATTACTGCTCATGGATAAAAGTCCAAGAATTGTAAAAGTTATTATAAAATAGATAGCACTTATTACTATATTGTAATGGTTTGAATAGTAAGCTATTATAAAAAAAGAAATGTCAAGCAAACTTTGAACTAAACCATCTTGCAAAACACCGTCTAATGAGAACTTACTTCAGACTTTGATTGATTCTTGCTTTACTGTCCTATACTAAAATAAAAGCGTACCATACAATTTAAATCATAGTTTGCAAATTTTAACAGTATTAGTTTTCATACTGCATGAATGTACCATATACTATAATATAGTATTGTTCACAACGTAACAAAAATAATGTTTAGGTAACAAAAGCATTAAATAATAAACCGTTATATGCAACAAACTTAAAAACAGCTTATTTTAGACTGTAAAATTCTTACTTCTTAGTAACATTGACGTAAAAAAGTCAAATTTGTTAATCTTTGAGATATTACATATTTGGTATTACGCACGATCTCAAATTGGGCTAATAAAAGCACGTTCTATTCACAAAGAAATTACCTGCTCTACTCAGAACCAACTGCAATGTTTTACATAAATTCTTTGTACCATCAATAGGACCCAAAAAGAATCAGCTTTCGCTTTGATTTTTAAAAGCGAAGCCTTTAAGTTTTGCGCCTATTTGACAAATTTGGCAGCACTTTTCTCAACTTTCCAGATAAGCTACGCTTACAAATTTAAAAATGTATTTCTTTCGTTCTGCTTTTGTACATTGTATTAAAGGTTTCCTAGTACTAGTATATTAACGAACACTCAAGAATAGCTCCGTTTGCCTTCATCTGAACTCTGAACATCCTCGCACAGTAAGTTACGATCAACAAAACTAAAAATCGTCTACTATCCTAAGCTACACCTCCCAAGTTGTAATTGTAGACGCTTGAAGAATGTAAAATAAACAAAAAAAAATAAAAAGTTGACCGATTTTTTAAAATACATTTATAAAGTAAAAACTTGCTAACCAAGACTTCAAACGTCCAAATCTTAAAAATTATCAAAAATAAAAACATTTCAGTTTGACACAGCCATACCAATAATTAAAACTTTTTAAGGAGACATTTTCCCATTAATTCGCTTACAAGTTTCAGTTCTGTTTTAATTAATTTTGAGCACGAGGATGTGCCAAGAAATTTAGTTCTTTGAACAAACCATCTTGCCTTTTAGGAATTACACATCAATTGTAGGGTATAGCATCGAATGAAAAGGATGGAAACGACGTTTTACACGTGATCTACACTCATTTGTAACACAATTTGCATTTTTACAATATATAATATTAGTATGAGTCTTTGGATTTAGTATGAGTCTTTGTACAATTGTGCTATATAGTATTAAAAAGATGCTATAGACCCTTCTGACACAACTTGTATTATATAGTGTAGTACTATTCATTATGAGGGTTAGTAAGATATACGACTTTGTGAAATTGTACTATATAGTATTATACAGATGCTACGACACACCTTTCTAACACAATTCGTATTTACATTGCATAGTACATTTAATACGAGTTTATGTACTATTGGCTATATAATAACATAAAGATAATATAACCTTAAAAAACGTAAACTACGCTTATTTCTTAAGGCTGATTACTCAAATCATTACTGTACTAGAATAAATGTTTCGTAAAAGCACCAAAACTCAAAAATGGTACAAAAAATATAAAATATAAATAGTATTCCAAATAGACCATCTCTTACCATTCAAATATTGAAAATTACTTAAAAATGAGTTTATGAATAATTTGTGTATCTTACCAAAAACAAGAAGATAAATACAAAAAAACTCGTTTAATATTTTATGTGGGCTCATCAGTCGTTTTTAATGTTATATTCATTAGTAACAAGAGTTTTTTAAATTTTTTTTACTAAACAACAACTCACCGCGTTTTCCCATAGCTCGAACATGGTTAATCAATTTTGAAGCCTGAAATTTAATTTTACTGTAAAACATAATTAATATTGAAGTTATTTTGTCACGTATAATATTTCACAAAATAAAAAAAATATTGAAATAGCAAGATGAAGAGCTCTGCTCTGCCTTTTGATAAAAAGCCCAGTAAAACCAACAAGTCTAGGCCCAAAAAAAAGAAGACGGGGTGAGCAAACACCATAAAGTTCCTGGGATTACCCCTACTCTTTAGACTTGAAAAAGGGCAGTACCAAAGCAATTTTATAAGGGGCTGAGTCAAAACGGCACGTGTATGTCTCAAGGCTAAAGCCCAAACAAGACGCCCAAAGCAAAGCCCAGGCTAGACCAATCCTAGTAGGCCCTCTATCACTTTTACTTCCTAGATATTATTATACGATATTTATTTTGCGTCCATATAAACTAACAAAATGAAGTTTTCAATTATAAAACTTAAAATCCACAAAACAAAAAAAGTTATATAAACTAAAAATTCAAGTCGGTAAAGTAAGACGCAGATACTATTTATAAATAAAGTAAATATAGACACAGATGTAGATATAGAAAACAAACAACAACGTTTGTATAGAACACGTATAATAACTACATATACCAGTTGACGATTTCGGTTTTCAATGCAAAAACTAACATAACGTCATATTGTAGCATAGGAGGCTATGTATTATATCTACAAAACATCGGTTTAAATAACAGTTGTCAAAATTGAAAAAAAAAAAAGATTTAGACATGCCATTTAAAATGTCTACAAAAAACAAAAAACGGAAAGGAGGAGTTTGTAGTTTACAAAATACCATAGTGATCTTAACTTAGTTTTACAGTTAGTGTATATAACCTGGTATAATGTATATAACCCTAAGCTTTTCAAAATAAGTTTTATTTTGTAAAATACGGTAAAAAACGTGTTGCAGTTAAAATGTACTAAATTTTTAATAAAATCCGAAATTTTTACTCTCAAGGGAAAGGCAAATAGGGGGTATCGGAAGGAACTGACAAGGGAGGTAACTTAAACCGCCCCTCGACTTTGGGACGAAACCTATATATTCTGAAAGCCCTGTAATCACTGAGTATGAATCTGAAAACTGTTTTTCCGTATGGTGCTTAGTTTTTGAGAAAATCGACTTTAAATTTTGACCGAATCCCCAAAAGGAAAGCGCGCGAGAGTCTATCGGAAATAACAAAAAGAAACCAAGTAGCGGCGTGGCCCAGAGGATAAAGTGTTTGGTTTCCAATTCAAACCACGTGGGTTCGATTTTGGAGCCTTTAAATAGTTTTTTAACAAAACTTTTAATATGCAAAATTTATGTAATTTTTGTAAAGTTTTAAAAAATAAACATTATGCAAAATAAGCAAAACTCATGCTTTTTGTTCATTGTGATTTGGGTGTCTCACCCGCACTTGTTGTGGGGTTTTTGATGTACAATTCGGACACGGCGACAGCAACGATGCTGCTTACGATGACCGAATTGTGAAGACAATGTTGCCATCCGCAGCAGATGTTAATTTCGACTTGATGAACCAGAGGAGGACTGGATTGAGGTTACGGATAAGACGGCGGATCCAACGTACGAAGATGTGACCGACGAAGATGGACGAAAAATATATGTCGTTATTTGCTTAAAATTATGCAATTTCATCTAACAATGATATTACAAAAATTTGCATATTGAAAGTTTTGTTAAAAAAAGTTTTAGAGGCTTCGGAATCGAACCCAGATGGTTTGAATTGGAAACCGAACGCTTTACTCTCTACGCCACGCCGCCACTTGATTTCCATGCGTTATCTCCGATAGACTTTTCGGCGCGCTTTACTCGTTTTGGGAATTCGGTCAAAATTTAAAGTCGATTTTCTCGAAAACTAAGCTTCATACGGAAAAACGGTTTTCAGATCCATCATCAGTGATTACAGGGCTTTCAGAATATATAGGTTTCGTCCCAAAGTCGAGGGGCGATTTAAGTTACCTCCCTTGTGAGACCTATATCATGTGAAGGAGCGTGAAAAGTTATGTAAAAATTAACATTTTTAGCTGCCCAATTTAATATACTAAAAAGTTACAGTAATATAAAGTTTTTCCTATAAGATTTCTTATTATGCAACACTCTGAAAGATATCGCCAAAAGGAAAGCTAAACGCTGTGTTTACTGGTGGCCCAGTGGACTTACAACACATTAAAGGCCTTTAGAAAGACTATTTTAAAGTTTCAAAACAAAACACGAAAAAAATTTTTTTAACATTTTTTAAATAAAGTCTACAGAGACTCTTTGAGATATTAGAAAGTCGTAAAAGTTTGAATTACTGTAACTTTTTAGTATATGAATTTAAGCAGCTAAAAATTTTTTAATTTTTACATAACATTTCACGCTTTTTCAAATGATATAGATGTCAGTTCTAGGTCCAATACCCCTATTTGTATTTCCCTTGTGAAATAAATCTTGAAAAAAAAATTTAATTTTTAAGATTTCAAAACGGCAATTAAAAAAGAAATTTATTTTGTATAATATTAAAAATGGCACAATTTATAACTTAACCACTTGAAGCGTGCCATTAACCTCAAATGGACCCGAACTGTTTAAAAAATAGTTTTACAACATGTTCCGTTACAATTAAATTCTAGAGTCATAATTATAACGTGCCAAAAATGTTCGTGTCATCTGAGCGGTTCAAAATAAATTTGGCAAGAGCAGAGCCGAATCATGATTGCTCGAAGACTGTGTCTAAAGGAAGAATATACGAGATGAGTATAAAAATCAAGGACCATCAAAAAAAAAAATTGCAAAAAAATGTTGAACGTGGTCTCCTCTGTGATTTGTGAAAAAAAATTTTGGCCCCCTCCCCAGACGAAAAACGCCCGCCCGGCTCTGTATATATCTTATATCAATTCATCGTATTATTCCGAAGAAATTTTGAAAAAATCCCGGTCAGACGTAGATCCAAACAAGTTCACAGCTAATTTTGTACGTAGAAAAGTACAAAGCATTTTTTCGACTACTGGTTGCCCAGGTACTACTAGACTAAAACAACATTTTAATTTCTAACTCTCTCTCTCTGTCATTTCCTCTTGCTCCATCCCTCCTTTCCCTGCCTCTCTCCCCCTCTCCCTCCTCCAAAAAATCAGTAGCAACGTCTATACAAACCAACATGTCAAGCTGCTGACTAACACTTTAATCACGCATTCTTAAAAATTTGCTTAATTTAAAATTAAATTTTATTTTATTTAACAATTTTTGTTGCCTACACTACGCTGACAAATAAACGTAACAAAATAAACTTTAATAATTGCTAACAAAGATTATATTACTTCTGCCAAATTGTACAAACCAGTTTCAATTGTTTTATCAGTCTAAAGAGAATCATCAGTTTGGCTTTGTGCAATGTGTATACTATAATATGATAATATAATAGCTTTAAATAAGCACATCTAAGTTTGTATACACTTTTCTTACTTTATTATAGACTTTTCTTATAGTTTTATACTGCTCTTCAAGGTGCAAAGAACCTTTATTTCTAACTGCGCAGCTACATCTTAGCTTCAAACTACATGCTTCTTCAACTATAATTATATACTGCTTTAACTGTGTATTTCATAGTATAAAACAAGTTATTTACACTATTTACACTTAATCTTTACTGTGTACTCATAGTAATGTCAAAGCACATATTTTCTACAATAACACTTAAATTACTGTTGTTTCTATTTGTTACAGAAAATGTTTGTGCATTGAATTGTTCAACAATACCATCTTTTTTACTTTGTAGACATAAGAAGATTGTTAGACTGTGTAATGTCAAAGATTACTGTAAGGACAGAAAAGATACTAAAGTCAAGATATCTTTGGTTTATTCAAGTTTATGTCCTTATTCTATGGAGTTTATAATAAAAGAATTGAAATTTGCCTATGATAATATGAGAGAATACTTGGAGCTTGAGTTCATACCTTTCGGAAATTCATGGTATAAAGTGAGTTTGGATCGGGAGTGATTTGAAAGAGGGTTTTATAAACTTGGCCAAACTTCTTTACAGATCTAAGAGTATCTTCATGGTTTTTATATATATATATGTACTGCAAGATAAGGATAAGTAGTATAACTGCTACTATAATATTTTGTTTGTTTCTCAAATTTTTTTAAATTTAAAATTTTACAGAACAATAAAATTTGCTGTCAGCACGGTCGAGAAGAATGTGAAGCCAACGTTTTTGAAAATTGTGCCATTTCCTATTTGAAAGAACCTTTTGGCTTTATATACTGTATAACTAAAGAGTTATACGAAGAACGGTCTCTAGAACAAGCCAAAGAACTCTGCTACACTATTGTTGGAGTTGATTTGGAGACGCAAGGCAAAATACAGTAAGCTATGCAGTTATTAAGACTTTACTAGGAAACCGCAAATAATGAAAATCGAGTTATAACTAGTGGTATATATACAAACATAGAGCAAAAAAATCTAAGACTTATGGTGTAAAAAATTTTTTTGCCAACAATCTCTAGTTATTGAGATATGGCAGGTCAAAGTTTGGTTTTTTAAATACTTTTGTCTCATGTTCGCTTTTTGAGCGCAGAGCATAAGCGCTTCAATGGCAGCGAGCGAGTGAGCCCGACTTGGGCTCGGAAGCTCAAGGGTTCGGTTCCCGTCGGCTTCCAAAGGCTAAAACGCTATAAAAATGTTTTTTATTTTTTTTCTATTATAAAGTTAATAACTACAGTCTTAAAACTAAACATAAGTAACATTTTGAACATAAGAAAAAAGAATATAACAAAAGTTAAACCTAAATAATTGATAAAAAAATAAAATTTCAACAATGGTTGTTCATAACATTTGTATTTTTCCACTTTCACCGTTATGGTAGGACCTCTTTCCAAATTCTGTACAGTAAGTTGTTAATGTTGAGTGACTCTGAAATCTTATTGCCAGAAAATTATGAACATATGAACGAATTTTGGGATAGTGACGTACAAGAAATGGTGAAGTACACATCATTAATGTCCACCATAACGGTGAAAGTGGAATAATACAAATGTTATGAACAACTATTGTTGAAATTTTCTTTTTTTATCAATTATTTAGGTTTAAATTTTGTTATATTTTTTTTCTCATGTCCAAAAGATTACTTATGTTTAGTTTTAAGACCGTAGTTATTAATTTTAAAATTAAAAAAAAATAAAAAGCATTTTTGAGGCCTTTCAAGCCTTTGAAACCCGGCGGAACCGAACCTCTGAGCTTTCGAGTCCGAATCGGGCTCACTCGCTCGCTACCATTGAAGCGCTTGCGCTTCTTGCTCAAAAAGCGAACATGAGACAAAAGTATTTAAAAAACCAAACTTTGACCTGCCATATCTCAATAACTAGAGATTGTTGGCAAAAAAAATTTTACACCATAAGTCTTAGATTTTTTTTGCTCTATGTTTGTATATATACCACTAGTTATAACTCGATTTTCATTATTTGCGGTTTCCTAGTTAGTTTATTTTGCCCTATCCTACTCAATCTTACTCGACACTGATCTACCCTATCCAGCTCTATTCTACTCTATTCTAATTGATTTTACTCGGCCCTACTCGACTGGATTCAACCCTACTCTATTCTACCTTTCTTGACATTACCCAGCTCTGCCTGACCTTACCTGATAATAATTTACTCTGTTTTTGTCTACCCTACCCTACCCTAGCATACCTTACCCTACCTTATTTAAAAATTACAATGTCTTAAAGTGTGTTCAATAAACCTCAATTTTAGTTATTGCCAATCTAGTTCAGAGAACAAAAAATTAACACAACTTGCTTTTAATCGTACTAGAGATACGTTACCAGAGAATAAATGGGACTACGGTTACATTCCTTTCATTGGCATCAACGGTTACTTCAGTAGTGATTTACAGTTTTATCAGCGAAATTTAATGTTTGCCGTTTGTCAGTTTTATATGGCTTCTGATTTCTCAAAATTTCCGAGTTTTTGCAAAATTGAGTGATGTAAAATATCTCTTATCTCATTCTTGTGTTTTTTAATAAAATTTTTTTAAAAATTTTTGAAATTTCAAAAAAAAATTTTTTTTTAATTGTTAATTTTTTAAAAATTTTAAAAAATTTCAAAAAAAATAAATTTGGATTTACTTTTCATAAATCTTCTGTTAGTGAGTGGTCGTCTGGGTGAGTCTCGTTCAAGATGGCGGCGTCTGAAATGTCAATCGAAAAGATGGTGAAGGAAAAGCCCAAAGGCGAGTCGAAGATGATCAGTTCCATGGAAAAGGACGAAGCTTTACAGGAACCTACCATTGTTGTAAGTTATTTTTATTTTTTTTTGAGTTTAAAGGCATTTTAAAAAGTTTTGTTGTTTTTTGAAGTTTGAAGCTATAGGAATTGACGACAAGACTTTTATATTACTTTTTTTTGGGGTTTTTTGGAATTGGTAACCTAGGTATCTTACTCTACCCTACCTTAATCTACTGTATCTTACCACACACTACCATATTTCATACCTTTACCTTTTTTAACTTTACAGTACACTAAACTTTCAGGAACGCAAACGAAAGCTCAAGAAAGAAAAAGAGACAGAAGTGGAAACAGTGAAAGAAAAGCCAGAAGAAACGAAGCAAGACGAGGTCACCACTGCTTCAGCCATGACCGATGTTGAAGATGAGGAACGGCGCAAAATCGTCCGGAAATATATGATTTACCTGGGTGTTCTGGTGTCCGAAGCCGTGCTGATGACTATCGTATTGCTCGTTGGTGTCGTTTATGTCGCTGTTTTTATGTCATAAATGTATTGTTTTGAAAAATGTCATAGATATAAAACTTTTAAAAAAATTTTGAAAATTTGTCTTGCCTTGCCCTGCTTTTGCCCTGCCTTTGCTCTGCCTTTGCCCTGTCTTTATCTTGATTTTTCCCTGCCTTTGCCCTGCCTTTGCCTTTGCTTTTGCCTTTTCCTTTGCCTTTTCTCTGCCTTTGCCTTGCCTTACCTTGCCCTAACCTTATCTTACCTTACATTACTTTGCCATACTCTACCCTTTGCTATTTTGCTACTCTATATTTTTTACCATACCCTAATTTACCCTACCCTCGCTTCTTCTCTAAAACCAATTACCCTACTGTAACTTGTCTGCAAAGCCAGACAACTTCTCGAAGCCATACATCTTGTTGATCAAGTCGAATTACTTTAAAAGGGCATTAAAAACGGTGAATTAATCATAACCAAGCCCTGCGGCCCGATGGGTGGTCTCCGAACTACATTTCCTAAAGCAAAAAACGTCAATTCAAGAGAGCAAGTTGCGCGACATTCCCATCGATCAAGGTTTTTATGTTATCATATCAGTTATCAAACTGTAATTCAAGCATAAAATACGTAGTTTCAGGAAGTGGCAATGTTTTTCAACTGTTTTTTATTGTAGCATGTATTAAGTTTTGTCAGTTATATTGAGTTTGATCAAGTTTTGTCCGAGAATATTTTACAGTTACTTACTTGTAGGTAGAGTTATTATGTACAGTTAGTTGATGTAGATTTGAGTTTACATTGTTTGTTCGATTCTTTACAGTAGCTTGATGACTTTTTTTCATCAATTGTTTTTAGAACTTTTTAATATTTAATTTACCTTTTTTTAGTTTAAAAGTGCAACTGTAAATATAATTTAAAAGTGCAATCGTAAGAAAAAAAAGGTATAAAAGTGCAAATAGGAGAGTTTATAAATCACAGTATCTTATATGGGAAGATCTGGTTGTTTTGTTGTAGTATATATGTAAAGTAGCTTCTTTTGAGAATATTGTGCTGATAACGAGTGTTTTCTGTATTTAATGCTTTTGGAGCGACCTGGCTTACTTTTGAAAGCCGGCCCAGACTCAGGATCCAACGTTTAAGACCCACTCGTTTTCGTTTTTTCTCAGACAGGCCCAATCCCGGTCAAAAAAATTCTGGGCCCGTTTTTAAAATAAGTTAAAACTTTAAAAATAAGAAAACTTTGGCTTTACATGTCCGCGTAACTTTTAAGCCCGGCCCGTTTCAACTTTAGCACAAGGCCGGGCCAAGCCTAGATGACCCACTTTTCATTTCTAATTATTATTGGCTGAGGAAAGATTTGGTCAACTTTTATGAACTTATAGAGTTTAACTTTGCGGCAAAAATTTCTAAGATTCTGATGCACTTTTGATCTTATTCAACTGGGCCTATTTTTGAGCCACATCTCACTGTTAGTCTTTTGCCTAGTTTTTTGAGTATTTTTTTGTAAAGAAGCTAGTGAAATTAAACGTTTTTTTTTAAATTTAGCCACTTTCAACTTTTTTAAAAGTTTTTTTCTCGAAGTGGTATTCACTCTTCCTTCTTTGGCATGATTTTATTTTTTAATTTCAATATATTAGAACTCTTGTATAACAAATTCTTTTATAACAAACATCCGGTATATAGCGAACAACTTTGAATCCTTAGCTAACGTTAAAGAATGCATTAAAACTCTTGTAAACCTATATCTAAGTTGCTTACAGATGTCGACTAAATTCAGAAGTTCTCACCTGCCAATGAAGAAGGCAGTCCTTCAAGACAATGAGAAAGCAAAAAAGGAGACAAAGAAGCATCCTGTAGATGTTGTTAAAGCTTTAACTTACAAACCACCAAAGACGTACCTGGACGTTCAATATAGGGATGCCATTCTATATGCTTTGTCCGTGGGGGCAACTCCAGAAAATGGGTTACAGTACATTTTTGAAAAGCATCCACAATTTCAAACTTTGCCTACTTATATCGTGCGACATGCTGCTGTGTTTCCTCTTGAAACTACTCCTGGTAAGCATTGAATGTTTTCCAAATTAAGGGTTGAATTAGCTACAGTATCGGCCACAATAGAAAGAATTGTTAAGTACTGTAATCTGTTTTAAAAAAGCGAGTTGTTAACAATACCTACTAAAATACGTAGTACAATGTGTGGTACCTAAGACTCAATTTTTACCTTTTACAGGTGTCGAATGGAACAAATTCAAGATTATGCATGCCGAACAGTACCTAGAAGTGTTTAAACCAATACCTCCAAACTGTAAGATCCGTACTGAATGGAAAGTGTCTGAAGTTATTGATAAACTGAAGTCAGCTATCGTGGTCAGAGAAGGTAAGACAGCCTAAGTTTTCATATCATTAAGTTAAAGTCAAAAAAAAACTTTTAAAAACGTTATTATGAGGTTTTACTATGTACATGAAACCCTACCCTATTTTACATAAAAAATTTTTAATTGTAAAGTACGTCCCGGCCAATGTTTGTATACAAAAGTTGTTTTAGCGACAATGTACGATGACGCGACGAACGACAAGCTCAGTTATGGAATCTACAATATCATTCACATTGGAGCTGGTGGATTTGATGGCCAGAAGAACAGCATTGTTGATGTCCCTGGCGTCGCAGTACCTACTGACCAGCCCGACCATCTTATCGAGTATCCTACTAACAATATTACAGTAGGTTTTAATACAACTAACATTTATATCTACAGTACGGTACTGTAGGCTTATTTTATCTACTGTACGGTACTGTATGTTCATTTCACAGTAGTATGGCGCCGTGTACTCATTTGGCGTACAGTACAATACTATGAGCTCGCTTTATGGACAGTACGATTTTTTGAGCTTATTTTACATAACTGGTAGTGTAGGCTCATTTTGCATACAGTACAATAATGTTTAGTAAAAAAAGTAATAAGCCAAACAAAAGCCTATCCTAATACTCTAAATAATATTACTTTCCAGACCGCCTTGTACCGTATAGCTGGCGAAGACTACAATGAAGTACATATTCAGCCCGGCTTCGGTAAGCCAATGGGTCTAGATGTACCAATTCTTCATGGTCTTGGTACTATGGGTATCGTCGCTAGACTAGTCATTGATATCTATGGTAACAAACAAGTGTCCTGCTCTAAAGCCATCAAAGCCAGATTCACAGCCACTGCTAATGTAGGAGAGACACTTATGATCAAGTTGTGGAAGAGGAAACAGAGGGTTCATTTCCAGGTTACTGTAAGTTGGAAAGGCATTTTTGTTGTTTGCTAGATGTTGGACTAGTGCAGTACAGGCATTAAACTAGTTCAGCATTTTTAGTTTAGCATTAGGACATTAGATTAGTGCGACCTGAATGAAACTCAACGTATTTTACAATAAAACTTTAAAAACGTAATTTTAGGTAAAAGAAACTGGCAGAATACATGTTAACAACGCTTTTATCGATTTGCATGAGCTTCCGACAGTACCTTCTAAACTATAAACCTACAATCTCAACTTTCGATTTTAAATGACATTTTTTAATTTAAATTTTTTAAATTGTTTAATGTTTTACTCAGTTTAGTTTCATAAGCGGCATAATAAAGATCGCTATTCAATTTAATGGCATTTTTTATCAAAAAAATTTTTGAAAAATTATTTTAATCCCTAGGACATCTTGTTATAAGAAATTTTCTATTATAAGAAATTTTCTAAATAAAAGCCCTCGAAGCCCAGTTTAGGTCCAGTTTTAAGAAACCTAAAAGAATGCTCATTAGGCCCGTCCACTCGCGCCAAAGCGAATCTATAAAGAGCCCAAGCTGAGGAATCCAAACCAAAGCCAAAAAATTGTGCCAAGCCCTTTACAGGTCTAATAGTAATATACATTTCTTAAGCATGTAGTATTATAACAGTATTATATTATTATACCTTTTATAAGAATATTGTATTAAAACAGTATTATATTATAAACCTGCAATCACAAACCGATAAATGCAACTTCAAACGTTTTTATTCGATTGATTAAACTTGTCGGCGTTTAATCAAAGCTTTGCGATTAGTTTGAAACAACACTAAAAAAGAAAAAAAACTGTTAATTAAAAAGACAGACAACATGTCGCTACTTAAACATTTCGGTTTCTACTACCAAGACATGAACACGTTATATAGTTGACTTTGAGTTACAAACATTTCTATTATATAACTGTTTGTACTATAACTCGGAAAGTTGCCTTTACCTATATTCACATGGATAAAGTCACTATTTGATAAAAAACACATTTGAATAATATATCTTGTATATTTACTGTATTTCTGTTAATATAGCTGAGGTAAATTATTATTTTACCACTATAATCCTATAAATTTTTGCAACAAATGAAAATAAACGTTGATTTGGCCAAAAGCCTTCAATTGACTCCAGTTTATCGACCTTACAATCAACACCACAGTATTTTATATTCTTTGGCATGTAAGTAAAACAAACGTTATTTCTCGATAGTATGACACCTTCTTTATAATGACAGCTACATGGCTGCCCTTTGTAATAAATAGAACCCATATCAAGAAATACCTGATTCGTGGAACATTCTTTTTATTAAAGTAAAGGTTTAGACCATTCTCTTGAGGGTCATACTAAAGAGATTTGAATGTATACTCTGTAGGTAATGCCAACATTAACCACAATTTGAACCTGCTATGGGAAGAGCATCCTGATTACCAAACCTGCCCCTTACTCTTGACAGCTTTAGGCATGCAATCCTTTTCTATGCATCAGACCCCAGGTAAAGTACTATTAAGAATCATACCGAATTTAAAAAATATTATCCCTACTATTAAATCCTGAAAAAAGACCACTAAGCCCGATCCGAGCATAGCAGGGCAGGCCAAAACAAATTTAGGCTCAAAAGATAGGCCTAATTGAACGCCTCAAAGGCCTAGCTTAGCGGATATGTATGACACCTTTTTTAAAAAACATAACAAAAGGTAAGTAAAATATAACGCTTTTAGGAATAGAATGCGACATAAATGACATCCTTCATCATGAACAATATATTGAAGTTTTTGAAGACCTTCCAGAATCCTCAGAGTTAAGACAAGAAGTAAAGATTGCAGATGTCATAGATAAGAAAAATGCAGCAATTGTCATCAGAAATGGTAATAATAGTTTTATATTGTGCTGAAAAATGTACCACAATGGCACTTACCGATGTAGTCCTTTTATAGGTACAATAAATATAAACAGCCCTCCTCAATTATTAACTGTTTAACTTTTTCAGTTACTGCATACGACAATGTTACCAATAAAAAGTTAGCTTTCATGCAATTTTCATTATACCAGAAAAATTGTGGCGGCTTTGGTGGTCCAAAGCACAGTAGTTTAGAAGTTCCATTAGAAAGAATACCTAAACATCTACAAATTGACAGTATTATAACTGTCAAGAACGATGTGAATCAAGTAAGTTTATAAAAATATTTAATTATTATAAAACCAAATTTTAAAAAAATCAAAATTACAAAACATTATGCATTTTCTAAAATACAGTATACTAAACAATAACGTAAGCATACCAATCTAATTTAACAAAAAAATAAAAATAAAAGCAATTTTAAATTTAAAAAGCATAGGCTACCAAAAAATACGTTTTAGGCCGCCCTGTTCCGACAGTGTAACGCTGACACCTTCCCTTTGCATATAGACCCCCAAGCCGCTAAAGAACAAGGCTACAAAGCCCCAATCTTACATGGTCTATGCACACTGGGTATTTCAGTACAAGCCATTGTAAATCGGTATTTAAATGGAAATTGGAGACAATTTAAATCCATGAAATGCCGATTCACAGCCGCGGTAATACCAGGACAAACATTAGTTATAAAGGTTTATAAAGATGGGAATAAGCTGAGATTTGAAGCTTTTGTAAGTTGGTACTGTAACTTTGTTATTTATTGAAAATTTGCTATATTTTTACATTTACCATGCAAAACGCAATAAAATCTTATGTTATAATAAATTTGCACTAAAATTTTAATCAATTTATTAAATTCGAACTTTCAGGTAGACAACAATGTCAAAGTGATATCATCAGCGTACATAACACTAAAAGAGGCATTCAAGTTATAAGTTCAGTAATACTTGATAAGATTTTTATCCTTAAATTGTATTTGACAAATAAAGATGTAAAGTTTTAAGATTGTCCTAACACACCTCCTATAAAAAACATTCAAAAATCGACTGTTCGATAATGCATTTACCCCTTTATAATACACAAACCAACTGAGAAATTCAAATATACACCCAAGAGAGCATTATATTGACGCAACATTATCTCGAGACATTGTTGTTTAAAACTTTTTATAACGCATCAATAAATTGCATAATTTTTGTGCGCGTTAAAGCGACGCCATTTAAATTGTCTCCAACCGTCAACGTAAAAAACTTTTTAAAGCATTCATCTGTTCATCCTGTGAAGAATTGTTGTTCTTTTCTTAATTAAAAATAAATATAATGTCCAGTAACTCCGTTTGGGATAACTATGTTCCCTCCACCATGCAAAGGTAAGTCCGCAAAATTTTTTAATTTTTATGTAAAATACATTAATTCTTCTGATTCCCGTGCAATTATTACTACCCCTAACACTACTACTTTTACCACAAAATTGCACCAAATATCATTCGGGTTTTAAAACAAGACCCATAAAGGGTAAAAAAACAAAAAAGTTGCCAAGAAAATTGTTGTCGTAACTGCTAAAAGGCCTTGGCTAGCGAGGAACAGTGCGCTTAGTATTCTTATTTGCATAAAATTAGCCAAGACCACTTAGCAGATTTTGAAAACAGTTTTCCTGATAACCTTTTATGCCCTTCCATCCTGTATAGGTCCCGTTCTAAAACCCTACGGGTATTTGGTGCAACTTCCTTATAAGCCCACTGTATTGTGATAAACAAATTCCATAGGTAATAGTTAACAATAACGTATGTTTGTAACCTTAAATTACAAAATTTTCGCTATAACACTTGGCTTAATTTTAGTTCAACTTTCCTAAACGCCATGAGCTACCTTGAAGACGTGGCTTTTATAAAGCACGCAACCAGGCAGCTACTGCGCTACCAGAAGAAACATCTTCAACATCAAGCCCACGCTGTAGCAAAAATTAATAAAATTTGTGAAAGCCAGCGGCAATCAGAAGAAGAAAAACAACTAAAAGAAGAGTTGGTACATGTCTTTGAAAAAGACCTAAAAGCATTTTTCGGGCAAACAGCAAAAGTCACCATGTACGGTGGTAGCGTCAATGGTTTCGGATCCAAAAATTCGGACATTGACGCATGCATCGAAATCAACATAAAGTAAGCTAAATTACTACAGTATTAAAACTTATTTAATTTAAACTATGTTTCTAAAACAATGAAATTCTTTATTACCTGTAATTGTAAGTTACTTCAGATTGAACCCTGAAACAACAGAAGAAAGAGAAGCAAACACACAGTTGCTTGAACTTGTACAAGAGAGAATAAACAAGAAAAAAGACAGCATGATAACAAAATATAAAAATTTGCGATTAATCAAAGCAAAAGTAAGTTATATGTAAGCTAAATTGTTATTGTAATAATTAATGATTTATTGATATCAAGTCAAAATTTTTCAAATTATTGCAATCATAATTATTATTAACTTTAGGTGCCTATCATATGTACGGAGATGTATCACCCAATGGCACGCCAGTATTTTGAAGTCGACTTAAGTTGTGCAAACCAACTTGCAAAAATGAATACACGGCTGCTCCAAGAATACTCAAGGTAAGTTATATAAATTATGTACTACGTTATCGCAATACATTTTAACATTAAAAATCTAGAAATCTTTGCAAATAATTAAAACTTAATTTTAGGTTAGATGATCGAGTAAAAAATTTATTCTTTCTTGTGAAGAAATGGTTAAAGAAAAACCACCTGTATGGTTCTGTCGGTTGCATGAACTCGTACTCGATAATAAACCTGGTGATTTATTACCTGCAGCGAGGAGTTCATCCCCAGATACTACCGGTAATGCACAACTTGGTACCAGACTTGGAGAACAAGCTTAAAAATAAAGATAACATTTGCTGCAAATGGAGTAAGTTTTTAAAATTTGCATTACAAAAAGAATGTAACTTTGTTAACAAATTGTTAACGTATTTTTAACATTATTATTAAAAATTTTCAATTGCAGCGCCACAAAATACGGAGATGACAACGCTACTGCTCTTTATCGGGTTCGTAACATTTTACAACCGATTCAGATTCAGGGACTACGAAATTGACATCAGAGAAGCGTCATTAAAACCAAGGTATTAATTTTTTAAAACTGCTATTACATATTTATCTTGTGTCTAGTTTACCAAACTTTTATATATAATTTTCAATCCAACAATTATAAATTTCAGACAAACCATAAAACACAGCATCGCTATTAACTGCCCGGTTAATGGAATGGTGCCATCAAGAGGGTTCTTTGCTGTGAACCATTACTTATTCAAGCACCTGCTCCGCGAAACCCATGAAGTTTTTTGGTACGACATACCCGATGCTACGCATGGAGAAAAAGGACGCATCCTTCATAGATTTATAGGAAACCTTTAAAAAGATATTTATAAATTGTATCAAACCTCTGTTTAAAACACGGTGAAAAAATGAATAAATTATAATAAACTTAAAATATTGGACATAAATATTACAGAAAAAATACCTATGACAATAAAAATAAGCTTTATGAAGAAGTAATAAAAAACATAAATTAACAACTAACACTTCACAGTTTTTACAAATAAATTTTATGCGAAAACAAAAACATGTTGTGAAAATTTTGACTCAAGTTTCTTTTGAGTCAACTCTCCTTCTAGCAATAAAAATCTCCAAAATTGTTGAAATATTTGTAGAAATCAGCTACTTTTTAATTGAATTTTCGTAAATTTTCTTTCGGAATGTATTAATATACGTTGCATATGTTTTACTGGATAAGAAAACATTTTTTCTTATCCTCAAAATATTATTTTACTTTTCTGTCTCATTTGATTGCTTTAGGTCTTCATGATGGCAGAGGACCCGGATTTGGGGGCAAAACGGGCAAAAGCGTTTGATAACTTTAAAATTGAAATAAAATCGACTATTGATGGAAACTGCTACGATGGCATGACGTTAACAGAGTGTGAACAGCTTTATGCGTATGTTTTCTGTTTGTTTGAACTAATTTTTAGGTAATTTTCGTCGCTTTTGATAGCTTTTGATGTTGTGGTTGTTGCCTAAACTTTAAATTTCATTTTGGTTAGTAAATTATAGTTTTAATTCAGTTTCTTATTTTTTTGGAACGTTTTTCTTTACTTAAACGTTAGTGTAATTTTTCAAAAATAAAATCTTTATTTCATAAAACGTAATAACAATATATAAGTTTAGACAAGACTGGGGAAAGAATTTACGAGATGTATGCCGAGATACAGGGAAGCGTAACATTGCTGAGTTACTTAGTTCTGCTCACGATGTTGTCAAAGTTATCATTAATAGCGAAACACAGAGGGTGCATTTGTTTCCGGCGACAATGAGCAAAACTACCGCTGAAATCATGGATATGATTATTGTATCAAATGAGTAAGATTTTGAAGTCGTTATTTTAGTTTTAAGTAGTGTTTTTGTATTTAATTTTGTTATTAAAAGGAGGTATATTATCCATGATGTAGATTGAGTAAGAATGTTTAGTGAAATTGCTGAGATTTATTTGATTTGGCAATAATTTAGCTATAAAACATATTGTAATGATTAGAATGTTATTTTGGCAATATTATAGTCATATATAGCATTTAATTTTAATTTTTTTTCAGAAATTATTTGGAGAAAAAGGCAAGAAGAGAACGTTTCGCCGAAAGAGATCGCAGAGCTCGTTCTTCATCAAAGCCTTCTCGAGATTTCTCAGTTTCAACACCGCCAAAAGCGTCTCGATCTTCTAGTGTTTTTGCCAACCGAGACAGTCAGTTTAGTGCTTCGAATTCGGTACCAATTGGTGGAATTGATAAGCCTGTAGTTATCACTAATACTGGTCGAGATATTGCTGCTGAAAATGATGAAGATGATAACGGATGGAATCAGGGCTGGAATGGGGAGAAGAAAGGTTTTGGCTTTGACATTCCTGATGAGATCCGACGAAATATTGTAACTTCTCCGCTGAAAGATCAAAAGTCGAGTTATATGGACGCAATTACACCTGCGAAAGGTGCGAAGTCATCGGCAAAGGATAAAGATGCTGGTAAAACAAGAGAAAGAGCGGTAAGCTATATTGAGGATGTCATTCGACGTATGAGGGAGCAAAGGAGGTTTCAAAAAGAAGCCAGTCCAAAAGGAAGCAAGTCATCAAGTTCACCGAAATCAAGTTCATCAAAGGACGGCCAATCACCTAGCTCATCGAAAGACAGCAAATCACCTTCATCAAAAGCTGGTCAATCACCTAAAAAAGCAACTAAGTCAATGTCATGGTCTTCATCTCCCACCAAAGTCCGTATGGACGATCACCCGCTTAGAAGTTACGATACTGAGATGACAATGTTCGAATTCAAATCACATGATGGCTTCCAGTGTTCGATACCTAAATCAGAGAAACAATCAACCAAAATTGCTCAACTCAACTTTTCCGAACTTATGGATACAGTAAGAAGGGATGAAGAAGAGCGACGACAGAGGATGGAGAGTGCGAAGAAAGAGGGTGGAGGTGATGGAAAGAAGGAAGAAGATAAAGGACAGGAAGAAGGTAATAGAAAAGATGTTAAAGGTAAGGATTTTTCTTTTATGTTAAGAATATGGGCATGATTGGGTTAATATTAAGATTGAGCAGCTTTTTTATTAAAAGTAACGGTCTAAGTAAGGTGTTTGGTCTTAGACTGGACTTTAAAAGCAGACTTGATCTTTCTTTTTGGTTTTATGCTAAAATTGATGAGGTTTAAGCTTATTATAGTTAAATTACTACTAAAATTTCATTTTTAGCTAAAAATCCGGATAAAGAAGAGAAATTCAGGCTGAATGCCACTGACGATGTTTTTCCGCTGTCCAAAGCTGATTTCCTAAAGGAAATCAAAAAGAATGTTGATGTAGATGCTGAAGGTGGTGTAGATACTGGTGATGACTTAGATGCTGATGTTGAAGATCTCACAGATCGATTTGAAGCTATGGGACGTGAAACATTAGAGGAAAGTGTTTTGGAATTGGCTGAGAAAGGTAAGATTTTGACTATGATGCTATTTATGAATGGTTTACATTTTTTTGGAGATTTAAAGTTTTTGAAATGGTAAAATACGTTAAAGATTGTCTGGCTTGTTTGATGAAAATTTATGTTGCTTATAACAGCAGCTTTGTAATTGTTTAGTTTGCTGGTAAAGGACGTTTTATTCTTACTTTACTTTGTAATACTGTTAATTTTAAAGATACAAAGCCTAATCCATCTAAAACGCAACAAATTTTGGATAATGAAGTACAAGAACGAGTAGCAGACCAGACCATTGACAATAGATTTTACGAAGAGTGTGTTGATGAATCAGAGACTGATATTAATGATGTGCCTGATGAGGATGTACCACGTAAGAACCTTTCAATTTTTTCGTATTTATCGATTCCAAAATGGTATTTTATGCAGCTTTTTTAGATAAAAATCGATCAGAGTTCTATTTTTGAGCTAGTTTTTAACTATTTTTTGAGGTTTCTATAGACTTGTTGACCGAAACCGGCTTAAAATGCTTGAAACATTGACTTTTTAAAAATTTTTATGTTTTGTCGGCCCTTTTTATTAGCAATTTTGGACATTTTTGAGTATGTTGCGTAGCTACGCGTAGTGTAAACTTAAATACTTATAATAATTTTAAATTTTATTAATCTCTTACTGATTTAGCCTCGCCAATGGTAACAAAGCCAAAGTACGTGTCATTGAACGAGACATACGAGAGATTAATGGCAGAAGCGGATCAAAGTTTTAATGCAAGCACAATTCAGGCATCTTCGGATGATGAAACGTATGTTCTTTATGAATTTTAGAGGTCAAAGAATACGTAGAATATGGAAAGTAGAAAGTTTGCATTGGAAAATTGGGTAGAGGTAGATTTTTTTGATTTGTCTCTAATTTAAAAAAAATCTTTAAACTTTTTGTCCCATGAGCTAAAATTTATTATGTGTACTATTAGTGATACAAAGAAATTATATGAAAGTTTGTGTTACTTTTGAGTTAAGCTGATTGGGTACTTTTCCTGTAAACTACAAAATTTTTTTTTTGAAAATTAGACTAAAAGAGGGAATAGATTTAACCTTTAAAATAAGAATTTCAAAAAGCTTTTTTAAAGCTTGGTTCAGCGAATTCTTCGAGTGGCAACATCAGCCGACGTGGCCAGACTGGAACCTGTAGCACAAATGGTCTACAAGCGATATGTGAGTCAGCTGGTTTTTATGTTTTGGCATATAAAAGTACCTGGGTAGTGTGACGCGTTGGTTATAAAGACAGTTTTGGAACAGTCTTTTGAGTGTCATTCTAAAGAGGTTTGACTGAATTTGACATTAACTAGAAAATTTTTGAAGTTTTTTTTTGTGTTTAATGGCTCTTTTTTCAGAAATATTTGAAAAAGTTTGTGGCTGTCCTGAAGCCTTGCCAGAGGCTTCGAGTTGTCGATTTTAGAGCCAAAATTCGACAATTATGTGGCATTGAATTACATATGCGTTTTGTAAGTTTAGTATTATTTTTACTACAGTTTCTTGTAATTATTGATTTAAAATGAGTGTTTTACTTTGCTTTTATTAACTAAAATCAACTGTAAGAATTATTAATCATTTTCAGTTTAAAAGAGTCTTTGGAATACAAACACCCAATTTTGTTTTTGCCATGGGAAGTCTGCGACCACAACTGTTTCAATTCGAAGAGCACCCATTTGCAACGTACATTGAGTTAGTTCCAGATGGTAAGTATAATACTTTTATTACATTTTTCGAACTTTATATCCTGTTTCAACGCAAGATATATAATTTGATTTGTGAGGGGGGGGGATGTGGAGAGTTTGGTGAAGACTGTGAGAGCACTTCAATGTAGCCGTTCTAAATTGGGCCTCATCCAGGTGATCCTGTTTCTCAAGGTACCGAGTTGTGGTGAGGTGCACTCCAAGACTTCAGTCTATAGTCGAAAGCCTGTGTAGACTGTGAGGTTGACTCCAACCTTTCAGGATAGATATTTAATTTTATGTTTACATTTTTTTTTAAATTTTTATGTTAAAAATTTTGAAAATTTATTTTTTCAGCCGAAAAAGTGTTGAGAGGAGGAATCGCTGAAATTGGTCAAGATCTAAGCGAATCTCTGAGGCTTTTGCGACAAGGAAACGTGTTAATAGACTCCACAACTGATTCCGATTGTTAAATTAATTATAATCTTTTAAAAACTTAACTGATAATATGGAATTTGTTTTAAAATTGGCTTTAGGTTTAGACAATGCTTGGTGATGCACTTTTTATTCAAATTAATGATACATCTCTTTCTTAAGGCGTCTGGTAATCTTCGCTTTTGAAACTGCTGGGGGTATCGGGTTATGCTCTTTTTCAATACGGCCGGTTCTAAGACTCAGTATTGCACTTTATCATGTTTTGTTAGTGTAGTCAAAACTTTTTAATCTTGTAATTTAAAAAAACTTCTTTACTTATGTTATCATCTTTTTACTGTTTCCAACGAATAATTGATCAACCTTGATATTTTTCTATAAGTTTGTTCTGTTCCTGATGTTATTATGTGTTACCTATTATATGTTTGTATAAAGTTGGTATGAAAGGCTAAAGATGAGTTTTGGCTTGATATTGTGAGGGTAGAATCTACCCCATCTCTAGCTACTTTCCTGCGTTGTTACCTTGTAGTTTATTTTTGTGCTATTAATTTTATTTTACGATTTGGACAACATGTTCAGGTCATGGTTGAATTTGATTTGAATTTGGCATTTTATGATTATGGCTGGGCGGTAGTAAAGGTACAGCTTCAAAAAATGGCACTTTTTTGAAAGTAAAGTTTTTAAACTTAAAAAGTATTAAAAGAAAATATTATATATCAGGTTGTTCAAATAATTATGTGCTCCATCTTAAAACATTTTTGGTGGTAAAGGGCACAGCATGATTTAAACAAAGTAATATTTAAAAGCAAAATATAGTTAATTTTTTAAAAGTTAAATTTGCAGTTTTATGCAAATTTTGATGGTGTTTTTAAAATTTGTTTTATTTTTTTTTTGAAAAAAACTGAACTTGGTGGCCGGTCGGTTTTTTTGGCTTAAAAATGGCCAAGATACCTCTACTGATTCTAGTCTTTTGTTGGGCATGTTTCCACTTCTCAAATGCTAATAGTTGTTTCAGTCAGGATGGACCTGATGCGTAAGTCTTTAATTTTTCTTTTTTTTTATTTTTAGGTATTATTTTTGGTTTATTTGGCGATTTTTGGGCACTATTTGGTCTATAGTAATATAATTTTAAAATATTTTAAAAATTTTAAAGGTTTTTTTTATTATCAACTATTAATGTTGACATTAACGATCAATATTCAAATGATCTACCAATGTTACTATTGCAGTATTGCCGATTGCGCCTCGGACGACGCCACCGAGCACTTTGTTCTCCAGTTTGCGCAGACACCGGAGAGTATTAAGTACGAGGTGACAGTGTCGGCCGGATGTCATGAAGACAAGAGCATCGAGGACAAGGTCATCATGAACTTTACCTACTTTGACACGGCGTGGGCGATCGGCGTGTTCGCTACGGATGAGGAGCTGATCGAGGCTAGAGTGCTTCGTTACACTCGGGATCCGGATACGGACGAAGAGTTGGCGGACGGAATGACTGTACCAATCTCCTTGGCGGAGGACTACACTTTTTCCATTACTCAGACGTATAATGTGTTGTAAGTTTTTGTGGATTTACTTGGTTTTGATCGCTGCTTTGATGATATATATACATTTGTACTGTTATTACTTACCAAAATGATTCAGAGACGTCCAATACAACGGAACCTCTTCAACCGTCGCTCCTTTCACTTCGGTTACCAGGAATCATACCACCGACGATCCGGGAACCGCGGAAACCACCATGCCCAGCACTTACACCACCACCCCACAATCGACTGAAAAAACCACAACAAAGGCGGATGAGCCAAGGTATGTATCGTTGAGTTACGGCTATCCTATCACTATCACTCGCAACCGCACCTACTTCAAGAGTATTATCGACTATCACCGGAACGACTCGAACTGTGACATTGTGGTCAGGGTGATGGATGGGTGGTTGGAAACGCAGAATCAGTACTGGATCGACTGGGAGTTGTGGGCCACGTTGTCTGTTTGGATGATGCTTTTCATGTGGGTTTTATATAAGGATTGGAATTGAAAAGGGGCTTACATTAGATTTGAAAGGGGGCTCACGTTAGACTTGAAAGGAATTGCTTTAAGCTTGAAAAGGGGCTCCCATTAGACCTGAAAAGGGATCACATTAGACTTGAAAGGCGGCTCACTATGCTTATCTAAGGCGGGGTTGATACAAATTTGAAGGAGGCTGGGGCCGCATTGGCCATACTTGAGGGCCGGACTCTAATGAATGCCCCATGAGCCCATCTTAGGTCCCGCAACGAAAGATTTGACTATTAAAAACTGAAACGAGCGATTTTAAAACAACTTAAGAATAATTTTTGAATTGTGTTATTCTGCTCACCTTTTCAGTGGCTGCTTCATCGGCTCGATTATCGCCTTCCTGCTCGGCCGATCGTGCGCACGCCGCCGCGGCCGTTGGAACGATGGCCGAGGAAAGTTGAAGGTGAAAGAGGAGAAGGCAGGCAAATCAAAAACAGAAAAGGAAAAGTCGAAAAAGGAAAAGTCGCAAAAGGACAAGTCAAAGAAGTCGATGAAGGGCAAGTCCAAGAAAGAAGACTCGTTTGAAGAAGTGGAAGAAGGTGCCAACAAGACTCAAGAAGAACAAAAGGTGTAGAAGCGCCTATTCGATTGGAAATGACGTACTGAATTGGAATAAACTGATCTTGAATTTTTTTTTGATTTTTAAATTTTTTTCAAGTATGAGGTTGTTCAAATAATTCTGTGCCCTTAACTTCGAAAATTGACTTTGAGGTGGGGCGCAGAATTATTTAAGCAACTTAATAGAGAAAAGTGATTGCCGCTTTGTGTTGCTGTCAATGAGCTTCTATGATATTTGTCTTCGATTTTATGTATTACAACATAACAAAAGGGTTTGGTATTTATAAATACTGCAATAAAGTAGAGTAACTATTCAATAAAACAACAATATCTAGTATTTTTATACTATTGAATGGCAATTTCTAGGCTTTTTATACACCAAAAAAACATTAACTAGCACCAGATTCATAAAGCATATTCCCTTGTTTTGGCCAAAGACTTGCTCAACATCAACTTCTTCAACGCTGATCGGCAAGCGAACTTCGATGCCGGATCAGCATGCCATTCGTCCCAGGATTCGTGTTTGGGGCGGATTCGGTGATGCAAAACGAAAAACTTGAGCATGGACGGGTTTGAGCTCAAGTCGGGATAATCGACTGGCTTCGGGTCGGGCCGGAGGTTCTGAAAAAGGTGGAATGAGGTTTGGAAAGACAAATTTAATTTGGCTGGTTGTTATAAGGTAGTTGAAGGAAGGAAAGATAGAAACATACGACAGAGGTAGCTTTAGGGGAGCATATTGACATCTCTTTTGAAAATATATAAAAGTAACTGTAACAGCTTTTTAAAACTAACTATACCAACGTTATTTTGATAATTTTTTGCCCAAAAAAATTTAAAACTTCCTTAACTCACCGGGAAGATATTGTTAGGAAAGCAGTTGACAATATAACTGTAGGGCATTGTAATCACGTAAACCAGCTTCAGTTTGGGATTTAGTTTTTCGTTGTTATAGTAGAGGAACACTCCAACTGCTATCATGCTAATGTGCAACAAGAAGATGAGTAGGAAGAACATTGCAAATAGGCAGCGGCTAGAAATTTTGAAATTTAAATTTTAAAATTAACCCACTCAAACTCGACCGATTGTGTAGCGAAGGGTCGACTCAAAAAGTACATAGCACTGTCTTCAGGTCGGAACGTATCTTCTAACGGTACCGTTGTTGTAGTAGTTGTTGTCAGATTCCTCGTAAATACACCCAAACCGAGGTCACTTGTGTCATAGGCTCTGATTCTTTCCCAATCTTCTTCACTGAAGGAAAAGGCGGTGTAGTCGTAGGCCTGAAAAGAGGAGGGTAGGGTAGTAATAGGTAGTTGACTTCGATGCAGAGTGAGAGATTAATAGGTACAGTTATGCTTTTAATAAGGTAGAGTAGGGTAGGCAGTGTTTTGCCCGGACCGGTCCGGAGCGTTTTTCACCGGTCCGGTCCGGCGATTTTCGGGTCCGGTCCGGTCCAAACCTCAAATTTTTGGGTCTGGTCCGGTCCAAACCCAAAATTTTTGGGTCCGGTCCGGTCCGCATAAAATTTTTTTTTTATTTTTAAAAAAAGCAAGAAGCTCTGAAACTGCTTTCTTTTTGCTTAAAAACTCTTAAAAATACATTCTATTTGCAATTTTTAAATCAGTTCTATTTTAAAAAATTTTTCTTCCGGACCGGTCCGGAGCTTTTTCTTCGGTCCGGGTCCGCAGGTTTTTGAGTCCGGTCCGGTCCGCAAAAATTTTTGTTTCGGTCCGTCCGCTCCGGACCGGACCCGTCCGCGGACCGGACCGGTCCGGCAAAACACTGAGGGTAGGGTAGGGTAGGGTAAGGCAAGGCAAGGCAAGGTGTGCTAGGACAGGCACAGTAGGTCGCGCTTGAAAGTTATAAAGCTATAAATACATTACACTTACCGACATTTTAAATATGATGTCACGATGATGTGAACAAATGTCCAATGTCTACCAACAAAAACAAAAAATTGATCAAGGTTTCAATCTCAACTTCAAAATACGAAAAATACTCCCAAACTCGACCGATATGCAAATTCACCTAAACCCACCTTTATTTAAATTTACCTCAAATCGAACTTTTTTAAAATTTTCATTTTCCTTTTCCGATTTAGTGTTGCGGTCTGGTTGTGGGGTCCAGAAGCCTGTGTTTTGTACATCCAGATGCTGTGGACGGATGGCTGGTTCGGCGGACCCGACCTGATACATGGGTTCATGTTGGCGTTGTGTCTTATAGTTTCGGTCATGCCCGTGTTCTGCGGCGGCAAAGTAAGCTGGTTTTTTTGGTGTTCTGGGGAAGGGGGGGGTTGGGGGTAAAAAAAAAGGGGGGGGAAGTGTTATTGGGGATTTTTGGTTCTTTTAGGAGGTGTTGTTGTGGAATGAACAAAGGCGTGTTGTTGGAGATTTGGATGTTTTTAGGAAGTGTTATGGGGACTTTTTTTTTGTTGTCTTTAGGGCTTATTTATTTTTTGTTTTAAGGGGGGTGTTATCAAGGTTTTTTTGGTGTTTTTGAGGGGTGTTTTCGGCCTTTTTTTTAGGAATTGTTATTAGGGTTTTCGGTGTTTTTTGGACAGTGTTTTCGAGATTTTTATTGTTTATATGGAGGTGTTATTGATTTTTTTGTGTTTTTAGGTGGTGTCATTAGAGATGTTGGTAATTTTAGGGACTTTTATTAGTAGTTTTGTGGTTCTAAGGGAATACTATTGAAGATTTTAGTGTTTAAGGGGTGTTATTGGGATTTTTTGTGATTTTAAGAGGTATTATTGGAGTTTTTTTAGCGTATTTGGGGATTTTTACAGAGTAATTTTAGGTGATTTAAAGGCTTTTTTCTCATTTCATGAAGTACCATGGTGTATATCTTTCTAGAAATGCTAACAATTGTCATATTTTTCTTAATTTTTACAGAATTGAAGAAAAAACTTGACATGCCAATTCCCTCCTCCCCCATTCTTACACCCCCCCCTCTTCCCCCTCGCCCTCAAATTGACTGCTTACTCTGAACAAGCCTACTTTTGATAGAAAAAACCTAAAATATACTGCCAAACCACAAAATACGTTAAAATATAATTTGTCAACTTTCAGAAAAAAAAAGGAAACTCTCAGGATGTGACAAATATAACGAAAGAAGCGAAGGACATGAAGCCGAAGAAGTGGAATCAAACCAGCAAGGAGAAGTTGATCGCCAAGGGCGAGCTGCAAAAGGGACGCAACGAATATCCTACTGTAATTTTATAGATTTTTGTTGATTTTTAGGTAACAATGGGCTTGTAATTTGAAGTTGTGATTGGGCCGGTCAAAAATTATATGGAATTTTGGTTTGGGAAGGAAGTATTAGTTTGTTCAAAAAATTTTGAGCTACGTGTCTTATAGAGTTGCTTTGACAGATGGATCAGAATTTTTTGAACAACCTGTCAAAAACTTAAAAAATTGCCATTTTGATTGAATAAACCATCCAAAACCGTCTTTTTCAGATGGACGACGTGGCCAGCGACTGGTCTTCGGAGGAGGAAGGTGAAGATGGCAAAAAGAAGAAGAAGCCGAAAGGGGCCAAGCCCAAGGGCGGCAAGAAGAAGGGCAAGAAGGACGACGAGATGGGCGAGAAGTCCGGGCAATTCGGCGGTCTCGGAATATAAAACTGACTTCGTTGTTGTGAAAATAAAGCACTGCCTCGGGGTCTTTAATTTCCATTAAATTTGGTTTATACTTGGGTTTGTAGTGAAGGTTGTTGTATGGCTACTGTAATGTATGTGTGTTGCATCTAATCAGGGACGTCGACGTTTCACGTTAGTTTTTGAGCACTTTTGTATACATGGCATTTTTGTGGTACTCGATCGTATATTCAGCCTGTATAATATAGTAAGGTAATATTTATATTACTGTAACTCGACGAGTAATAGAGTTACAAAAGCAGTCGTTACAAATTCTGAAAGCCCATTAAAAATGACATTTTATGTTATTATAGTTTTTGAGCACTTTTGTATACATAACATTTTTGTGGTACTCGATCGTATATTCACTATGTTTTAATTTTTTTACGTTTCTAATGTCTATGTTGTGCGATACGATGGTAATAAATTATAACAGAAACGAGATAAGATGTTCAATCTATATTTTTAATCTAAAACGGCCTTGGCCTACAAAACGATCGAGACGGCGCCTACCTTATCGAGATTTCTGATCTGAAGTTATATCGCCACACCGCTCTACACTTCACTTCTTTTTGTGGGATAGGTGATGTGAGGTTGGGTATTCAAGGTAGTTTGATGATTTTAATAATAGGCAAAATATTGGGTTACTTTCAGGAAGCAGAATCTTAGGAGTGAATGATTTTTTTTTGAAGTTGACTCTTTCTAGAGAATTCACCTAAGATGAGAATCTAGAATCCTTATCATTTTTTGCATAAAAAATATTTCTTATAGGGATGGTTACATCAACACTGGTTTTCTCTCATTTCTTGTTTTTTGGATGACCTAGAATCTCGTAACTAGCGTGACCTGATTGGATTCGACTACCGTAATTCACAATTTTCTTATGTTTTTCAGGATTAGGTCCAACAACGCTTAAAATGAGCTCTACGAGCTCGGTAGGCTATTCCGTATTATAACGTAAATCGCAAGAACAACGTTCCGGACTAGACAGGCCGTAGTGCCTATTTTCCTGGTGAATGCTGGGAATGTAACTCGCATAATTGAGGTCCTCGAAGGCCTGCGTAACGAATGTTACCATTGCCTCAGACACCAACAACGAGAGCCAAATTAATCTCCACACATTTTACGTAACCCACAAAAGCCTACTAAGCACGGTAAACCATATCTTTTATAGAGGTTTCATACCTCTAGTAATTGCATGTACATCCAACGGTAATATATTTTTTCGTAAATCAGTGTACTAACAACATGTATTAGGACTCTAACCTTTGTGTTTTTAAAGTTCTCATTCTATTAACTTTAGCATTGATGTCATTGCTACTGTGGATCTCCGAAGCCCATCCGACTTCAGCCCTCGAGGCACGCCAAGTGTCTGCAGAGCTTCAGGAGAGAACGATGCAAGCTCTTAAAATTTGACCAGAATTACTTATGAAACGTAAATGGTGATGGTTTTTTTTGTCTTTAGATGTCCTTTTGAAATAAAACAATAAATTGTGCTTCTTAATTATCAATAAACTTAATTACAACTAGTTTTCTTAGAAGAATATAACTGAGTTACCATACAAAAAATTTTGTCTGTTATTAAAACCCTTTAACTACCTTGAATCAACACCCAGTCTCACATCACCTATCCCACAAAAAGAAGTGAAGTGTGGAGCAGTGTGGCGATATAGCTTCAGATCAGTAATCTCGATAAGGTAGGCGTCGTCTCGATCGTTTTGTAGGCCAAGGCCGTTTTAAATTAAAAATATAGATTGAATACCTTATCTCGTATTCAGTTTCTGTTATAATTTATTATCATCGTATCGCAAAACGTAGACATTAGAAACGTAGAAAAGTTAAAACAAGAAAAAAAATTCTTCTTTCAATAACAAAATCGAATTTTAACTCTTTATTAGTAAGTGACATCAGAATTTTTATTTGAAATTACAAGTTCACTTTTATAATTGACATTTATCACATTAAGTACACATTTAAAGTAGACCATGAATAAGTTTAAGGAAGTTTAGTAATACCTTGTATGTGGTACTTGCCTGTATATTCACCTTGTGTAATATAGCAAGGGATGACTTTGTATCACCGTAAGTCGACGAGTAATAGAGTTACAAAAGCAGTCGTTACAGATTCTGAAAGCCCATCAAAAATGACATTATATGTTGATTTTTGAGCACTTTTGTATACATGGCATTTTTGTGGTACTCGATCGTATATTCACCAATTGTAATATAGCAGAAAAATATTTACATTACTGTAACGCGACGAGAAAAAATATTCTATATTTGTCATTGCACTAAACGTATTTTCAATTTTATGCTGGTCATTTTCATGCCTAAATCTTTATTTCAATTCAATTTCCTCCTCGTGTCCCTCTAATTCTCTGACAATCTCCGCAATATCACGATCTTTTGTCTCTGGTAAGTAGAAGTACAGAGTAACCAAACATAGATACGATGGTATGACAAACAATATTAGCAATGAATACGAGCTGATGTGGTCGTAGAGGGGTAGGACGAGGAATGTTACAACAACAGCACTAATGTGATTTAGAGCTAACGCTACTGAGCTACAAATGCTACGGACTTCTGTCGGTACTAATTCGGAGACTAGAAACCAGGCTATTGGTCCTGTTGCTACGCTGGAAATAATTTTTTTAATAAAAAATTTCATTTATTTTTTTAAAAATTTTAAAAAGGTTTTTACTCCCCCCCCCCAGTCAAACTCACCCCCGCCCAGCATTACAAAATAAAACAATAGAAAATACATAAATTGAACTTAAAAACATACCTATATGAGGTACCATGTAGACATATGGCCAAGATACACCCGTATTTAAGTTCGTCCTGGTATAGCTGTCCTTGTGAGCATATGACAAATAGTAGTAGTGCTGTTATGTTGGTGAAACTAGCGGATAAAAATAACTTCCTTCTACTACATTTTTCGACCAGTACCATTCCAGTACATGTAGATAATGTGCTGAAAGATCATTTTATAATATACTACCCTACCCTATTATACGGTACCCTACTCTTACCTACCTCAATATAAGCATGCCAGAAGATACGTATTCGGCCAGCTCCGGTGTTATGTTTGTTCTGACCATAAATTCGGTCGATAAAAAGACGACCGGCCAAATCGAAGTTGTGATTTGTAGGGCCAGTACTCCCAGTACGAGTCCTTTTCTTAGTGCTGGACTTTTGAGTACGTGGACGATGGATCCAGAAGCTTCAGAAGATTCAGCACGAATTCTACTTAGTACTTCCTCAGCTTGGTGGTCATCTGCAATATTTTTAAATTTCAAAAATTAAATTTTTTTCAAATTAAATTTTTAAAAATTTTTTTGAAATTTCAATTTTAAAACTTCAAAAAATACAGTAACCCACCAATGTTCTGATAGAACTGTACAGCTTCTACAGCCTTGTTCAAGTCATCTTTCTTTATCATTAGAAACTTTGGCGTTTCTTTTAAAGGTAGTACCACCAAGAATGATATTATACCAGGTATCATAGCTGAGCCGACCAGAATTGTAATGTAGTTCCCTAACATAAACGACATTCCAGCTACTGCCCCCAGTGCATTCATGGCAACAAATGCGGTTTCGGCAAAGAATCCGAGGGTTCCACGCATTGAGTTTGGAGCGATTTCCTGAAGAATGAACGATTTCAAAAAGCAAAGTGATAAGAAATTTTGAAAATCATTATATTTTTGAATTTTTTTGTAAAATAAACTAATTTTTAAATGTTTACGTATTACAACAAAAAGCGAGGAATCGTATTTTACCTGCAAAAACAGCACCAAAGCACACATTGATATGCCAGAGCCGACGGCCGAGAAGAACCGACCCAGAATGAGACATTCCATGTAGTCAAACACTGGTCCTAATGTCATCAAAAGTACCGATAGAGTCACAGTGATATTTCCAACTAGTAGTCCTACTGAAATTTAAAGTTTTTAAAATATAATCATAGAAAATCGGTTAAAAACACTTAAAAAACTAAAAAAATCGAAAAATAAGTAAAAATCACAAAAAACTTACAAGGAAGCGCTTTTATTGGCTTTAAACTTTTTATATAGAAAAATAATGTTAATATAAGATCTTCAGCAAAGTACTAAATCGCGCTTTCCAGGAATTCTCGAGAAAATCGAGATTAAAAAATTACAGTTTGAATTTCCCGCCAAATTGGCATAGTGTTTGAAGCTTATGATTTTGCTATTTTTGGACTTTTAATCATTTTTCTTTGATACTAGTAGGACACCTTTAAATAGACTTGAATTTTAAAATTTATAAGCGTAGCTTGTCTAGAAAGTCAAAAAATGCTTGAAACACAATGCCAAACTTGCCAAGTTGGCAGGAAACCCAAATATCTCAAATTTAAAACTCAAAAGCACCAGCTAAAATTTTTTATAAGTATTATTAATAACACAAAGAATTCATATAAAAATATTGAGCTGATTCTGAGTGGGACAGGTTGGGTACCTTATTTGTAAGTCAAAATTTTTAAAATTTAAACCTACACTTCCTCCCAAAACTATCAGTCAATGGTACGGCAAGCCAAGCTCCAATCGCAAAACCTGGAAACCAAGAATTCAAAAAGGTGGCCCAAATCCAAGTGAAAGATTCTGAAGTCACTTCTAATTCTCTGTCTGTCATACTCTGATTTATAAATGTTTTAAACCCGTCGATTGCTGTGTTTACATATGCGTTGGAGTAACCCATCTAAAAAAGGTTTTATATATCAATAATAAAAGATATAACAATACCACAAAAAACTTTAAAATATTTTTAAGAATCTTTATTGAAGCTACCTACCTGAAAGATTGAAGAAAATGAGACCAATGCACCAATTGAGATCAGTTTAACTTTTGTTAAAGGTGTTATTGGAGGCTCCATTTTGCCTAAAATATGAAAAAATCTAATCGGTTCTTTTGTCGTAAAGTCATTCGTGATATAGACAACAAGATCTGCGATATTGCTATTCCTACACCTCGTGCCTTACCCTATCCAACCATTGCCTTACCCTATCCAACCCTGTAATATTTAAGCCGACTTCACCTTATCTAAACTTAACTTTCTTCCTTACGCCGTTCTACTCTATCCTAACTCGCAATACTCTAGCCTACTTTACCCTTCTCTACCTTAATCTATATACAGTGGAGCTATAAGGAACCTCTATATAACGAAACCCTTGTATAAAGAACGACTTTTGAGTACCCGGCTATCATTACACAGTGCATTTTAAACCTCTATAACGAAACCTCTATAACGAAACCTCTTCATAACGAACGAATTTCAATCCCCCTAGCGATTCGTTGTACAGAGGTTTCATTGTACTTTACTTTCTTTTGCTTTTTTCTAAATCTAAGTGCTCTACCTTGTAAAACAATTTAAAAATACAATACACGCTTAAAGAAAAACCCATAAATAAATTTTGGAACAAATCTAATAAGACATGCAGGTATAAAAATGAAATTTGATACACATACACTTCATTCAAAAATAAACTATAAAATATAAAGTCTAAAAAACCACTCCTTAAAAAATAAAAAAAGGTATTGTAATCAAACTTGTTCAACCAACCTCTCCCAACATTCCCTTAAATCACTTTTCAAAGTCAATGATATTCGATATCGAATTAGATAAAATTAAAAAGTAGCGTTGTTAGGTAAAAAAGAAGTCGTTTTTTTTGGTTTTGACCAAATGAAATAGACTCCTTTAGCTATTTTTATTTGTTTCTTTTTCAATTTCCACCCAAGGAATGGATAAGAAAAAAGGGTTTGGCTTAGTTTTTTGTAGTTTGAGGCTTTTATTATAACATTTTTGGCATTTTCTAGTTTTAAAATATAACGTTTTACCTCTCTCGATATTATAATTATAATTTTATATAAAAATTAACCTTTGTCTAACCATGATTTAGTTTTGAAGATATAAAAAGTAAGTTAAAAGCTGTTTGGTCGCTCTTTCAATCAATTTCATTTATGCTCACAAAAACGCATTTTATACCAGTGTTTTACCGAAATTTAAAATATTAGGTTGTTCGAATAATTATGTTCCCCTTGCTCTCAAAAATTTGCTTTGAGAACGAGCACAGAATTATTTGAACAACCTCATACAAAGGCACGGACGTCGCTACGGTTTTTCTCTGGGGGGGAGAAGTCACCAAACGACGTCCCTGTACAAAAGTTATAAAATAACTTTTTTGAGTACTTTCAGCTACTAAAAAATCGAAAAACGTTATAAATAAATAAAAATTTTAAAATACTCAAAAAAAAACCTAAAAAAAACCCAATAAATATATTTAAAAAACATGGATAAACCAAGAAAACAACAGTAAAAAGCCACAAAACATAAATATTACAAAAAACACAGCCAAAGAAAATACAATCCTATTTAATCACTACCAAAATGTACATTCTCTGATTCTGAATTTATCCATCTAATTCACAAAACATCGAAAAATTATACTAGTGCTCAGCCTAGTATAATATAAGTAAACCAAAGGCATTATCAACTGCTTGACGACTTTCTGTGACCTTTTCCAAAAATGGCTTTGGATATTCCTCGTCCTCGCTTCAGAAGCCTTCTTCTTTTTCTGCCACTGTTCGATGAGCCTTCTGAAGTAGTGCCTGAAGTCTGTGACAATGATGAAGACCGCATTGATGATGTTGATGCTTGCGATGATACTCCAAACGTGGTGTTCAATTCTACATCCGTTTCTTGACTAAAATGATGTTAAAACAATAATAGGTAGTATAGGGTAAATAGGGTAAAATAGGGCAGGGAAAGGTCAAACGTACCCCTCGTCCTTACTATCATAAGGTTTGTCCAGGTTCACATCAAAGTCTTTGCCAGCTCCAATGTACTCATTCATAAGATGGGGCCACTCTTCTTGTAGGTAGGCCTCAAACTTTCTTCTCGTCGCTTTGACTATTATCATCGCATGCTGAGCCAAGTTTTCTGTATAATCAAAGTCCGATGAGGTTTTGGCTAGCGGGTAAATCAATGGAACAGCTTGGTCTTTCTTCAAAGCGTACTTCAACATCAACTTAGATAGTTCGTCTGCCAGGGAGAGGTATACTGTTGTGCTAAAATAAAATTTAGGTAACAAACAACATCAATATAAAAAACAAGATCTCAATATATTTTATTAAAAGCGCCTCGTCTCACCTTATCAACTTATGATATGTCAATTTGAGTAATTGAATCCTGGCTTCTTGTTGAAATGCTCGAAGATCGATTTTACAGTCCAAATCAAAGTCAAAGTAAAAGTAGAACATCTGAAGTAAATTAAAGTTATACAAGACGTCTTTTATCAACTTTTTCACTTTCAAAACTTTTTGCAAAAAATCAATATTTAAAATTTGAGACACTTTGTCACTTTTTTTGACATTTCGTTATCATAAATTAATATAACTGTATACATAGACATGAGAAATGGGCCGGCCTTGAGCAAAATTCCCATCGGGCCGGGCCTGAAAAATGAGCCGGGCCCGGCCCGTTTCCACGTAAAAAAAATGTAGGCCCGGGCCGGGCCTACCATTGGGCCAGGCCGGGACGGCCCTACCATTGGGCCAGGCCGGGACGGCCCTGAGCAAAATTTCGATCGGGCCGGGCCTAACATTCAGGCCCGGCCCGGCCCGTTTCTCATGTCTATGTATACAAAATACAGCTGTATTTTAAATCTTTCACTTTACTTTTCTAATAAATCAATAAACCAAAACTAGTGGCATTTCGTTTCCAATAAATTTTGTTAAATTTCGGCAACTTCCTATGAATCTAAAAATTTTCTCATTCTTTATAAATTTAAGAACACCACACACGTATTATACCTTGTTTCCCAACGGGTTGAATAGTATATTCACCGTGCACTTGTTGGGTTCATCTGATGCCGGTACCCAGCTTTCGTAGTTGCAATCTCGAATATATGCATCATGAGAGCGTATGACATCTTCTCTCAATAACTCTACTTTAATATGCTCCTTGCTGTGCTTAAACTGTCTGATCCAGTCCAGTTTTAATAATTCTTCACAGGTGCGCCGCTTCATAAAGTTACCGACCAGACATTTGTCGATGAATTTCTTGCATTCTGGAGATATTTGTGACACAAAGTTTTCCTGAACTTCTTCAGAAAACATGTCCGACCAGTTCAGATGCTTCTGAAATGCTAGCATTTTTTAGAAATTTATAGGAAAAATCAATAAAATTGAAATTTCGTCTTATAAAATAAGAAAAAATAATTAAAAAAATTTGTGGCATTTCGTCCAAATTCTAGGTGATCGTTTTTAAAGCTACAGTTGCTTCAAATAGACCAATTATTTGTTTCTTAAGCCTAAATCTAGTCAAAAAGACCCGTCGAAACACCGATAAAAACGTGACATTTCTTCAAAAAACTCAATTTCCCAGCCCAAGCTCGACTAAACAAAAAACTAACTTGATTTCTAATCCCCTTCACAACATCCAAGTATTTCGCATCCATTTCCAGTATGTGTTCAAATGGCAAAGCACCAGTTAACAGCTCGCACATGACAGCACCAATACTCCTACAACATTATCAACATCAAACAAAAATAAAAAAATGAAACTTCGTTTAAAACCTTAAAATTAATACCATGTTTCAGCCCTGATGTCGTAGCTCTGATAATCCAAACGATTCATGCGGAGCGTTACTTCAGGAGCCATATAGCATGCCGTGCCAGCCGGTGTGTACAGCTGGCCGTACTTGGACTTGCGATTGTCGAATTTCCTAGCCATTCCAAAGTCGGTCAGCTTGATTGTGGCGTCTTCATCCAGCATAGTGTTGGCTGACTTCAAGTCACGGTGGACGTAGCCGTGGGAATGCATGAAACTGAGACCGGTCAATAATTGATGGACAATCTCGCCGGCTGTCGCTTCGCTTACTGGACTAACTTGCTTTATGCGGAGTCTTGAACTACCGTAGCGACGAAGGGACGCTATCTAAAAAAAATAAAAATAAAGATGAAAAAAAAAATATTAAAAAAGCAAAAATCAATAAAAAATTTTGACATTTCGTCTAATTTTCCAATACTCTTTTATAACCCAACTTTTTTCTATAAAATCTCAAACAGCAAGAAAATAGTTTCCATAAACACAAAATAACTTATGTTTTCTAAGCGTAAACTACCTTTAATTTAATGTTTCTTTCGTACAAGTCTTCCAAACTTCGATACAATGGCATGACGATGAATACGGCTGTCTTATTTATCAATGCCACAGCATGATTACTGACCAAATTTGGATGTGATAGGTTTGAAATTGTTTGGATTTCATCTATCTGTAAGGTTTTTAAATTTTTACTTTACATGGTCTTAAACTATTGATTTATAAAGTTTAAATAGATTTTTCCGCCAAAAAATTAATTTTCAAATAAAATTTTAAAAAACCGGAAACAAGTTCTTTTTTCCATCGCTTCTGTATTGAAAAAAATAAAAAAAGAAACACTTTTATATTACCTAAACTTTACTATTCCGGCCAAAAAACTTATAAGGACCCGACCCACATCTGACAGCCCGGAGCCCCTTGCAGATCTACTTCCGGGTTATTTTTCAATGTATTGCTCAACCAAATCAATACCTATCTAAAACTCACAATATACCTCGTCCCAGCAAACAGATCAATCAGTTTTACAGCACAATATTGCTTTTCAACCACATTTTTTGCTTTCACAACATCTCCAAAACTTCCGCCGCCCAACATACACAGGAAGCGAAAGTCATCGGGATTGGCACTCCATTTCGGGATCGGTTTGTAGCCTTCAGAACTGAAAAAAAAACTAGTTTTATAAAAAAAACTATGATCCATAAGAATTCAAAGAAAAATGGTCGTTTTTGAGAAGAAATGTAAATTTTAATAAAAAACAAAGTTTTTTATAATGTAAAAAGCAAAAATTTATTTTCTCGTATTTTACAAAAAAACCAGACATAATAGATATAAGCGTGGTGGCATTACCAAACACGATCACTGGATTCCGACCGTGAAGCTTCTCGAATTTTCTGTTCTAATTCTCCAAAAGTCTGATTCATTGTTTTTGAATTTTAAAGCCCACAACAACCGACCACAATTCTCAATTTTTTTAATACAGAAATGCCATTTCTAACTTTAAAATTTCAAAAAAAAACTTTGTTTTACTTCACAAATGCAGCACAGTGAATTAGTACTCTTTTGAATAGCCCTCGATTGTATGACACCCTCTTTATAATCGCAGAACGTACATTGTAACAAAACTCCTAGCAAAAATGACCTAGATAATGTGACGCCCGTTATAATGACGTTGGTCTAGTCCCTTGAGTGTCATACCTATTGTACTTCGTTATACGTGGCCCTAACCATCACAAACCTCCCTTTCTTTCCTATTTTCATGTACTCTAACATGTCCAAACATACTTACATATATTAATCTACGCCACAAAACATAATATCATCCTCCTTAAATTTATTATTATTAGTTGCAAGAAACATCACAGAAGTTATAAAAATGAATGTGAGTATAAAATAGAATTGACTTTGGGTAAAACTACTAATATTTGGCTAAAAGACAGCTACTATAACATAATTGAAATGCTAATATATCTTTTTAAAAAATTTTACAACTTCAGTCAGAAAGTTGTAGAATCGTTTGACAAAAAAATAAAAATATTTTTAAAGCTGTAGCCATGTATCTATATGTAGTTGTTACCCACAAAATTAGCATTGAAAGACCAGTATATTCATATATAATACATATCACCACATATAATACAAAAAAAATGAAAGTTAAAAAATTTTTTGAAATATCACAATTGAAAAAAAAATATAAAGGTTATAAAATAAAGTAATAAGAGATTGAAATAAAATATAAAACGTATAAAATATTAATATTCGACTAGTCCTTTCTCCTTATTGAGCGCCTTCTTTTTAATTGGCTTAATGATCTTTTTGTATACAAAGTTAGTACGAGCGTCTCCGAGTTCCGGAATTAGATCGTGCTTCAATCTTTTGCATTCCTTATCAAAGATTTCGTAGGCTGAAAGATCTTATGCATAAACAGTGCTAGCAATAAAGCTTTCAATGACAGCATTTTTTAAATTTAAATGAGCTTAACAAAACCTTCATTAAATCATAAAACAACATACCATTGTCCACTACAGCTACTGCCACTTTGTCATCTCTCACTCCAAATACAAAAATATTTGGAAGAATGGTGTGAAGAGCATATACGATGTTTGGCGTGTCCAGAGCAAAAGTCTCTCGAAACTAAAATTTGATTTTTAGGTAATAAATAGTTTATAATTCGTATAAAAGGTTAAATAATGTTACCTAAAAAAGCAAAAGTCAAACAAAAAACTTACAAACTTCTGAGTTAGACAACATCTTGATTCACGTTCAAAATAAGCCTTGAATTTGCTTAGCGGTATCATGTCTCGATGTGTTGACAAAGCGTTAATCATTTGCATTGCATATTTCTAAAAAACTTTATAATAAAAGCCTGAATACTGCCAAAAAGCTTATACTACCCTAGCCAAATAACGTTTATCACAATATGTAATAATAAACTTATTAAAGGCTCAACATTAAACTAGATATAAGTTGTTATAGATATGAACTTACAAGACGTTTTTCGTACTTTTTCACATCTTCAACTTTAAAATGCTCAATTTCGACATCAGACTTGTATGTTTCAACGTCTGATAACTCCATGGCTGCATTCCTAGTTTCTTTGATCATATTGCCATTCTCCTTGAAAACAATTTTCTTCTCCTCCATGTTGTTGTTCACCATGTTACTGTTCATGTCAATCGTATGGCCGTTCATCTTGAGCATGTTGTTCTTCACCTGGATACCATTATCCTTCATCTCCATCGTATTGTTATCCTCTTTACGACTGTTACTGTTCTCATCGACCAAATCCTCGTCTTTGAACACATTATCATTCATATCAACACTCTGAGATAAATCCGAACTTCCAGTTGAATTACCCGAGTCGTGATGAACCATAACATCAACGTTCTCTTGAGTTAAAGTCGTGTCCATTTCATCATTGTGCTCTGACTCTCGCAATTCATCGAAACCTCCATCAACCGACTTCTCTGACCATTTTCCAGGAGAGGTGAATGGATATCTGCCGTAAGCATCAGAATCATGTGCTTCACAATGATAAAGTACGGCATTCTGTTGTAGCTCTTGATCGTCAAATAAAGATGGCAATTCTGGCTGTTTGTACTGCAGTGGCGCGTCTAAAACTTAAACATTACACAAAATAAAACCTCGACTTGTTCCAAAATTGTTTTAGAATGCTTAAACACCATCTATTAAAACATAAGAAACCAAATCTTCCTAAAAACAGAACAAAAACTTCAAAATACTTACGATTTGGCATTGGAAAGCGGCAAAAACCTTCCAGTGGCGGTTTTTCTGCACCATAATACTGCATGTAGAGACTCATAGGGGTTGAATCCATATACTGATCAATAGTAGCTGTTTTCATGTTTTGATCAGGACCAGACGATTCTAAAATCAAATAACGACGATTTTTCGGTATTGCGGATATTGTTTTAGATTCAACTAAATAACTAAAAAGATAACCAAGCACACATTTAAATAACAAAAAAAAACAACAAAAGATATTCAGAAATGTTATGCCAACCTTATTAGATTATTTTTAAGTTATCAAACCCAATAAAAGCCCTTGAACATAAAGTTCCTTCTATAACTTACTTTCAGCTGATGGAAATCGACAAAATCCTTGCATAATGCGAAAGTTATTTGAAAAACAGTTTTAAAAGTAAAATTTATTGAAACAAAATGTAATATGGACAATATAAATCAAGGTCCAAGCCCAAAAACAATAAAATAATTCTTGTGACCGAGAAAAAGTAAATTTAGAAGGAATTTCAGAAAATCCGTCATCGTTACCGATGAAAATTCATAAAATGCGTCATCAAAAGATCTTTGTATTTTATTGAAGCAATATTTAGCAGTGTTTATGATTTTTAAAATTTGTTATTAATTTTATATTGCATCAACTTTTCAATTTGATATCATTGGCACTAGTAATCTACTGTAATGTCTTGTAACTTGTGTTTTTCGAAGAAATACATGAAGAACTATGCTTTATCGTCTTCTATCTTTATATTCACATAAAATCTAAGTTTTAACATAACTTTACGCACAACTTTCACCCTTTTTTACCAATAAATCACCAAGTCTGATATGACAATCATTTATTTGTAAAAGTTCATAATAATATATGTATGTACGGGTATAAATGCTCATATGTCGGAGGGGATATAAGAGGCCAAAGACTAGTTAAAATATTATTAAAAACGAACAAAGAACTCGTTGAATAGTTAGCAAAACATTATAAACGGGAATAGAGACCAAATATAAACAAAAACGGCCAGAAATTGACCAAAAATGGGGTGAAAACGGCCAAAAACTGGTGGTAATTGGCCAAAAATTACTGTAAAATTACCGGAATTCATAGGGGGTGGGGGTGCCAGTTATTACGACTGGTGATAAAAGTTTAACAATGCAAAATCATCATTATGTTGTTGTTATATCGAGGTTCTACAATAATTAAGGCACGTGAAATAAGCAAAAAATGGTGAAATTCGCTTGTAAAATAACATTCTACAGTATTCTGTCGATACAAAAGTTGATTAGCGGAAACTTTTGGTAACAAAATATAGAGTAACTACAATATTATACTATATAAGAGATGTGATTATACTTTACAACAATAGAAATATGCTTTATAGAAAAGGCAAAGGCACAAAAGTGAATCAAACTGGCTAAAATGGGGTTCTATTTACAATTGAGACTACTGTAACAAGCCAAACAATAACTTATTTTTTGGAGATTACTGTAACTCAATAAATACAGTATTCTGCACTTACAACAGCGCGACTGTATCTGATATGTTGATTAATTGTTGAGCAAAAAAGAGAAAAGAACTGACATCTACAATAGCATTAACTGTAAGGTATCTAGATCATAGTGTAGGGCTGCATGTCGTACTGTAACTTTTTACAATATGATCGTGACCTACTGCAACGTCTTAGAACATGACCTTCAATACCTATCATATCGTATCCTACAGACTTAATTATCACTCAAATGTACACCATCAAGTCCAGAATCCGCCGTGTCTTCGTGATTCTTCTTCTGTGGCTTGGTAGACTTTCTCTTCTTTTCATCGCCTCGTTCGTCTTCTTCGTCAGTCTCATCCAACAACGAATCCGAGTTGGTTGGGGCGTTCGAATGACGTAGTGTCACTTCAGCCAAAAACGCTGACATCTCCTCGCTGTTGATGGATGTAGCGTCGCCCAGTGAGCCGTTGGAGCGGTTTGAGGCTATCTGAAAATGAGAAAAATAATTTTCAGTCTTAAACTAATCTTTAGGCATCAAAAATTAGCTAGACAACGTAAAAATTTCATTTTTACTATCCAGTAAAGTCTCGACTTACTATCGATAATTAGCTGTAGGTCTACAAGAAGATAAACAAAACTTTTCCAGCCCCTTTAAAGCCATTTTAATCCTGATATACCTATTATAAAACTTTTTTTTCAAAATCCTTACCGAATCCTCGTCCATATCCACTAGTCCTCGTAGTTGAGCTGTCGCAAACTTTTCGGCGTTCTAAATTAAAAATGTTATTCATATTTAAAATCAACGATTTTTGAATATGAAATAAATTTTTCATACCTAAAATTGTAGATTTTTATTAAAAATACCTTCAAAACCATACCTTTGACTCCAACTGAGCGATATGTTGTTTCAAATCGCTGATGTTCTGCAAGGCTTCGGTGTACTTTAGCCTTTGCATGACATTCTTTTCCTTCATTTCTGACTCAGCGGCCAACAACTTGTGTTCCAAATCCTTGACCTTTCCACTCATTTCTTGTTCTGTCTTATTCAGCATGTCCCGCTCTTCTGTCACACGCTTCAGTTCTTCATCTTGACGTTTTAGTTGATTCGAACAGACATGATTCTGGGTTTCTAGCTCCATTACCTTCTGGCTCATTTCCTGTAGCTCCACATTCATGTCGGCCTCTCTGATCCGTAAGCCCATGATCTGTTCCTCGAGTTCTTTTAGGCTTGGCTCGGCTTCGTTTGAGGCTGATCCACCCATCCAACCGGCTGTCAGTTTGGCTAGCCTATTTCTGGCTGATAGTGGATTGCTGGAGGTAGAGGTGGTGGAATCGGCCGACGTGTTTGGAGCATCTGTTGAGGCGTTTGGACTTGTGGGTGATTGGGCTTCGGTCTTGGTTCTGGCTTCTTGGTACCGCTGAAATATAAGGAGTTAGGTAAAATACGGCACAACTACTTGTCTTATGATTTAAAAAAAACTTTTTTAAATAAAAAAATCTTACCATCCAATGATTCTCCAGCTCCTGGATTCGTTGTCGCATTTCTTTCAATGATAACGCGGCTTCGGCTTCTCGCATTTTGACCCTAATGAGCTCTTCTTGTAGGGCTGCTACACCGCCATCTGGTGGGGATTCTCGGAGGCGTTTATTGGACGATTCCAGCTCCTGAAAATTACAAATTGTAAATTACACAATATTTTTTGTAAACTTTTCACTATAGGTTGTACCTACATAAAAATATTTTTTTTCCTAATATCACCTACTTTTGGCCAAAAAAATCAAATTGTAAAAAGAATCAAAGCTATCTAACTTCCCAAAATTTCAAATCCCTTACCTGAACCCTCAACTTCAGCTCCCGAACCGAGCTTTCCAAGTCGCTCTTCTTGGTGTGAGCTTCGATTAGTTCTTGTTGAAGTTGATGAATATGTTCGATCATAGAAGTGTCATCAACCTGTGTTGCTGTGTCAGTTAGACCTTGTTCAGCCTTATTCTTCGATGACAATTGTCGTATCGTTTCAAAGGCTTCTTCCAGTCGTCTGTGAGCATCAGTGTTGATGTCTCTAAGTACGTGAAGTTCATGAGAGATGTTGAGGCAGTTGTCGGCTTGTTGTGCCAAGTCTACTTGTCCTCGGACCAGCCGATCAGCCAAAGCGGAGGATTCGTGTTCGAGATAGTCAATTCGTTGGCGTAGAAGACGGTTTTCTGTTCGCAGACGCTGAAATTTAAGAGATTTTAATTAAAAACTTAACATGAAAATCATTTTTTTTATTTTTGAGGTCTTGAACTTGTTTTAAAAAGTCTTTTTTAAAGATTTTATAGTGTGTATCAGTACAATTATACATTTTTCTAAAGCTGCACAATATACTTTTTTTCAATTTAAGTTGATTTTCTACTAAACTTTGTTTTACTTAAAAAAACAATAAATTTTACAATCTTTTCATCCAAAAAAGCACATTTTTCAATTTTTCCTCCCAAAAACCTATAAATTACAATTTACTTTTACTGTTTTCAAAGTGTAAACAAAGAGTTTTACATTCTTCTGCTTCCAAAACAAGTCCTGATTTGTTTTGCAAACGTTGCTAATTAAAGAACGCATCCTAATTTATGTGATTTTTCACGTAAAAATAAGGGAAAATCTTGTTATCGTAAAAATATATGTTATTTTAAGTGTCACATTAAAGTAATAAGACGTGTTTTCTTTTAGTCATGCTTCCGCTGTCTTTAACATAAGGAAAGCCCGGTTCAACTATTGAGTTGTTCAAATAATTCTGAGCCTCTAGCCCTAAAAATTTTAGTTGAAGTAGGGCACAGAATTATTTGAAAAATCGCTTATTCGAAAAGCTTAATTTTTCAAATGCATTTAAATTTTTTTAAAATTGAAATATTTTTTCCACAATTTTTATTTTTTTAAATCTCTAATAATCAAAACAAAAAACGTAAAATACGCATCGTACTAACGTGTCTTTTCCATAAACTTTACTTTTAGCCTATAATAATATTCCATATAAAAAAGTAATTTTTTCCAATATAAATTTTCATAAATTAATACCTTTTTGGTCCATATAAACACATTCTTTCTTCGGTTTTTTAAAAATTGAGGACGTTGTTGGATTTGTGGCATTGCCACTGAATATATGCGACTTGCTTTTCAATGTTCTAGACACAGTTTTGGGAAATTCTGAATTTTATCGAGGTAAAATACGAAAAATGTACGGTTGTTGAACAAAATCATTATTAAACTTATAACACTATGAAAGACTCGGCCAAAAAGCAAAAGGTAAAATACGTCGCACACACCGGAAACCAAGGTTTTTATCGTAAATATCATAAGATGACTTATAATTTCATTCGGCCAAGTCTCAACACAACTAAACTAATTTTTTTGTCAAAACTTACCCCCCTCCCCCTCCTACCCTCCTCTTCCCCTCCCACTCTCCTCTCCCCCTCAAAAACCCTATCTACTTCACCAAGAACCTCCCTAATCAGTTGCAAATTGCCGAGACTGGCACGGGCTAATGTTTAGCGCAAAATAATTCAAATAAGAAGCGCTGGGAGAAAAAAGTATAGTGAGTTGGGGTGGGGGTTGATGAAACGAAAGCCTAATTACAAAACGTTTTTATCGCGCAAAACAAAAAATGACTAACGAATCAGAAGAAGGAAGATGATGGAAATTAAAAAATGGAACGCCTTAGGACGTTTTGACGAGTTTAGGGCGAGAACCAAGCTGACAGAACGGTTTTGGTGTAAGGAAAACGGTTTAAAGAGCAACGAGAATGTAAAGTAGTTCTTGTGGAAGGAAAACAAAGTGCTATTAACCTTACTAATAATAATGTATACACTTACAACACTGCATATTCACCATGAAAACGCAAAATCTTCAACTTTCCATATCACAAAACTACTGTTCAACGGACGCTGATACTGATAAAACTTCAAACAAAGATAAACCAAACCCACTCAAATCTGCGTCATAACTTTCACAAAAAACCATATTTTTCCAAGTAAAGAAAACGATAAACAGTAATAATTACAATGTATAAAAACGGAGAGTAACCATAAAGAAAAGGTTCACCGTCACTTTAACGGCAGTTAAAAAGACTCCAGCTGAAGATGGAATTCATAAATATCGTCAAACCATGTGTTAGATCGTTTCTACTACCGGATATACCATAATTCTTTTGAAAAAGTAATAATAAATAACAAACAAAGTTTTAAGGCGTTAGAAGAAGCCAAGTTAGAACCGCCACAAACGGCCAAAACTCGTTCCCAAGATTGAAACTAGGGTAAACAGTAGTTGGACGAAGCGATAACTCCTCAATAACTGGAAAAACCTCATAAACAGAAACAATTCGACATATTGTAACCCTCCGAACCCCATCAACCTCAACAGAACTTAACATAAATCAAGGCCAAACTGTTTGTCTAATAAACCATCCTTCAAAATGTTGTACAATTTCGAGTCCAATTAAAAAACCAGCTATAGCCATTGAAAAGCGGTCTAAATTTATCATTACTGACAGATCCCCGACGAATCTCGAGTTGGGAAACAAAGAAAAACAGCGGTTCGGGCATGATGAGAGCCATTCCGAGTGTTTCTAGGCCTTTTTGAGTAGTTTTTCCGCATGAAAAATGGACATAAAGTGACAAATTACTAGGTGTACTGTTAGGTTGAGTAGTAGCCTTGTGGCAATGAAGAAAGATAGATTTTTTTGACAAAAAAAATAAAAAAAGAAAGGCCACACAAAACCAACAATACCTCCTATAACTTCCTAAAACCAAAAAACGCCAAAAAACGTTGGAAAAGCCTTCAAAAACAATCAAAATGACACCTTCGTGGTCCCGATGACACTTTTCTGACCTTTCAGGTTCGAATTTCAATAATTTTTATCAAAAAAAGTTTTCGGAAAAAAGACCTTTACGAATTGGCTTCTGTCAATCAAAACTAATCAGAGCAAAAAACATCGCCATCAATTATATTTTGAGTAGGAATCAAGAAAAAAACTGATTTTTCTTATTTACAGTGCAATTTTCAGTTGTTGAAAAAAAGGTTTATGACTTATTATTGCCATAACCTGCAATTAAAAGACAAAGTAATTAAGTAGCAGCTAAGAATACCCATATTTACTATAAGAAAGCACCAAAAATCATAACACAAAATCTCCAATACTACTACTCCCTTCCATAAAACATCAAAAACGTCAACTACCAGCTAGCTACAGCTTAATTACTACTCAGCAATCATAACCAACACCTGATTATTAACGTTTAATCACGTATTACTAACGTCTAAAAAACCACTTCCCGCTGTCTTAAACCATCAAAAACTTCAAAATATTTTTTTATCAAAATAAGGCATGACTAAAACAAGGTGAATCACTATTTGGGTGTAGTCACTAGAAAAAACTCAACAAAGTATATAACAAAACTCCGCTTTCATTTAACAAAGCTCAGGATCATTAGAAGAGAATCATATTGTAAACAAACGTGGTTCAAGAACAATATGCGTGGATCATAACATGTCAAGTGACAAGATCGAGCTGGTTGTGTATAACTTGAAAGATTAATAGTATTGTGTTGATCCAAATTGTCTACACAAGAGTATATTCATTTTTTGACATTATTTTAGTTTCAAAAAGCTATGACAAGAAGAATAACATTAGGAAAATAAAGTAAGAAAGAAGTATTACTAAGTCTTTCAATAAAATTTTATCACCTTGATATCGCGCTATAAAACTTATGAAAATATATGTCCTCCAGATTGTCTATCACGTTATAAGTAAAGAACAAAACTAAAGAGAACAGAACTCCAACATGCTCACAAATCCAAGATATTCAAAAACAGACTTCAGAATATCCAAAAACTGCAAACAAAATCTTAGAATCCTTTTCAATCAAACCGTTTTGATTAAACTTCCAAATTCAATCATTCCGTTACACGCCTAAAGTCAACAACATTACAAGTCCGTTTCGAATGCAATTATAAAATAATTACTATTTCATATCTGCAAGTGAGAAAACGTGGATTCTACAAACAGAGCACAAGGAAAACAATAAAACTATTTTAAATGCAAAAAAAACGTAACTTTTAAAAACGTTTTTTGTTTTTAAAACAATTGCTCTACTAGTCAGACACTGTAAACTGAATTTATGTTAAAGCAAACAAAAATAGGTAGTTTTCTTAGTCTATATGACTAAAATTTCAAGTACTTTTTTATATGCAAATATAAATATATCTTATAATGATTTCAATGATCCGAACTTGCTTGAAGATCAAAACTAATATTCTTAGTAATAAAGCTAACACAAAGTTTAAGAAAAAGCTTAAAGAACGACTGTCTTAACAAGCCTTTACAGCTCTAATATAAAATATAATGTTTATACGAGCTTTGGTTGTAAAGATAGATCTATATCGTCCTATCCATATACCGCTTAAGCTTCCCTTTAATCCAAAACCGTTCAAGTCCATATATTTTTGAGCCAAATCTGTACATATCTACCTATTTTTAATACTAAACCGTTCGAATCCACCTATTTTTGAACCAACACAGTTCATATCCATCTATTTTTTCAGCCAAAACCGCTAAAATCCACGTTTTTTCTTACTAAACCTACACAAATATAGTAATACTTTACGAAATCCCCCCTCCCCGACCTGATCAAACACTACGAACTTTGAAAAAACATTTGCGGATTTAACTAATCGGGATTTAAAATCCTTCGAAAATCCCCCTCTCCATTATCCGTCTTTTTCTCGTTCCAAAACTTTGAATAGGGATTCTTTGGCCGAACAAATAAAACTTTTTTGATTGGAACATTGTGGTATATTGGGAGGGGAAACAGTTGGAACGGTTTCGCATTCCGCTGCTTTAAGAGGTGATTAAATCCGGCAGACTTATTGGATTTTTAAGATATCATATAACATAATGATATTGCTTATAACGAGTTTAAATTGGACAGACGTTTTTTAAGATTGGTATCACAATCACAGCTCATTAATTTACTTTTAGCCTAAAACTGACCAATATGATATCCCAACTTCAAATTTAAAATCACAGAGTATGATTTATTGAAAAAAGTGCCTAAAATAAAAAGACCAAAGCCAGATGAACTGAATAGCCACTAGATTAAGTCAAACTGTTCCGAAACTTACTCAAAATGAAGTTTCCGGTAACTCTATCGGGTTTGTATATAAAAACAAGACCAACATCAACTATAGTCATCTGAAGATGAAAGTATGCCAACGAGTTGAACACTATGAAAAGCAACTTTTTTTTTATAAAGAACTCAAATTTTCATGACGAAAATCTCCAAAATCAAACGTCAACTTTTTCTAGGAACAGAAGCTTTAGTTACAATAACTTTTTTGCCTATGACAACCACACAGACCATTAAAAATTCTAAGTATAATTTTTAAAGCTGGTCAACTGCTTAGTATCAGAAGTTTCTATTGTAAGATTTTAAATCTCAAAACATTCAAAAATCTTAACACCACGTCAACATTAACCAAAAATTCCCACCGTAAAACCTAAAGGCAAACCTTCCAAACACGAACCCAAACCTTCCTCATTCCTTGCACTCCATTCTACACCAAAATCCTAACCAGAAATCATAAGCGCGTATTAAGACCGAGCAAAAACGAAATCGAGATTGCCTGAAGGGGAAAAATGTGCAAACAAAAAAAAACCGAAGAGAGTTGCAAGAGTCAAATACGATCAACTAATATGGTTTCGAAGAGTGAACAAATATGGGTTTCGTGAGTAAAATACGACGTTTTATGTGTTAGTTAAACTGCATAAGAAATAAAAATACACTAAAAGACATAACAATATATTAAAATTGTAAAAAAGCTTGACAAAAGTCCAGTAATATTACTTTTTGCCTCAAAAATCATTTTCTTCTACATAAACTCATCTATAAATTATAGCAGTAAGCCTAAAATCAAAATCAATAACTATTAAGTAAACGGCTTAATAATATAGTAATAAAAGAAGGAAGTGCGACTATAAAAGTAAAAAATACGATCAACCATTGCGGTAAAGCGAGACGGTTGTTAGGGTCAGTGCACTTTTAAATCGATCAAAGAAGAGAAACGCCGCCGGAAACTGAATTTTATAGTAAAGAATACTTGTTTCATATTGTGTTTGGTCTTTATGTTGTCATAACGTGAACGTTATTGAAATAATTAAACTTGATTATAACAAGGTTTTTTTAGCGGAAACCAGAAGATGACGACGTTTACAACGTAAAAAGGCGATGATACAATGTTTTTTAACTTTTTTACAAAATTCGATTTAAAAATTGAGCTCAAAGTTCACAAACTTGACAGTGATTCAAAATTTGTTAGCTAAAACTACGTACTACCCTTAAACAATCCACATTTCAACCACACCGCCAACCCCTACCCTCAAACAATCCAAAATCTTAATATCTTCCCACTTGACTCTCTCGAACCTACTACAACATGTTTCTTTGTAAATATTCAGCTAATTATACACACGTCTGATCTTTTGCCTTAACGTTTCCAGGAATGTCATAAAACAAATCATTTCGAAACATGATATCAGCTGTGAATAATAAGACACTTATTTCCGTTCATTCGCGCGTCGCGGTCACGCGACAATGAAGCTTGTGTCTCGATTCAAGAGCTACACAAGTTCGGTGACAAAACAGGACAAGTGCATCTGGGTGAACGAGACAAACAATATTACAGGGAATAGGTTATAATAAATGGTTTGATAATACAAACTGTTAGAAAATAGTAACTTGGTGACAGATACTGTAAGAAAAGTACAGTCAAACCTGTTTAGTATGATACTCAAAGGACTAGACCAAAGTGTCATTATAACTAAGATGTCACACTACCCAGATCAATATTGATAAAACTTCTATTACAAACGACAGTCAGAAAGCAGTCATTATAAACAGAATGTCATACAACCGACGTTCATACTAAAGGGCATTCACGGTATTGTCTCAAGCGCTCAGAGAGAGATGAGTTGACGTAAATATATTACCTCATACTACCTGTTAACCAAAATTTTTTTTGTTTCCACACCCTTAACGTATTTTACCCACCTCATACCAAAAAAAAACAAAATATTACCATAGCCTAACCCCAAAATTTCAAAAGATTTTAAAATAACTTCAAAAAAATATTTTAATAACTATTAATAACTATCCTTTGTTACGATCTTCCCCTCCCACGTTATTTTTTGCGTTTTTATTGAAATTTAAATGACTCGTTTCGTTTTTTCGCAGCTCACTAAACATACATTGTTCTTCTTGATAACAACACTGAATCACATCATGAAAAAGTGCTAATTTTCTTTACAAAAAAATTAATTTTAAAATTATCACGGTCATGCACTTTTATCTATATTTTTCCAAAAAAAATTCTTTAATTAATCTTTTTTCTTTTCAAAACCTAAATGTTAAGACCAGACATAGTAACTTAGAGGTACTACATAGTAAAAGGAAAATGTTTGCTATTACATTTACAAAGCATTAAAGAACGGCTCCAAGCTTGAGCATCTCAGAGGCTGTATTTTTATTACGTTTTCTTATCATTTTACGACTTTAATTCGTTGAAAAATTTCATTTTTTCGTTCGTAAATCATTTTTATATCTAATCTTATAACTACATAACTAAAATTTTTTTTTGTAATATTGTACTGATAGACAAATTTTGAAAAACCAAAAAAATTCATTTTACAGCAACTTTGATATAAAATGTTAACTTACCCTCAATTCGATAGCTTCTTCTTGTTCTTTCGTCCTTTTGGCCATGTAGTCCTTCTCTAGCCTATAAAGTAGCACATTACATAATGCGTATTTTACCTTTACAAGTTATTATTATATCCTTATCACATTACAAAGCCCGAAAACATCTCAAGAAATCCCATATTAACATAGAATCATTAAAAGTCATTTCCGCATACCTTTTCATTTTCTTCGCATTCAAAGTGACATGGGACGCGACGGCGAAGAGCAGTTCATGATCGTTCTCGTATCGTTCCCTGATTTCACGTTGAAAGAACTGAAAGAAAGCAAAGAATTAGGCCATAAATATTGAAATCAAACCTTGAGCATTCCCTCCATGTCCAATCGCAACAGCTCGATTCTGGCTTGTTGTAGGATGGCCATGGCTATGCGGAAGATCGCGTCCATACCCTGAAGATAAGGTTCATTATTTTTTAATGCAGCGTCAAAAAACCAATATTTTAGGTAACAAATATTATATAATTTTCAGTAAAAACCATTCAAAAGACATAAAGCCAGTTTTTTCGCCAAAAATCTTCGTTTTAGTCCATAAAGATACCTACATCAACCAAAAACAAGTCCATAATCCGATTCGTCAAGTCCAAAGGCAGTGTAGTAGTAAACAATGTCAAAAACCATGAACTCGCGTACATACTGGTGTCAAAACCCATGTTATTAAAATGCATATAAAGGTCTGGCATTTGTTCCTGTACCAAACACTCCAATTGGAACATACACAAGCCAAGCTCAGTCATAGTAGGCTTATAAAGTTCCCTTAGGCGGTAGTTTTCCATTAATTTTACAAAAACAGCAAAAGCTTCCTCTTCTGGCATCTGCAACAACAACTGACCAACGATAAACGCTGACCCTTGACAGTAGCCAACTTCCTTATCATGTACACTATAGGCTTTGATTACATTGAACAGATGTTGCTGCCCTTTGCCTTCGTCTTTGAAGAAGTCGAGCTCTGGGTAGGTTCGAGGAATGTCACGCATAATCAACTAAAATTTAAAACAATGAAAAATCCTCATTTCCAATGCAAAAAAATGACTTTAGTCCAAGAAATTGTATTATGATTTAAAAAAATAAGATAAAAGCCTACTTTCTCATACGGCGAGCTTTGTCTGAGGTACTCTGTATATTGATCATGGATCTTGGTCACAGCTGCTCCAGCCAACAATTGCCATGCTATCGTTCGGAAATGTTGCGGAATTCCTCGTCGTACTAACTCCTAAATTAACAGAAATTACAGAACTCATCGTATTTTACAAAAAAAATAATCTCAACGCTTAGCCATCTAAACCAATATAACATGCTTCATATTTCATTTTATATCTCAAACTCTCAACCATAACCTTTCCTAAACCATAAACAAAAACATAAACTCTTACCTTAACACAATTTGGCCGTTTTTTCATCTCATATTCCCAGCTTTTAATCAAATTCCCCCAAACTGTCCACAAATCTACATTTTCATCTTCATCGTCAGCCTTCTTCACCTCATGTGTAGGTGATGCTGGCTGTTGAGAGCCTGACGATGAGTCATGAGACTTTTTTGATGTTACACTTCGCTCATCCGACTCGTTTAACCGATTTAACGCTTCCATTTTACTCAAAATCGTCTGAATTTCCTCTGGACCTTCGACAACACACTGCTCCACATCCGACGACGGATAGGTTTCACTGTCTGTCTCTGAAAAAATTAGCGTTAAATTCTTGGAAATATGAAAACTTAAATACCATATAGATTTAAAAATATTCGAGACGATATTACTTAGGTCAGTCAAGCAGTGCCTTAGACAAAAACTTAATTTAAAAACAAAGCTTTAAGTATAAAACAGTAATTTTACCCTCAAAGTAACCCTAATACACTCATAACCTTTTCATAATCATCCAGCCTCTCAGTTACCCATACATTTGCCCTGTCAATGTAAAACAATATCACCCCCTCATTACCAATTATAATATCACGACATTCCGCAAATTTAAACTTTATATGCTTAACCTTTCCCAAACCAATCAATAAATCAGAAACAAACCCGCCACAGATTACCCACAGAAACCTTGAAAACGAGATGTTGTTCTAGCAGAACCGAAACGAAAGGACAAATCTTCAAACGCAGATTTATATCCGGGGATTCGGATGCTTTCGTCACGGAAGCGCTATAAACTAACCGTGGAAAAAATTTTTAGAAGCTCTTTTCGAATAGTTTTTCGGTTTCCGAGCGGTTTGATCAAAAACTTTTCAAAATTTTCGGGTTTTTCGTTTAAATACGGAATGCCACGAATTTTTGGCAAGCTATGTTTTCGTGGTGGGACTCAATATTAGTTACATGTTCGCGTTTAAATCACTGCAACTTTGCAAATAAGCTGAATAAAGCGTAAAATAGACATTTTTATGCTTTATTAATAATCATTTTTTATTAAAAATTTAAAAACCAATCAAAAAGTTTTTTATATTACACTAGGTCAAAAGCAAAAAAAAAAACAGCTGTGAAAGGCTTTTTAAGGTCACAAAAACTACTGAAAACACAATTTAATTCAAAATCAACTACTTCGCTTCCACGTTTGTTCCAGTAATCTACTTGTTATTGTCAAAATTTTAATTTTCTTCCAACTTTTCGCTCGTCATACTACAATAACATACACAAGCTCTTGATTTTACCGCGACACATAATAATAAAATAAAGCGCATTTTTTCGATTGTTCCGTAAAAACGAACAGCGATTACAATAACAAATTAGTAGTAATATGGAAACGTATTCGGTGAATGTCATTTTGGAAAAAAGACGAAACAATGGCCTCGGGGGCCAAAACAAAACATGTTTAAAAATTTATTGTTTTTGGAGTTAAACTTTTTGTCCAAAAAAAGTGGGAGCGAAACATGGTGGTATGTTCCAATATTTATACAGGAGCGTCTGTAAATATCGTATCTTTGTTTTTGGGGTAAGGAAGGGATTTTTTAAAATTTAAAATTTTTTTAATTGAAAAATATTTTTTTAAACTCAAAGTAACGAAAAATACATAAAAATAAAGTAACAGTATTGTGTCAAACAGTAAAATCAGAAAATTCGTCTTCCTACTGTAATTTGTAAAAAAATACGTTTTCTTATTGTAAGCTGTAAAAAATCGATTTTCCTACTGTAAGTTACAAAAAACTATTTTTTTATTGTAACTTGTGAAAAAAAACCTCTTCTTACAGTAATTTACAAGAATATACTGCAAAATCTCCAAAAAACTTACCGTATTCGGTTTTTTCCAGAACCATGTTTGATGTGATTACACAAAATGCAGTACAGTCACCATTAACCTACAAAAGCGAAAAACAGTCAATAAATCACCTATACTGTACAAATTAAAATTATAATGTAATCTGCGAGCGAAGTAAAGTTATAATGTAATCACGATCAGATACGAAAATATCACAGAATTTTAAAAACAACAAAAAAAATAATAAAAACTTGATAATCATATGGACTTTTAAAATTGAAATTTAAAAAAACTTAAAATTCAGAGAACACGTACTTAATAAGGCTACTTATTATAATTAACAAAGTAAAATCTCTTTAGTAGCACCCTCAAAGGACCAGTGTTATTATAACCAAGGCAGAGCCACATTATCCAGGTAATTTTTGATTTTAATTCTATTACAAAAAATAAAGCTGTCTGTAAATTCTCATACTTCCTTTTTTGTGCTGCAGTCAAAAAAAGTTTTGAACCCTGCTCCTTCCTTTACCAAACGTAACCCTTTAAAATAAACCATACTAAATCCAAACGTACCACAATATGTGTAATACAAAAACAATTTTTTACACTTGCAAACTGAATAGTCTTTGACCCAATTGAAAAGTCAAACATGTTTATAATACATGTTTGTATAAGTAAGTTGTTCAACAAAGTTTCTCATTTTATTAATCAAAAAAGCTTGAAAAACATGTGTTAAACTGATACGAATAAATTATAACATTTCATATCAAATCAATACATGTTTAGTTACCCTTGGAAAATTAAAATAGTTCCTTGTTTTTATTAATTTTTTGTACCAGGAAAAGGTATTATATTACGATTACTCCTATGAGTCTATTAACCAATAATATTGGCACGCTATTGTTAAATTGTAATAGTAATTTTATTGTTTATATAATAGTAATATAAATTAATATTCTTAATAATAATAAATAATAATAGAAATATACCCTACCCGATTGTTTGGCCCTACCCTTTCTCTTTCTCATCCTATTCTAAACCAACATACTCTCTTTTTCCCACTACTGCCGCTTTTTTACCACTTTTTTCCACCCCCCCCCCTCCTAATTTATCTCTTTCTACTATTTACTTTCCCTTGTCAAAAAAAGATTGTCCTACCCTTACCATGATCTACTGCAATACAATTAATCAAAACATGACCCAGATCTAATACTAAGTTATGTTATAAAACCCTCCCCCCCCTCTTATCACCAGTAATCATGAACACAGGTGATAAATCGCCGCGTAACGAAAGTAAAACTGTGGTCGGAAAGCAAAAACCGAACAAACTTTTTTTTGTTTTTCCGCGAGAAAACGAATGACCGGTCGAACGGAACGGGCATAATGGATTAACGACATCTTTGGTATAACAGAACGTTGTCGAAGTCAATAGACAACACAATTAGCGATATGGAAAAAGGCGCTCATTTAGGGGGGGGGGGGGGGGGGTGGAAATGAGGTCGCGGATTCGGATCATCTTCCAAGAAAAAGCGATTCTGGAAAGCGACGATAGACGAAGAATTGAAAATTGTGGGTTATGGGAATGACTTGAGGAGTAAAATACGAAAAAGAAATAATAGTTATATTATGTATATTTGTAAAATACGTTGTAAAGAAGTTTGGTAAATTTTTTAAATCTCTTCCTTTCCTAAAGCTAAAAAATTTTTAAAAATTATATAGAATTTTTGAAAAATTTAAATTTAAAACAACAATATTTTTAAAAAATTGAGATTTATTGAACTCTAAGGCAAGAAAATTACGTCTGTAACCATTGTTTTGCTAACGTTCCGTCGTTCTTTAAAAAAATAAAAAAATATTCAGTAAAAGTAACTATTATATTATAAATAAAGATCAAGCAGATCAATTTACCGTCATTCAGAAGCTATGAACGACAAAAAATGAAACAAAAAGGATACATGACCGACGCGACGTTCATCTTCAGCCATCGTTAATTGGGATATAATAAGAATAACATTTTTCCTATTTAGGATTAGTTTTTGTAATTAAGATTTTAAAAGTTAAATTTAAAAAAAAATTTAAATGTGAAAACAAAATTTTTTGTAAAATACGAAAGCGGCTACATCTGAAAAGGTCAAACTCTGTGCTTTCACTATAAAATACAATGCAAAAATTTACCCCTGCTATCTTTTCCCAAATATTAAAGCTCAAGAATGCCAACTAAAGATCAATCCAATAATAAATAAAGAGCCCACTCCTCCCCCCCCAATAACGTAAAAAATTAGTTTACAGCGGGGATTTAAGGAAGACACAGGTAATAAGCGGGAGTGGAGGTCGTTCACCTCCACTACTGCGCGCATCTTCCGCCTTTAATCTGCGCGCTGGATCTGCCATTAATTAGGCGCAATCCTTCTCAAAAAATACCCAAAACCATAGTTATTCGAAGAGAAGACAAGGTTCACGAGGTGAGAGATTAAGGTTAACTGATTATCTGATCAACAGCCAGTAGGTATGGCTTTAGTTGAAAGTTGGAATCAAAGCTAGTAACTTAGAGGAAGCTCACAAAGCCAGGCTCAGCATAGCACAGCCATGACGAGTGTAGTTTAGATCCGTCCAGTGCAGTCTATTTCAGCTAGCCTTGATCCGTCCCGTAAAGATCATTACAGCCTAGCTTAGCCCATTCCTAAAAAAATTTTTTCTCTTTTCAGCACCAGCCATATAGTTTTAAAAACTTTTCAATCTTCTCCACTTTTTCCTCTTCTACATATTATGTCTTCTCTCCCCCCCCCCTGTTCTTTCTAAAATCAACAAAAAATTTTAAAAAATTGTGCCACTTTTGAAAAAAACAGCTCAAATCGGCAGCATAATTGCCCCTCTGACCTTGGCGACTAATTCAAATGAAATATCGACGATCTGATTTTGAAACCCGAACTTATAGAACGGCATCTTTTTTTGACCTCTTGGGATGTGAAGCCTTTTTTTGTCACGTTTAAACGTTAAAAAATATTTTGAAAAAAAGTTAATATGCTGTTTACAAATGGCATTATGTCATTATGTCGCCTACAAAGCTCAATACGCTATTTACAATAAGGTTAATATGTCGTTTACAAACAGAAAAATAGATTTTAGAATTAGTAGATTTCAATCCTTTAAAAAAATATGAAAACGCAATATTGAATCCGTATTTTACAAAAAAAACTACTTAAACTGTCATTGAAAAAAGCTTGTCAAACAAAGCCGAGCCTGAAATTGAGTTATCTAGATTTATATCTCGTACTCGGAATACTTAATGGCATTAAGTGTTCATTTCGGGACGCTCACATGCATTTGTATACGGAATACATTTCATTTAGAGTTTTATTGGCAAACAACGTCAGATTGTATACTCTACTTTCAAACAATCGCAGGCAGGTTGAGTAAATTACTCTGTTGAGTATATACAAAATATAAATGTATGTATTTGAAAACATTGTTAAATAATATTAAAGAAAATCTGTATAAGTATAAGAGTTTGTGACAACTTTTTTACCCCGCCTTCAAAATTAGAATTTAACGCCCAGCCTTTCCTCTGGCTTTATAAAAAATTTCTATTATACTATCTCTTACCCCCCCCCCAACCCTGTCTTTTAAAACTCAAGTTTCTACCCGTATTTCTATTTACCCTAGCCCTAGTGTGAGATTTCAAACTTAAAAAACTCCTTCCTTTTTTCAAAATAAAATTAAATACAGCCATACCTGATTTCAAATGTTCTATTCTATATATACCATCTCATTACAACCCCAATAAACACAAAGTGAAACCAATTGCCATAAAACCCATTATGTGACAAGGCTTGTTCAAATTGTCACATACCCGAAAAAGTTTTTTGTTTTGGCGTTTCTTTGGGTCTCTTCCCCTCCTCCCCACCGCCCGCAGGGATTGTTTTTTCGGTGTGGCCAAACCGAGATTTAGAGGCGACGTCGGCGGGGTCAGTTTGTTTGTTTTAGTGATAGTGAGGACAAAGTCTATTTACTTTTTGGGCCGCAGCGTCGTCAAGTCCCGACTTGACCATGAGACAAGAGTACAATAAAGCGCATGGCGTTCGGTCAACGTTCGTCCGAACGTGAGCAGGAAATGAATGGTACGTTTGGGGGTTTAGGCTTAAGGAAGGTGACTGTGGGGGAGGAGAGATGAGGAAGGGGGGGGGGGTGGAGAGGGAGTGGAATAGTGTAAAAAAAGTATTTTTTGCATGATGACGGCAAAAAAGAATTTTTTTTAATTTTTTTATTTAAATTTTTTTAAAACTTTTTTTGGTTTTGGTTCTAAAGCCGGAGCCGTGTAAACCCCGAGGGTCTATAGTACTAACATTACATATTTTCTGTCTTTGGCTCCAACACCAGCTCGGCTCTTTCAAAAATTTTTTGCTTTGAAGAGCCAGAGATCTGTTCGATCTAAGTTTTGCTCAGGCTCGGCCCGGCCTGAATGTCTTTTCATGGACAAACGTGCCGGCTTTTTTTGGGATTTTCAGGCCCGGCTTGCCCTAAATTTTGCTCAGGCTCGGCCTGGCCGGTTTCCCATGTCTACTGTTTCCTGTCTTGTCCTACAGCCGGAGTCAGCTCCAGAGCTCTTATAGACTCTTGTCCTATCTAAAAACACTACATAGTCAGTTTAAAACTCTCATACACTTAAACTTCTTTATAAAAAACAAATTTAAGGCTCTCAAGCAATTAGTTCTAAAGGAGTTTAACTGTAGTACGAATAATTTTTCAAAAATTCTTGAAATATAAGAAAAACCAAAAAATCAACCCAAATCTTAAAGGACCAGTTCGCCCATTGCAAAAAGCGTCGAAAATCAGGCAATTTCAATCAAAACCATTTTTCTCAGAAAACGTGAGTGAATCGGTGTCGAAATGAATTTTTTAATTTGGGACCGACCTGCTCAGGTTTTTTGCGAAAAAAATGAACGTCGAATTTTTGCGACAGAATGCCAATGATATTTGAATGGGCGAACTGGTCCTTTAACAAACCTCAGACACCACGACGCAACACCGGCTACGTCATTAAGCGCGCAAAAGATCCCCACC